GCACACCCCAAATCCATTTGGTCTACCCTATCTGGACCTTTCACGGCACATCTTGCTCTCGCCAACAAAGCCTTCAGGGTCCTGGGTGACGTGTCTTGTGGCCGGGGCAAGGGTGGTGTTGGGCTTCCACGAGACCAGCGACTTGACTTTGGAATTTCCATTGCTAGCCCAAGAAGGCCAGTCATGTCTTGGAAGGTTTGGGAAACCGGACCGACCGTTCCTTCTCATAGCTTGCAGGGGACAGCAACATCTAAATGGAGAAGGCTCTTGATCAAACAGGCCACAATGGAGAACCGGGGCAAGAGCGGTTTGTAGCCGAACCAAGCAACACATGTTGGCGCAGCCTGGTTGATTCATTCTTGGGCTCCATTTTAGAGGCTTTACTTTTTTTGGGGAAAATCTAGTAGTCCATCAGCTTGACTCTGAATCGGGGTCGATAGGTGTAACGTGAATGGTGGTGGTTTTCAGCAAAGCGATCCTAGGTTCAACTGGAGTCGAACCAGTGCAAAATGACGCGCTAGGGCGACTGGACTTTGGTGGCTTGACAACAACTTTTAAAGAGCAAAGCACCTTGCGCAATAATTGATCCCAAGCAACAGAATTGGAACCCTCAGGCAACTTGGCTAGCAGTGGTGGGTTAAAGACCAATCAAAGATGGGGAGATGTTCCCTTCATCGCTTGAGTTTCGACCGCTTCCCTTCTGGGAATCAAGAAACAAACTCCGTAAGAAGTGGGACCGGCCAACTTATGCAAACGGGGAGTAGGCCGACGCTCTTGGGTGTAGACACTGTTTGTAAAGGCGCAAGCGTAGCAACTCCCGGCCCCCTTGAATTTCTTAACAAGAGAGGTCTCTGCAGAAACCCTCTTTAACACAAACGGGTAGGAACATTTTAGCTTTCTGCAGCCCCAAACCTAAACATTAAGAGAACCCCACAAAACTGGAAAAAAGAAACAAGAAAAAAGAACAAAACACTTGCCAAGAACAGTAAACTTGAGGGACCCCTCCTGGTCTCAACGAGACACATCTCCCCACAACTTCCCCGGTCCGCCGCGGGGCGAGCTGAGCTTGATTCCTGGACGGACGCGAAAGTTTGCGAATCAAAGCCCAGTCTTGGAAGGCCCACAGGCCTTGTGGCTTTGTTTACTGGGCCGGACTTTGACCCCCTGCAAGAAACTCCTCTGGTTGTCAAGGGCCCCCCAATAGCAACCCCCCCCCCCCCCGCAAATCCCAATAGGGGGCCAGTAGCAGCGACACATACGGCTTTCTTGGAGGGTCCGCTCAACCATGGGAAGAAACAACTTGTTGCTGGATGAAAGGGAAACCCAACGAGACGAAGAGGGTTTAATGGGTGGAGCTAAGTCTGGCAATGCCAAAGGGGGCCGCCAGGAGCTCGTGGTTTCAATACATTTTGCTCAACCCTCAGACGTTTGTTCATACCCCTCGGCTGTCTGGTGATGAGTTAAATGAAGGCGAAGCGGTAGGTTTCCTTGTGCACAAATCCGCAATGCCTTGATGCGTTTTTTTCGAGTTAGACTGGCTCGCCCCATAAAAAGCACGGGCACAAATTTCTGAGCCCCCCCCCCTTTTATGAAACCACAGAAATCAATCTATGTTCATTCCCAAACTGAAACCAGAAATCCAGCTGCAAAAAGGTTAGCCTTAGATGGTCCGGAAGTTCGCTAAGTGGTTGGTAGCCGCCAACTAACCCCCAACAGTTCCTCTGTAACTTACAACTAGGGTTACCAACCATTTAGCTACGTGCTCCTCAAACCATCCAAGTACCCCCTCCCCCCCGGCCACCCCGAGCACAAACCTTGGCCCACCCACCCCATCCCCCCCCTTGAAGCAACCCGCTCCTCGCGCTGGGGCGAAGCCGAAGGCGCAGTGTAGCGCCGCCTGCCACGCGGTGCGGCGCTCGAAGGCGCCGCAAAGGGCGTTCACCGTGCTGTCGCTGGCCTTGAGCTGCCTGAAGGAAGGCCGGGGCGGCGCTTCAAGCGCTGGGGGCGAAGCGCTGGGCGCTTGGGGGGGGGGGGCGTGGTCACTTAGGAAGGGGGCGCCCTGAAGGGGGGGACGTGCTGGGGGGAGTTTCGGGGGGAGGGGCTTCCATGTTGGCCTAAAGAGCTGGCTCAAAGGGGGCAAGGGCTGAGGGGGGCCCCGGAGGCTGGTTTTTGCGGCTGATTGAAAAGTTGGTTTGGCGGGCAGGGCTTCGCTGAAACAAACGCCCTTGTTGGTCCAAACGAAAACACGTTTTCTTGGGCTTTGGCCGTGGCACTGCTGAGCTGCCTGAAACCAGGGAAATTGCGTGGCTCCCTGTGGGAAGGAAAGCCCAATAACACCAAAAAAAGAAACTCCCCACCGTCAACTGGTCAAGTATCCCATATTCGAAAGCTAGTATTGGGGATGTGGGGTGGAGGCTTTTAGGAAACCACAACAAAAGTCATGAAGACTCAAGTACAATTGTACAAGGCTGTTTTCTTGCCCCACCTGGGGTATTCCAAAAATGCCAACTGTTCTGTATGTTGGGTTGGTGGGTTGGTAGGTTGGTGGGTTGGTCGGCCCATGTTCCCACTTCGCCCTGCCTGCGCTGCATCTCCTCAAAGAGCTCCGAGACCAGGTGCCACTGGCTGGCACGGAGGCAGGCGCTCATCGCGGTGTTGAAGGTCACGGACTTCGGGCGCAGGGACTGCCTGGGCCGCGGTCGAGCCGAGCCCAAGCCGCCAACTCGGCCGCCCCCTCCCACTTGGTTGACGTTGGAAGGGAAGCAAAAAAAACACAAGTTTGAGCAGTTCAGTGGGCATCTCCCACTAAAACACAATAAGCCAAAACGTAACGTGTTTCCTAACAACAAGCATGTCAAGCCCGGAGCCCCGAAACGCCACTTTTTGTTCGGCCAAGAGGTGTTGATTAAACACGAGTCGTGTTTTGCACCAAGGGTCCATTCGCCGCCTTGATCCGTTGGTCCCTTGTTGATTGAGGGTTCGACTTTTCGTGGTGCAGGCATCGCCGCCCGTGGCAAAAATCCCGGCCACGGAAGGGGAAGCTTGCTTGGATTAGCTAAGTTGACGCACGCCAACCAGGGCTTCGGAATAGTCAACCACCCTTGCCTTCTGTAAAAACAAACCAAAAGGGGGGGTTGTTCAAACAATTGGTGGTAGAAACCCTGGTTTACCGTGCACAGAGGGGGGATCAGGGGATCAGCGAGCGGCCACCCCTGAACCGAAAGGAAAATGGCATGCCTTTGGCTTGCCTCGCATTCAAGATGCACAGCCTTGGTTGGTGGTTGGCAACATCTTGCTTCGAGGGCGCCCTGAGAGCTCAATAAATAAATAACAAACTAAGGACAGTCCAAAAATCCATTGGTCAAAATCCATCTTGGGGTCCGAATCCCTTGACAACTCTTGGCCCATGGGGCACACAAAAACATATTCAAGTCTATGAATATGATATCTAATTTGGGAGCCTATAGGTGGGGATTATTGATGGCCACCCACGTTTTAGAGGCTCCGATTCCTATTTTCAAACGCATCCATATGGGTCTGTCTTCTTTTCGGAATCGCCCCCCCAAAATGGATTTCAGTCTTCCTCTTAGTGTCCCCATGTAAAAGGCACTAGAGAAAAGTACTTGGACCCTCAACCTACTCACAACAAAAGGAATTCACCCACCATAATTTTGGGGCCACAACCCATGTTTACCGATATTTCTCGCTTCCTGAGTTGCTGGCCCGAAACAAGTAGCCAAACTTGTTGTGTGCCACTAAAATGGCAACCACTAAAGTCCATGATCTCAGGAAGTGGAGATTTTGCGGCTATCACCCAGCTTAAAGTTGGTATTTTAGGAGTGTCCAGCTCGGAGAAAAAAACATGGGGGAGCAAAAAAAGAAACACAAGCAGAGGCCTCGTTTTTCGTGGAGGCCCCGCGAAACGAGGCCGCCGTTTTGTGATCTCCGGCGGATTCGGATCTCCGGATCTCCGGGGCGCGGGCCGGGGCAGCTGGGCCAACAGCGCGAGGGTCTGGGCCCAGTGGGAGCTCGCAGAGAAACCCGCCAGCACCGTGTTCACCTGACGTCCGAGCCCGTCCGAGCCCGCGATGCACGTGCCCCAAGCATAACCGAAGCAGGTCTACCAGGGGGTAATATGCCATCTTGGAACATAAAGGATGTCAAGACCTGGCTAGGAACATTTTAAGAGCCGCTCCAAAGTGGTGGACGTCCACCAAAGGGTCCTCAACTAAATTTCGGACCTGGATGTCAAGGGGGGAAACATGCCTTGTTGATCCTTGGTTTATAGATCAACTGGTTTGATAGGGAAGGTGGAAAACTTTGGTTCTTCCAATCTGCGTATAAATTGATGAACTTGATGTATATGCTTGGTTCTAAATAATGTTGACCCCGTATTAGTATGTACCCCCCCCCCCTCGAAGGTCGGGAAGGTTTTGGGGGGCAAAATTTTGGAAGGTTTTTTGCCACCACCCCTAAATAATCTGGAGGTGAGTTTCCATTTGATTTAGTATTGCTGGAGCTTCCTTTTGAGATCTGGAATTGAGTTTCCATTTTATTTGGTATTGCTGGAGCGTCCTTTTGAGATCTGGAATTGAGTTTCCAGTTGATTTGGTATTGCTGGAGCTTCCTTTTGAGATCTGGAATTGAGTTTCCATTTGATTTAGTATTGCTTGAGCTTCCTTTTGAGATCTGGAATTGAGTTTCCAGTTGATTTAGTGTTGCTGGAGCTTCCTTTTGAGATCTGGAATTGAGTTTCCATTTGATTTAGTACTGCTGGAGCTTCTTTTTGAGATCTGGAATTGAGTTTCCATTTGATTTAGTATTGCTGGAGCTTCCTTTTGAGATCTGGAATTGAGTTTCCCTTTGATTTAGTATTGCTGGAGCTTCCTTTTGAGATCTGGAATTGGAATTAGTACTGCTGGAGCTTCCTTTTGAGATCTGGAATTGAGTTTCCCTTTGATTTAGTACTGCTGGAGCTTCGTTTTGAGATCTGGAATTGAGTTTCCAGTTGATTTAGTATTGCTGGAGCTTCCATTTGAGATCTGGAATTGAGTTTCCATTTGATTTAGTATTGCTGGAGCTTCCTTTGGGGGGTGGGGCCGATGGACCGCACTAATTTGGGGGGATTATTAATAGGGGGTGTTAGGGGCCAATGTGGGGTGTTCTTTGCAACCTTCTAAACTTGAGTTGTTTAGTAAAGAATTTAAATAAGAAATCAACCATATCAGAACACTTTTTGTTTTGTGGTTTGGGCAGGCCCAAAAGTATCCACCAAGCTTCAAGATGAGAGTATGAGGTGGAGATGAGAGCCCTACGCAAGGCAGCAGCATGAAGAGAAAGGTACCAGGAGAAAGCATGAGCCCATTTGAGACAAAGCACCTTTTCAGCACACCATTCAGAGAAAGCATGGCAAGCAGCATGAGTCGATTCAACATCAGCAGCATCAGCTAGCACCAAAAAACAGTTTACATTGTAATGAGCTCAAGAAGCAGTGGAGAAAATGAGATAGCAGCAGCCATCTGGGGGAGGGACCGGTTTAATTGGGGGGGTTGTTTTGCATCATTTATTCGGGGGGTATTTTCTGAGACATGAATTGTTTAGTATTGGGGGGGGTCACCCGGACCGGACTAATAGGGGGGGGATTATTAATACGGAGTCAACATTACCAAGATTCGGCAGGTGACGCATCAAGTGCCCATTGCAAAGATCGGATTCCATGCAGCCTTGGCTCTATGATTTGCCCTGTAGCAAAGGGCAGAGGGCACACTACGTGAAACCTTCCAAGAATCGTGGAAGCGGACAGGAGGGCTCAATCGAAATCTGGAAGTTTCTCGAAATTGGGTACCCTCCAGGGGTATTGTTGGTGTCCCTAAAAAAAACCTCCAAAAAGGGGTGTTTTGAGAAACCCCCATATGGTTGTAAAGGCTTTACCTGGGCCTTACACGAGCGCTGTAAATGAACCGAGACCGGAGTCTGGGACAGCTGGCCACCTGCCGTTTGCTTAGACCAACGCAATAGCCGGAAAAGTTTAAAGCTCGACACCAACCCCAAGTTCGCACGCTTCGACCAGGGCCTCAGTTTTGTTCTTCAGCTTCGGAAACCCAAAAGAAAGCAAATGTCAACCCTGTCGTTGGTCAGCTCCCAGCGACCGCGCTTGAAACTCACATTGCGGGTGTCTTTTTGGGAAAACATCCGAAGGTTGAAGCCTTCAAGCGCCCAAACAACAAAAAGGCACCGGCCAAAGAGGCGGGGCCGGGGAGATTTCTCTCTTGAGCTCCCAAGGCCCCAGACCCAGGAAACCCTTTTCCCAGGGTTGATTCCTTGTCCATTCTTTTCAGCCATCGTTCTTTTTCAAAAACCGATTGCCATTTCCTCCAGGTGTTTGGTGGTTTGCTAGAAAGAAGGATCCCTGGAAAGAATGTGGAAGTTACCCCTCGACTTTTAGACTGCCATGCTCATGAAAGTCAAACCTAAGCTGCTCGCAGATCCGCCACGAGTAACAGGTTTTAGCCTTTAGTGATTCAGTGGAAACTACCACTCAACGATAAGCACTTAGCCTAAGCTCACTTCTGGAGAGGACTGGCCCAACAAAAAGTAACCAAACTTTTGGTTTCCCACTAGAATGGTCCAACCGACCAAAAAGTGACTAAAGTCCGAAAAGGAACTCAGGGAGTGAGTAAGGAACCGGATGGCTGGGAACCCCTAAGAAAGTTCTCAAGTTTGGTACCCAAGTCCAGCCGACCACCCCGAGTTCGCAAAGCGGGCGAACTATTCACATGCCACGACGGAGTTTGGTTTACCCCACCATCCCATTCGGTTTTTGCTGGACCCTTGTAGGTGCGGTTTTGGGAAACTTGCTTTCACTGTTTGGGGAGCAACTCTGAACAATAGATATGATGTTGATTTCGTGGTCGACATTCACGAAAACTTCGGAGGACCATCCAAAACCAACCACCAAACCCCCCAACCCCCCCCAACCCAACCCCCCCCCAACCCAAACCCCTCCCCCAAACCCCCAAACCCCCCAACCCCCCCCCCCCCAGAACAACGGGTCCCTCCCCGCGGGCCAACCACAAACCGCCGGACCGAACGACCGAAGGCGCCATGACGATGTCCGGCTTCAGCTGCCGCGCCGGCAGCTGCGCCGCCAGCGCCAGCGCCGCCTCCCAGGCGCCGCCTCAGAGCGGTGCCGTTGGAACCGTGTCAGCGGTGTGGGGGTCTGTGGGCACGGGTGGGTATGGGTCAAAACGCCCTCAGATCCCCCGCGCAAATGGTGAATAACTTTTGGTGGGTTCAATGGAAACTACCACTAAGCACTAAAGGCGAAAAAGCTAGTGGCTGGGAGCCACCCAGAAAATTAAGCCACCATGGGACCGCAGGTTTTAGTCCTTGTTTCCATTCACCAGGATTCCATTTTGGGTATCGATTTTTGACCCACAGCTATCTGAGTCTGGTGAGTATGAGTTTTAACTAGGGACCCTTTTCTGGACATGATTTAGGTGGGGTGTATGTCCACCAGCCACTTTTCAGGGGGTTCCAGCAATTAAACAGAATAGCCAGGTGAGTCACAATCACCAACCGGTATTAGAATGGTCTACCCAGCACCATGGAAAGAATTAAGAAGCCGGCCGCAGATATTCATGGCGAGGATTGTCCCTTACTACCCTCCGATTAACCGGGTTTTGATTGTGACTCAGGCTTGGATTGGTGGTCTGGTGGTTAAGGAGGGGCAAACCATCTGAGTGTGGCTGAGCATTCCCGAGCCCCTTACAAGAGACGCTTCCACTTGCGGCATCGGGACCCAAGCCCAAAACAACCCCCCTGAAACACCTCCCTGAAAGCTGTCCCAAACCGCAGAGCTAAATCAGCTTCCCTGTTAGTGTTTTGGCTTGGTGGTTTGGGGATTTGAACCACTGCTTCCTTTAAAGGATTCATGGGGTTTCCCAGCCCCAGCAACCAAACCACCAATCCAAGCCTTGGAGGGAAGCCAACAGCGGGACCCCCGGAACCCCCCCAAGCTGCCCCAAACCACCCAAAAACCTAAAGATTCTAGGCAGAGACCCCACAGCTTTCAGCTCTTGACTTAAAACGAACTCCTTCAAAATGGCATCGGGTTCCCACTTTCTCCTTTGGAACTAACCAACAGAGATTACGAACGCAAAAGAACAACAAAAACAAAAACAAACAAAAACAAACATTTGGTGCCCTCGGCCACCCAGAAATAAACGGTGAAGCTTAGGCCATGATTTTAAAATGGTCGACCAAACAGGCCCGCCCAAAGGTCGAAAGGCCGACGTTGGACCAGTGAATGGGCTCTGCGCCACGGTCTTAATTAGGAGCGTTGGGTTTCTGAACGCCGGTGCGAAGGAGCCTTTAAAACCTCTGCTGAATTCTGTTCGGCGAAAACTTCTAACACCCTCTGTTTCCAAACCTAGGATCAATTTTTGGCCATTTCTATCACCTCTGCTTCTGAGATTGGGGAATTTCGGTAACCTCGTTTGGTTGGTTCCAAAGGGGCAAGGGAAACCGACGCCATGTTCCAGGTCTTGTGTTTTATTCCCCCAGTGCGACATGGATGTCCTCCAAGTCTCACATGCCCCGTGGATTTCCACGGGGGAAAAAACAAATAAACTCGGTGGAGCTTGTTCAGGGAATCGGAGCCCTTCCCCCAAAAAAAGGCGGGAAAAAAAAGAAGCGGAATCCACTGGTTGCAACAGAGCTGAACCCTGTGCCCCTGAACATCAAAGGTGCTCATCCCCAAAATGGCTCGCCATGGGTTATGCCCCAACTCGGTTGCTTTCTGCTGCTAAAAGTGAATAACTTTTAGTGGTTGAATACGGAAAACCCATTAGTTGGCAAAAAAAGCTAACGTCCTAGCATCCAAGCAAGATGCACCTAAGTGGAGCCATAGGTTATGCCCCATGGCCGCATGTCTCCTCCAAACGGACCTCCCCCGACGTAAAAATAAACAAAAAAAAGCCCGCGGCGCCTCGGGCCGCCGAGGCCGCGGTGGCGTTCACCAACACCAGGTCCGGGCGCACGGCCAAGCGCCCGGCGTCCTGGTGGTCGAACTTGCCAAACCCGCAGGAAGTTTGTCGTGTTTGAACAGAAGGATGGGTAAAGAGAAGGGGGATCAACCTCTGGATAGATTGCCAGCCACCTGTGTCGGGGAGAACACCAGGCTTATCCGCTTGCGGGGAAGCATTGAAATGAAAAATGGGTATGGGTCAAAATTAAACCTCCAGGGGAATTGGACCGCAGCTTTTAGTCCATGTTTCCTCTTACAAGGGCAACCCATTTTGGGGTTACCCTATTTTTGACCCACAGCCATGTGGCCTTTTGGAAAATAGATCCCTGGCAAATGGGGCATAAACCCCATCTAAACCAGGGCCTCGATTTTTTAAGCAAACCAACAAGGACACCCATGGTGAAACGCGTTCTGCGGCTTTGAATTGCGTCTACCTGAGGGGGAAGGGGGTGGGGAAGTCCCCAATTCCATTTATCTAGTCTGCCCCATACAAGGAAACATAGAACCGTAAACGAAATTCCAGGGGTCACCCCCCTCACTCAATTCCAATTTTAAGGGGGTGGGGATGGCTTTGATCAACCTGGACTCTCAAACTTCCAACTAAAAATGGGTAGCCACAAGGATACGGTGGTAATGTTTCCCACTTGAAAGGGTAGTTTGAGGATCCAGGAATAGTTCCTTCAGCCCTGAAAGTCATCTTAGGTTTTGCAGGGGTTGATCAATATTCCTGGGCACCAAGATGACCGTATTATTGTAACTCCTCAAAATATGGAGTTTGATCCATATTCCATGTAGGGCCCCAAACTGACCTTGGGTAACTTTTCCCATTTCGTCGGTCACTTTTTGATCCACCCCATGCGCCGAAGGGACCCTACTTAAAGGGGCGCTCGGGTACGTCAGGTACCCTCCCCCCTTTTTTGCATGGAACCTGACGTTCAGGGACCCTTTAAGAGGAAAATGATCTTCCGGGAACCCCCGAACGTCAGGTTCAATGTTGACTGGTGGGAGGGCAAGTAGTTAGTGAACCTGGTGTTAACCCACTGAACGGAGACTTAAAACCATTGCTTTTGCCCGTGATAACCATGGATATGCCCCTTTGGGCTGTAAACGTTCTAAGGATGCCAGCTGTTGGCAAGCTGGTTTGCAGGGAAACACGGAGAAACAAGAAACATATTCCTTCAAAGTTGGGCGAGTCCCATGCGCGTGACAAAACGAGCATTCGGACAACCTGAAAGAGGCACCCTCAAAACACACGCACACACACAACAACAAAAGACGACAACAACAAACAAACAAACAAACAAACAAACAAACAAACAAGCAAGCAAGCAAACAAACAAACAAACAAGCAAGGAAGCAAACACACACACACACACACACACACACAAACACACACACACACACAGACACACACATTTCCCCTTAAACATCACACGAGGAAGGTTGCACGGCCCCGTGCATTTCCCCTGCACACACATGAACTTAGGAACATCACCCTCGCCTTTTTGTGGTCATGACAATGACAAATCTAGCGGGGAAACCTGCCAGTTTCCAAACTCAGCCTCTTTCCGCCGTTAAGTTTGTTCATGTAAAGATGCTTAAAGAGGCATGCAACTCAATCCCCCTTGTTTACCTACGAAGAGGCTACATTCCAAGTTCTCGACAAAATGGGCGAATGTAGCCCCTAATTTGCAGGATTTCAACCAATGTAGCGCACGCTTGTAGAAATCTGGACGTTACATGGTTCTTGTTCTAATACCGTCAAGGGGTGTCACATTCAATGTACGGCATTTTCGACAAATCCATGACAAAACGGCAATGTAGCCTGCGACCCTACCTCTTGGCTTACGAGGATGGGCAGCAGCGCTGGGCAATGAAGGGGGCAATGAATGAGACCACACTGTCCATTTCCCCCCGTTGGTTCAGACCTGGCCAAGCCCTCTTTGCAAAATAGACAGAGACAGAAGGAGAAGACTCTTCAGGCAGGGCAGGTTCAGACCAGGTGAATGGCTGGCCATCTCGTACACAGGCTTCCGCATTTGTGGTGAGGTGACATTACCCCAGCTGAGCCCTTCGTTCTCGCGTAATTTTGACAGAACGACGTTTCTAACAAAAGGTTACAGATTACCGCAGCTACATCCTCCAATCCCCCCTCTTCAAGTCACACGAGTTTTAAGCAGCTGGCGCAAATCAGAACGATGTTTTTGTGACATAATTTGACAAAGTCGGGGGGCGCGCACGTCTTCCACGTTCTTGAAGTTTTCGCATTGACTGTGGTTTTGGCTTGACTCGTTGCAGTCCTTGTTGGGGCACAACAGGCGCCCAAGGAGTCAGCAGCTGATTGGAGGGACGCTGCGCCTTACCAGCAAGCTTTTAAAGACCAAATTCGTTTACCGGTCTTGACGCCCGTGCCTGTTCGTAATTAGCAGTCGCTTCCCCCTAATACTTTAGTAAAACGACCCCCCCCTCCCCCAAACAAAAAATTGTCTTGCCGGATAATATTTTTGCTATTGTGTGGCCCCAGTTCGTTAGTTTCTGGAGTTTGGTCTTGGCTTACAAATTTGGCCCCCCGTCCGGACTTCAAACAAAAATTGAAACAGCTGAGTTTCAGAATAAGGAATGTACATGGAATGGAAGAAAGGGTCTGGCCCTGACCATTGTAGCCTGGACCCCCACATTTCAAGAAAGAAACGCGACAAACACAACAAATTGGACGGGGACATAGCCAAATGTAGTTCTATCAAAATGGAATAGTACAAAAAAGTTACATTGGCAAATGTAGCTGGTGGTCATTTTGTTTAAACGCAAGCAAGGGGGGATACCTCAGAAATTCCAACAAGGGTTGTTTCGCCAAAATTCTTGATTTAATTGCATGACTTCCTTCGGCCAAAGCTTCCGCTCGCGCGAAACCCTGTTTAACAGTCATGTCTGTTTCCCGTTCAATCATCAGAGCGGAAAACGCAATGTAAAGCCAACGAGATCTAGCCCGTCCCCCCATCAACCCCCCGCGCCATGGACTCCTATCCCGCCTCCAACAAGGCGAGGGCCTGGCGCCAGTGGCACACCTCGGCGCAGAGCGCCAGGGACACCACGCTGGGCGTCAGCTTCTTCGCCATGGCGCTCAGCAACGCAAGGGTCACCTCCCAAGCCGACGCGCGCTTGGGAGGGGGGGGCAAGGTGTTTTGGTTCGGCGCGTAGAAAATTTGGCTGGCCAGAACAAGCCCAAAGCTTGGTCTTCCCGAAAGTTTGAAGCTCAGGAGGTCAGGGAGTGAGATAGATCCTCTTTAAACCCAACGCGGGAAACAACAACATTTTCTGAAGCGCGGGGAAGTGAGCCCGCGGCTTCACGAATGACGGACGCAAGCTGCTCAGGCGCGCGGCTCCCAACTGTGGAAAAGCTGACTGACGCGTGATGCTCAACGCTGCTGCGGAAGGCTGGGCCTTACTCGCGTGATGCCAGCTGATACTGTGCAATGCACCATCGTGGCCTCGCGTGAGCATGCTTGACGCTTTTGCACATGACCGCGTATGTTAGCCTCCCATGCATCTTCGTGCACGTTCAAAAGGCAGGTATTGCTGTGGCGTAGTACAAAGCATTCGTATAACAATTGGCGCCAGGGTTCGCCTTCAGACATTCGCGCCAAGTCGGCGCCTATAAAAGCACTCAATTTGTTCTTTCATCCCCAACTTTCGGCGCCTGCCAAGCAGGCAGTCGCCACATATACAAAGTTTGCATGGGCCTTCTCAAGTGGACATCCTTCACACCACGCGGAGACGAGCTGTCATGGTTCAACTGTTCAACGTTCAACTGGCACCTGCGCCTAGTGCTCCACGAGAAAGCTGCATAAGCACGATCTGAGTGTGACATCTCTGCCACATTGCGCTGCCGCTTAGGAGCCTCTCAAACAACAACCTGGTAACAGGTTGCTTGGGATTAAATAGCACCAGTGTCCCTCAGCGACGTTCCCTCGATAAGAAGCACCGCATCGACGAGAAGCTAAAGTCAAATCAAGTCTTCCGAAACTATCTGGGGCGTGGGGGGGGAGGAAGCAAACCCTGTGGCTGGTGGGCTGGTGTTCCCTTATATAAAACCAACGAGGGAAAATATGTTCTTTTCAGCAAATTATGGATGGTCTGGACTCGCCGTTTTCACACACGCGCCGGGCAAAACCTGCCCAGTGGCCAGGGATAAAAAGGGCATCCTGTTTTGGTTGGTTGACTTTAAAGGGGAACCCTTCGCCAAGCTGCTGCGCCACCCCAGCCCGTTACCCAAAAACGTGGGGCGATCCAGGGAGACAAAAACAGGCCGTCTTGATCGGTCACACCTGGGCGATTCCTTATGCGTGCCTCCCAGGCGCGTTTTCTGCAGGCAGCCATTGCGGCGTTCCAGGCCATGGTGTCTAGCTGCATGCTGCCTTGGTCAGCAGGACCCCAAGTGAGAAGCTGTTCGTATACCGCCGGTGGTATAACTTTTTGTTTAGTGGCTAGCCCTTAGTTATACCAGACTCGGAGTTTGCCGGCTTTTTTGCCAGGCTAGAAGCGCTGCACGCAACAAGCTAGGTCCAAGGTCCCACCAAAGAGTAGCCAAGGAATGGAGACGTGACCCCTTCTATCATACCAAAGTGGGATTCACATCGACTTTGTGACTTCGAAGGGCGTTCCCTACAGAAATTGGCCCAAGCTTTCCACCAAGGCGCGATCCGCCTCCCACAGCAGCGCCAGGGCCGCCTCAAGAGATCGTATGAGGAAACTTCTGCTTGCAAGGGGGTTGACCGCTGGTTCGCTGGGGTAAAAGGAGGTTACAATGACTGAAGTGCAAGCAATGCACTGTAGAAGAATCACTGTAAAAGAAATTCAGCTGAGATTCCCAATGCAAGCAGGTTGCAGCTCCATTTGCTGCTAAGAAATTGAGCCTCCCCTGGAATGTTCGTGCGAGGCAGAAAGCATTGTTTGCCCTCCGGGGGTGCAAGGGAAGTGCACACTATGAAATTCAGGGGCTCAACTTCTTAGCAGGGATTCTATTTGGGGGAGGTTCCCAAAAGGCTCCAAAAGCTCCCCGAAAAGCATTCTTGACAATCAGGCACTTGCCCGGCAAGAAATCCAGAAACCCCAAAAGTGAAGTGCCCGCTAAGAAAACCAGCGGTCAAAGAATTGGCTAAGAAATACAGGCCCCCTGGCTTCAGAGAGTAAAAACCCAGCCCTTTCAAAGACGAAATGGACGCTAAGAAAATCCGCCTCCCGCCTCGACCCACCGATTTGGCCCTGGGTCAAAACCCAAATCGTACCCCACATCCCAATCCCCACTAAAACAGACTAAAATGGGTGGTGCACCTATCCCAAAATGGTACCATTGGTTTTGAACCATGGCCATTTCGTATACAGCGCTGCGACCACTTTGCGTCAACTCCCGGCCAATCCAAGCGGGGTCGTGTAGGGCAGCTGGCGGTTGGTGCTGGCGGTTGGTGCTGGCGGTTGGTTTTCAGGATTCAGGATGGGGACGGCAGTTGCAGGGGTGAACACCCAGGATCAATCGAGTCCCATTTCGCGAGCTGCGGGTTGCTGGGAGAATGCCCCCCCTGTTAGAGGAAACTTAGGATCCCTGTATATAGTCAGAAGGGCTCCGTTGTATTTGTTGTCGCGTTAACTAAACCAGCTGCAATTGGCTGTTTTAGAGGGTGTCCAAGTCACTTTGGGAAACACCCCGGATCAACATCTACCAGATTCTACTGAGATAAAATTTTGGAACCGGTCTCAACATCACTCACGCAGTGCCTCACTCACCCAGCGCAATGTGCATGATCTTCCAATAGTTTCAGCAAACTTATGGCACCTTCCAATAGGCGGTGAATCCGTTTCGTTCCTGGTCCTTTCAGGCATGGCAAACAATCAGATCGCCAGGGTACTCAAAACCTCATGGGCAAAAAGAAGGCGAGAACCTTGACCATTGAGAAGGTACTGAACCCCTAAAAACGGGCCTGAGGAGATTCCTCAAGACGTGCCCGGCTTAGTTCCATATCAATTTGAAAGAAACTAAGGGGACCCTTCAAACATGAAACATGCTTAGGGCGTCGCGCCAAAGAGTCAAGCACACGATTTGAACCGTCAACTGCTACAGCCACCTGAGTCCTAATCAAAATGGTCTACCCAGAACCATGTAAAGAATCAAGAAGTCAGCCGCAGCTATTGATAGTTGGGATTGTCCCTTACTAACCTTCATCTGCCCGTGTTTTGATTGTGGCTCACCTTGCACTTTCAAGGTCTCCAGAAGAAAAAAACAAGCTGAGTGTGGTCAGTGGTCTGATGGATTTCGTACTAAACTTACTAACTGTCCAGTTTGCCAACCGAACTGCTACAAATTCACATGGAACTAAAAAAGGGTCCCCTTTTTCAGAGATTCGACTCCAACATGTCTTTCTCTAGAATTTCTATCCAAATCATCCAAACTGAGCAATGAGGGTTGGGCCAACGTTGGCCCAATAACCTGTTGAACCATGCGCGAAGCACTGCTGCTTTTGCAGCCGCCCTTCAACATGGTGGTTCCCTGCCAACATGTGTCAAGCAATGCAATCCCGCAGGTTTCTTCTTTCAAAAGAGTCTGTGTTCCCCGAATCATATTTGGCCTAACCAACCACCCAACCCACCCACCGGCCAACCAACCACTCGCTTTCCATCCGGCACCTCAAGTTTCCGATCTGGAGAATACCCACTCACTTCCTCAGTGGATCGGCCCAACAAAGTCCAAACTTTAAACTTACCGTACTAAAATGGTCCAAGCCCCCCCCTCAAAAAAAAAATAACAACAAAAAAGTGACTAAAGTCCGAAACAGAACTTTTTACATTTACCACCAAACGGAACTCTTTCCATTTACCTCTTGGGTCCAATCCCCCCAAAAAAAGTTTCAAAGTCCGGAACGGAACTCCGGACGGGAGTGCCCAACTTTGAGACTTTTTCCTATCTGGCCATGGGTCAAAACCCAAATCGTACCCCCAGTGAACATCCCAATCCCCACCAAAATAGGTTCTAACATGGGTGGTCAATTCACCTACCCCAAAATGGCATCCCAAACGGTTTTGACAACCACAGCCATCTCAGCACGGACCAACCCCCCCCCCCCCCCCGGAACGGATTTCGACCGATCGGTTCGGAGCGCCTCCCACTCCTGGGCCTCGCCGCAGCCGGACATGGCCGCGGACCAGGTCTTCAGACTCCGCGCCAGGCCGTCGTCTGCAAAAAAAGACGCATGCGGGGAAAACCAAAACCCCCAAAAAAGGGGTGAGACAGGGCACTACTGGGGGACCTAGAAGTCGAAGAACTCGGGAAGTGAGCGGGGCATTCCTCGGCGGCTTTCTGCTCCCCCCGCGAAAAGTGAATAACTTTTAGCGGTTTCTTAATGGAAAACCCAGTGGTTGGCAACAAGTGAAAATCCCAAGATTCAAGCAACATGCACCTCTGAGAAGCTGGGAATGAATGCCGAGTCCGGGTGGGAATGAACGCCCAGAAGGTTTGGGAGGAATGACCATTCCGGGTGTGGGGAATGAAACGGTGTTGGGGAGTTGCTTTGACTTTTCTGGTCAGCTCGCTGTGGGCCAAACACAGTGGAAATTCTGACAAGTGGAAACATGGGCTAAAGCCTGCATTCACAGAGCTGACTACTCCCAAACCAGACTTTCATTCACGCTCGATCTCTTTCATGGATACTGCCCCAAACACACTGTCCGTTTTGGACAAAAATGCCCGAAGTGATGAGGGTCCTGGTTCTACATGGATTTCCAATAATATGAGTGTGGCTCAAAACAAATACGGGCCCAAAATGGAACGCTGGTATATTATGGAAAGGTAGACTGCGGCCCTGCTCTCCAAAGTTGTCCTTTCTTGGTCGATGCTATCTTCTCAGGTGTGCTGGGAGCAAAAAAAAATGCAGGTCAAAAATTGGGAGGCCTCCCATGGCTGACTGAAAAGAAGGACCTGGTTACACGGAGAAGCGGAAATAAACTCGGTGAGTCTAACCAACGGAGGCCATGGAGAACCGGACAACTACTAGTGCCCGTTCTTAAACCCGTTTTTTGGGGGGGAGAGTTCCCCCAACTAAAACAGACTACAGAAAAAAGGGTACCCTTATTCTAACCTCTCTACTGGAGGACCAAGACTAGCAAATGGAGTTGCGTGCAAAAATAATGATACTGGGCGATTATGAGAGAACTAGGTCACCATCGCCGAACAACCAACCCATACCCACCGTTTGGTGCAAACTAGTGTCAACCAAGAATCTTGCACCGTTGACCAAACCGCCAACATCCAAACCGGGAATTCAACCCCACGTCCCAAAACGCTTCTCCCCCCTCCCGCAAACATGAAAAATAAACAGAACCAAACACAACAATCAACAAACCCACTTCCATAAAAAGCCCACCAATCAACCAAACCAACAAAAATTGTCATCTCCAAACTCACCTTCCAACCACCAGACCTGCACCCGCAACCTCACACGACCTCCTTTCCGCCACCCGACTCCTCCTAGGTTAGAATAAGGGTACCCTTTTTTCTGTAGTCTATTTTAGCAGGGCAACCCTCCCCCAAAAAAAACGGGTTTAAGAACGGGCACCTAGCTGGAGGACCTAGCCTCTTCTCCGCCGGCAAGAAAACGCGCCGCGCGCCGGCCAAGGCGCCTTCCATAGCTCTCAGCGCCGCCACGCTGCTGCGCCACTGCGCCGCGCGGCCGCAGGCGCTGGCGCACATGCTGAAGGCCGTGGCGGACGGCCTGGCGCGCCCGAGGCGCGCCCGGCGCGGCGAGCGCTGAGCGTCGAGGTTGGGGCAGGAACTTTCACTGGGGATTATTTCGCTGTGGTTGTCAGAACCGTTTTGGGATACCATTTTGGTTGGTAGGTGAATTCACAACCCATTTTAGTCGGGATTTTAGTGGGGATTGGGATGTTCACTGGGGGTACGGGATTTTGACCCATGGCCATTTGGACCTCCAGTGGAGAGGTTAGAATACGGGTACTGGATTTTTTGTGTTTTTTCTGTAGTCTATTTTAGTAGGGGAACCCTGCCCCCAAAAAGGGGTGAAAAAGGGCACTACTGGGGGACCTAGGATCCTTCTTTCTAGGGATCCGGATCTTTCTAGAAAGCCTCCAGAAAGGGAGAACGGCGATGGGTTTTTGAAAGAGCGATGGTTGAACAGAATGGGAAATCAAGCCCTAGAACTTGTTGGAATATTACATCAGAACTCGGTGGGGCTTCCACCAGTCACTTTTGAGGTTCCAACCATTTAAACTCATAGCCGTTCAGCTCGGCAGAAGTACACTGACCATTGCGGTTGAAAAGTTCAAAATGGGCCAACACCCTTTTCCCCTTACACCGCAAGACCTGGGCAGCTTCTTTCGGGAACCATTTCGGTTTCGGGCATTTCGGTTTGTCCGTCGGACTGCCGCACTCCCTCCATGTCCGTTACATGGCACCTGGTCACCTGACAGGTGCCTCTCGAGTTCGTTGATCTACCGTCCCGCTGGCGTTTTTCGTGGGAAGGAAAACAATCAGTCACGCCCAACCAATGGGTACTGTTGGAACACATTGAAAGATTTCAATCGGGGCCACAATTGGGATGGATGGGTGCTCACTATTCTGATCTGGGCCCAACATGTTAACGGATGCTATATTATGAATTGAACAAGGACGTAAAATGATTCAAAATTGGTGTTTGAGTACAACCCATTCAATTTGTTGCAACCCTTGTAGTAAACATGATCTTCTCACGCTGCCGGGTCTCAAGACAACCACTTCCAAGCACTCAAGTTTTGAGTGGAACCGCTTCTTGCAGCACGTAAGTCGACATCGCATGCTGGAGGTGGGACAGACTTAGGTTCCTTAACGGATGAGTTAGTGGGTGGGCTTTGGCGTGGGTAGGAGCAACGACAACGTGCCCAGAACACAACTATGACTTTTCCGCATGGTATACTTGGCAGCTTCTTGGATTGCGTGGCGCAAAAGCACCAATAGCAAGCGCAAAAACGCTTGTACTGACGCAGTCTAGGCGTGCTACTGCACCCGTTGGTAGACGTTTTCCTTGCAGTGAGCGCTTTTGCGCCATGTGACCTTCAGAAAATGCCACGCACGCCATGCAAAAGACAGTTTATTGGTTTAGATCCAAAAGCCGTGTTACCTCGTTTTGGCGAGTTATCCTTCAGCACTCTTCCCCCAGAGAGGCAACAACAGCAACAAGGAGATCTCTGCACCAATTAGACATCATGGACTCCAAGACGCGCATTCTTCGGGATTCGACTTTGGGGCTTTCGAAGTGTTTAGACTCGGGTCATCCCTATCCCTTTGGATGCCGGGGATGGATGGGAATGTCGAGGATTTCGTGGGCTGGCATGTGGGGGGGAGGGGGAAGCAAACCTGGGACCAGAAGATATAGTATTGGGGAACCAGGTGTGCCTATTTTTTGAAAAGGGCCAGCCTTTGTTTCAAGAAACAGGCTCGCACAAGAGAAGGGAGCTCTAGGGAAGCCGGTTCCTGAAGCCTTCAGGACCTTGGATCCCTCTCTCTGTCTCTCTCCCTCTGCTGAAAGGTGCCTTTCTTCAGGTGACCTGTTCAAGTGCTATCAGGTTGTGCCTTTTCACTCGGTTGAAGCTGGAGAGACTCCGACCCGAAGAAAAAGAACCACAAACGCAGAAAACGGTTCTCCCTTCCAAGGCAAATCCCGTCTCCCCTCTCCGCCTGAGGCTCTGCGTCCGCATCTCGGCCAGTAGCTGCACGCACCAGTCCTAGGGTCTCAGTCTCAGCACGCCGCTGCGCGCCACGCGCACGGGGCTCTTTCGCGACCTGCCAAAAACTACTTGCTGGTGCTCAGTAGGGAATGACAGGGTGTTGTTGGGAATGACCTAGGGATTCAACTTAACGGGAATGGTTTATAGGGCTCATTCCCTCTTCCCTGAGAACCAGCAAGTTGCAAGACTAAATGTGAGGAGCATTCGGGTACAAATTCACGACGCAAACAAGCTCTGGAATGCGTCTGAGAACTTCTCAGGGCAAGCCCGACCACATCCGCATCGGCGTGGGAAGCCACTACCATCTGGAGTAAAGATTAAGGATTGATGTCCAACAACCCAGTGACCTGCGAAGCCATGCTTTCAGCTCGAACATTTTCCATAAACCCAACACCTGTCCCAAAGAATCCCCTAAAGGTACCTTCATGGGTGAGCTGGGTGTACTCCAAGGTGAGCTCGCCGGAAAAAAAAGCCGGTATTAAAAGAGTGCGCCCAAAACCATGTAAAGGAGATCAAGGGCTTCTTCCCCCAACCAAGAAGATGGCAAGGGGACTGGCTCTACTCACTTGGGTTGGCCTCAAAATAGGGGAACCCCCAACCCCAACAGAAAGTGGCTCTCCCATTGGTTTCCCTTTAAGCCGAGGTAAACCTAGGAGCCCAACAGAAAGGTGCCCCGTTGTCAGGCTTCCCCATATTTCCCTTTGATGGTTCCCCTTCCTGTATGGCAGCAAAACATGAACAGAACCCAAAGCCTTAAATGATGCAAAGAACAATGAAGCTTGGATGAATAAGATCCTCCCATTTGGCAGTGAAGGTGGTAGACGTAAATCCCCACCTAACTAAATGAGTCGCAATCAAAACCTGGTATTGAACTGGTCTACCCAGAACCGTCTAAGGAGTGAAAAGGGCCGCGAAGGCACCCAGTTCTGGTTGGAAGTGTCCCTCGAATCGGTTTTGGTTGTCGCTCAAAGGATGTTTGGTTGGAAAACCGAAAGGAAAATTATATTTCCCACATGCGGAAAGCTACCCATGGTCGTGGCCGGGGGCCCCAAATGGGAACATAGATCAACCCCTATCTGGATATTACCCACCACCAACGTGTACACCCGGCCGGGTCCCTTAAGGAAAAATGGTCCAAACCAGTACCCCCCCGAACGCGGGGTTCCATGTTAGTCTCGGCTTTTTTTGTTTTTATGATGTGTTGAATGAACAAAAATCCAGTTGGTTCCCGAGCTTCAAATAGACAAATGTGACTTCGAAAATGAACCTTGCGACTTCGAAAACCGCAGTCTGGGCTTCGCTTAATCGGCGGGGCAAGCCCCAAAAACCGAGGCGCCCACTGCAGGCCCTGGCGGCACGCCTCGAGACTCTGCTGGTAGACCAGCGGCAGCTTTCCCGAAGGGCCCTCCCTCGGTTCAAAGCGGTTGGGTCATTTTGGTTGGTTGGCTATGTTGGCTGATTGGCTGGCTGGCTGGTTGGGTGGTTTGTTGGTTGGTTGGTTGGGTGGTTGGCTGGTTGGTTGCTTGGCTGACTGGCTGGTTGGTTGGGTGGTTGGCTGGTTGGCTGGTTGCCTGGTTGGTTGGGTGGCTGGCTGGCTGGCTGGTTGGATTGTTGGTTGGAAGGTTATGTGAATACATTTTTACATTGGCGTTGAGGTCACATCAAGAACACAAAACCACATATGAATTTCAACGAAGAAATGGGTGTTGATATGTGTGTGTGTGTGTTGATTTATCTTGGTTTGAAGGGACATCAAAAGGACAACGACCAGCTATTGGGTCGCCCTAGTTTGACGTTCTCAAATTTATGGCCATGACTTGATGGATAGGATTAGGGGACACTTGGATGTAAATATGGTCTTGTCGGAAGGCCTGAATGGAAACCAATAGAATACCACCCCCGATTTTTGGGAGCCAACCAGTCTTGTGCTTCCCGTGTTTCAGAAGGTCATTCATGTTGATGAGCAATACCCCAAAATGGCAAATGTTGGGCGTCTTTAGTTGCAGCTCTGGGTGGGCAAGGGAAAACACAAGAACACCAACCTGCTTTAGGACTAGTTAAGTGGGAAACCAGCAGGACACCACTTGGGCTTCCTGAAAAATCACAAAACGCACCAATGGATCAAGCGGAATGGGATTTTGAGGTATAGCTTTTAGAAGTATGAAGGTTCTATACCACATGATAGGACTACTATATAGATATATAGATAGATACACTACCATGGCATATAAGCCTCCACGCTCCATACCAAAAAAAAACACATGCCATGGCGAAAAGCTGTGAGACAACTGGCTACAGCAGCCAGATAAGATGCGGATTGCATCAACAAAAAGTGGCAAACTCCCTAGGTGAAGAAACATGGCCATGGGTCAAAACCCAAATCGGTTACCCCCCAGTGAACATCCCAATCCAACCACTAAAATCCCGACTAAAATGGGTGGTGCACCTATCCCAAAATGGTACCATTGGTTTTGAACCATGGCCACATGTTCATCTCGCTTGCTAGAGCCCCTGTGAGCGGGGGTGGGGGAGCTGCCGCTTCAATTCGCGAGCAATCTGCTTTGCTTTGCTCATTTCTTACATTTACCCTAGAGTAGGTGACCAAGAAAGAGCCTTGAACACAGGGAGTCGCGTCATGTTTAGCGAGGAAATCCAAACTCCTACCCGCAAGACATCCAATGTCGCATCTCTGGTCCCCCAAACAAAGGCAAACAACGCATCATGCATGGGTCTGGCACTCGAGAAACCAACCCAATGGTCGCCCTTCTAGCACTTAAAGGCGTGTAAATCGCTGCACTTCCCACCATGGCTGGCTCCCCTTCGGCTTCCCCTAAACACAACCCTTAAATTAGGGTACCCTCACAAAAGGCACACGCATGTTGCCTCAACCTGAGTTGGGAGTACCGAAGTGCCATCCGCAAGCTCGCCGGTTTTATTACCCGCGCGAGTCACTGGTCCATGGGATGAACCAAGTGGCCACGAAGGGGTGAGAAAAAGGGCTAGGAGCTATGGAAACATGTGGGTGCAGGTCAAGAACAGCTACCCAAAATGGAACCCTGGTAAATGCCCATGTGAGCATCCGCCATACCTCCACTGCAGGCTTGCCCAACGCATCAGAGTCTGCAGCCTCCTTCAGAGTTCAGCATGGCGATCGACGTCAGCGCACATCAGCTGGCCGGAAGGGCACCTCCTTGCCACTTTGGGTGGCAGCTATGTCGGCAAGGGCTTTCACAACCTCAAATGCCCAAAGGACCAGGAAAAAAAGGCTTGGATTGAAACCTGTAAGCCTCGACAACAGAAAAGCCAAAAGGTACAGCTAAATCCAAAATAGGACGTTTTGAGTCAGGAGCAACCCCGACTCAGGCCACCATGATGGGGCTTCGTTTTCTTTTGAGGAATTCACTTTTCTGTAAGTATCCTGAAACACGTTTCTTTTCGGCAATCCAATCCTCTTTAAGTCGAATCCGGTGACGGTATCCGGTGAACATTTCCCAGGTCCTCCAGTAGAGAGGTTAGAATAAGGGTACCAACTTTTTTATTGTTTGTCTATTTTAGTAGGGGAACCCTCCCCCAAAAAAGTTGGGTGAGAGGTCGGGCACTACTGGGGGACCTAGTTTCGAGAAGAAGCCCCCCACCCACAGCCACCCTAAAGCCACCCACCGGGTTCGACTCGGCTAGCCGAGGTACGCCAGAGAAGTCCAGCCAGCCGGGGCAGCCGGGCTTACAGGGCACCCAGTGCAGCCGGATGCCCAGCTTCTCCAGACTCCTGAAGATCACTCCAGGGTTTATCCCCTTATGGGGTAGTTGTTTGTTCCTTTTCTTTTTCTGTTTTTTTTATCCCTTTACATATCTTTACATGGGCGGTTAGTTGTTGTTTGCTTTTAAACAAAAACCACTGTGATACAAGGATATGATTCTCCCCCTTCTATGGGGGGCTTGGTCTTTGGGAAGAACTTTTTAGTTGCACGAAGTGGATTCCATTTCCCACAACCCTGGACTCCTCGCTTCAGCACTACCGCTCGAGAGGAAGGGGCTGCCTGCAGGGGGGCCCTGTCTGGCCCCACATCTCTCATGTGTGTGTGTGGAGATAGGAAGAAGAGAAACAAAAGACGTGGTATAAACGCGAAAACAGCAGGACGCCATCCCATGTTTAGGAATCTCATATTTCAAGAAAACTCCCTATCTGGGGTCATGGTCAAAGTTTTAACACATCCCCATTGTGGGGTGACCGTCCCTGCCATCCCTAAGCTGTACTCGCTTCCTGGGTGGATTGGCCAACAAGCCGATATCTTATCTTACCACTAAACTGGTGCTCCCAAAAGACATCAAGCCCAGCTCGTTACGTCGTTGTTTAGACAGGGCTCCCGAAATTCCGACGTCTCCCCTAAAGGAAACTCCCTTGAACAACTGGCAAAAGGTGCTTGCATCCACCAGATAGCGAAACATGGGGGGACCCTGAATGCTTCACTAGAAAGGGACACATCCCACCCAACACCTGCTTTTTCCCATGTCCAAAACCCCAAGTACTCTCCAACACGGCAGTGCTTGGGCCCCTTCGGTGCCGGGCCAGAACCGCCGGACCCTCGCCTTGAGCCACCACCACATCCGTCACGCAACACCGCCAGCTCTCAGCTTCCACTCGCTCGAAGCCCTGACAGGCCCGGCACAGGGCTTCCACCATATCCTGGCCCGGCGATGGCTGTGCCTGAAACCCCCCCTTTTCCAGTCGAGTGGATGGCCCAAAACAGTAAGCAAACTGTTTAAAGCGACCCTTCCCCATTCGAGTGGATGGCCCCTAAGAAGTAAGCAAACGGTTTAAAGCGACGGTTTAGTCCAGGAACTCGGGACGTGGACCTTAAATAGGGGGATCCCGACAAATTGCATTGTTTTCGTGTCGGTTTACCTTTGGCAACTCCAAAAAAGCGTACCCTCCAAAAAGATTGACCACACATGGGTGTGGCAACTCGGATTTCCCAAAATGAAATGGACAAAGGAGGCTAAAACTTGCGGTCTGCCTCTGATTTTTTGAGCCACAACCAAATCAAGGGTTAGCTGATGGCGCGCGAAGGAGAGAGGCAACTCTATAGAGAATGACCGACACCAGGGCAAAAACCCAAACCTTGGAACCCGCTGCCAAGAGATTGGACTAGCAGCAACAGGTGAAGGATCTCCAAAGACTCGGTCCATTCGAGTAACAACCTCAACATATGGCTTAAACACGTGATGTCCACCATGACAAGGTAGGGGGACCCCCCAAACAATGGCTACTCTCAAAAACACGCACAAACACAGACACACCACAGACTCAAAGGTGAATTAAATTGCGTTGGGCAAGTGTCTCACATGGAACTCGAAGAGGTTCATCTGGAGCAATTTTGGGGTCCATTAAAACACTCAGATGCCCAGTGGCCATGGGAAAAAAGCGCATCCAATTTTGCTTGGTCGACTTTAAAGGGGGATCCTTCCCAAAAAAAGGAAGAAAAGGCATGGGTCAAAATCCCGTACCCCCAGTGAACATCCCAATCCCCGCTAAAATCCCGACTAAAATGGGTGGTGAATTCACCTACCAACCAAAATGGGATCCCAAAACGGTTTTGACCACCACTGCCATTTGGCAACCTCCGGTCCTTGCCAGTCATGACCTCCATGCCCTGCGGCGACGTGCACGTGGTCTCGCGGTCGTGCTCCGAGTTCAGCAGCAGCACCTTCGGCACGGCGGCGCCTCTGATCCGTGCGCCGATGGCCGGCAGCAAGAGCCTCGAGAGAAAAAAGTTTCCGAGAGAAACAGACGGCTCCCTATATTCTTCCATTTGCACAAAATAAGCCCCCTAGAAACAATGGGAAAATATGTCCAGTACTGGTAGATTCCCTTTAAAACCACCAACAAGGGAAAATAACTCATATTCATTTCAGCAAATGGATGTGTTTCCCCTGAAAACATCACCCCCACCGAAAAATACTCACCTTTCATGGGCCGCAAAGGTGATGTTTAAAACCAAAAAGGGACATATAGGGACTACTGCTACATGCCTGGAAGGCTTCTCTAAGCCACTCTCTAATTGGCGGTTTGGATTGGTGGTTCAGTGGTTAAGGGATTGTTTCCCATTAAATACTCACCAATCCAGACCACCAATTGAGAGGTACCTGATTCTCAGAAGGGACTCTTAGGAGTTCTTAGAAGGGTTCCATGAACCATTCTGGTGGGTGGGCTTTTTGACCGTCTCTGTAGGTTCTGACCCCCCTTGAGCTACACGTTTTGCTAGTTAGAAGGGACAAATGAAGGACCCCCCCATGGTGTACGCGAAGAAATACAATGTTCGAATTTCTGTTTCAGTAGTCAGCCTGAAGACATACCCTCCCAGCATGGAACCTGACAGGAGGGTCCTGGAAGATCATGTTCCTTTTAAAAGGGACCTTTGAACGTCAGGTTCCAGGTTACTTGTGGATGGACGGAATCCTGCACCGCTTTGAAACCAGGCGAGACGCCCCAAAAAATGCTAAGGCTTACAGCGGGCAGCGAGGGTAGCACCGAGGTGAGAAGAGACCCCACGCTGTACACGACACAATCTGCAGATTCGATGGCGTCGAGCACGTCAGCATTCGCCGGCAAGCTATGGCTCTTCAGCTCCTAGGTGCCCAAAGAATAGACACCCATTGGGTGTTTTCCAGAGAGGAACACTGGAACACCATCTGTTTTTTAGGGGGGAGGGAACCGTTTTTTGTGGTTTTCAAACGAAAGCAAAAGCAAAACCGCCACTCTGGGTTGTTCCCTATCCGGCCCAAAAAGGGGTCTACCAGTTTAAGAAACACCCAATTGGATTTCAATCGCACCCGTCGATCTCGTCGATATATATATATATATATTATATGTATATATATATATGGTCAGGCCACCCCCCCCTTGAACTACCTTTCTTTCTTTATTTTGTTTTTCATCAAATGACCACAAACAAACACTATGTTGTTCCATAGTTTTTAGCTCTCTCGACCATCAAAACTAGAAAGATATTATATATTGACCCCTCCGAGGTGATTTCCACTGCCGGCGCAGCAATCAGTTCGCACACCCGGGAGCATCTACACTCCCACCAACTAACATACCAACTAACATGGCAGTGCACCAAGCGGAAAGTTGTGAAGGAACCAGGTCGTGTAACAAGTGTTGTTACGAGTGGCAGTGCACCAAGCCCGTTTCGAAGAGGAAAGTCGTCTTTCTACAGAGGTCTGTGCGCTTCCACGTTGGTAGGGTAGCTTCTGGCGAACTTCTCAGGAGATCTGTGGCGAAGGTAGGTCAAATGACTGCGTGATTTTAGTGGTAGGGGCTCCTCAGCTAGAACCATGGACATACTTCCAGTTTTCGTTCGGAAGGCAGTGGTTGGGGGGAGGTTAAAAATGTTAAAAGCTCTTAGAAGGCTGGTAGACCTTTAGATTCCGCCCCCATAAAGAATCACTGGAAGCACAACGAACAGGGCGCTGAAACCGTGTTTGAGCTTTGAAGAAACGGCCTTCCGGTTTTGGCCGAAACTTCAAAATCCACCAACTCCAGCCGCGGAGTCTTAAACCTTTGGGTAATCGCTACTTGATTCGGCCCCGAGAAATCCCCGTTCAGCAACCCCTTGGGAAACCAACCGCTTGAAGGAATCCCCCTGCTCCTTTTTCGGCTGAGGGCGATCCGAGCTTCCCGTCCTGCCCGTGCTCGTTCACAAAAAACAAACGGCGCACTGGCGCAGGCAGGGGCACTTTCCCGCTCTCCTTCAGGTTCTCCCCGGGTACCTTGCTGAAGAATTTCTTGGCCCACGGCAAAAACAAGTATGTCCAGATTCAGTTTGATGTGTGTGTATATATATATAGGGAGGCCCTCAAAAATGGGTGTTGTTCTGTTGGTTGCCCTTGAAACCATCCTGAAAAGGGTACCCCCAAAAAGCAACACCCAGTTCTTGGCCCAGATCTGGGGTGCACCAGACTTGTCTAAGACATAGCATACTTTTGGAGAAAACACCAGATTTGGCGTGAACAAAAAAGACACAAAGCCCCCGTACGCGTTTCAAACGTCCGCATTGCATCAGCTGATGCACCAAGTTGATTGAACTCTCAAGAATAAAGTACATCTCCTGCTCAACCATCTGTGCAAAGTGCTTTCATTCCCAAATCAGACACCAGGTAACTCAAAACACGCAACCCTTTCCAGTTGCCAAGTGGCTTTGCCAGGAAAAACAAAACAACACAAAGAACTGGAACATGTTCACCGAACCCCACGCCACAAAAAAAGAAAGAAACAAAAACTTGTTTTTGTTACCACGCGACTTCTGGATGGCTGATCTCGCTCTGGCCGATGATGTGATCACCATTTTCAAGCTCCACACCTAGCCGAGTGGAACAGGCGAAGACTACCCGTCCGTACCAAGAAGTTGGGTCACAACTGCCAGCCACAAAAGGCGTTTTGGATAGGCTCTCGGTTTTCTGATTCCCTAAAAGTTTTAAATATATGGGTTATATAAACTTGGAAACCCAGCCGGTAAACAAACTACCTAAAAAAGCACAGGGGATGGCTGGGAACCGCCAAGTTGTGGGGATCATTTTGTGCTGGCAGGTGAAGAAAGCCAGTTCACAAAGGTCAACTCTGAGGTACACCAAAAACCTGGAGCCTCAAACAACCCATTTTGATTGCCCCAAAAATGATCGGGTCAAAGCCGCTATCATTCGGGGAGTGTGAAGGTCCAGGAATACGTTTTGCTCAGATTCTGCCTCAGATTCCGTCGATATATGAAACGACCTTTTGATCTCAGGTGTGGCGATCCTAAGGCCAGAGAAGTTACCCCAACACCCCTAAGGGAACTCATCTTGGGTCAAGGCGATGCTTGAAACCAAAAAGGGGACATGGGTGGCTCGTTTTTCAGGTCGGACCGCCTCAAAATTGCTGGTTCCTTGGCTTTGGTCTTCCTTTAAAACACCAATACAAAAGGGTACCCCACATAGAGTTGGAGCACTTGCCTATGGTCACAAAGAAGCTGAGGTTCATCACTGGCAGCACCCGCGTCTCCGGGGGGATCTGCGCAATCCTGGTCCACATGAGAATGGCAGCGGGGAGCGACCCAAAGTGCAGCCGAACGCCGGTGAAGAAGCAGTTCCCGATGCCTTGAAGTCAGGGGAATCGATTTCGCCTGTGGGTCAGTTCAGTCTCTTCTGATTTTGTTGTTGTTGTTTTTGCGGGGAGGGGGTGGGTACACCTGTTGTGGGGATTTCAAAAGAGAAACCAACAGGAAAACCACATCTGTGAAACGTCCCCGAAAACAAAGAGCTACGCCCCCCAGTGTGCTTCCCTTGTGAGACTTCTGGCTCGCCTTCCAGAGGGATTGTTCAAACAGAAACCAAAGGAAAGACATCGGGGGTGCCCTGGTTGAAGACATGCGTTTCGAGCCTTGACCTACGGTACCTTGCCAGCCCATTCCTACAAAATTATAGGTTGAGAAACCCCGAATTTGACATGGAAACCCGGAATCTGGAAAAATGCACGCCTGCCCTCCGGGAATGAAGTTTAAGTGCACCCCGGGAACGAAGCCCTGCTGTTAATAAAACTGTCCATTCGCACCAGGAACGGCTTCAAAACTTTCTGTGAATCTAAGGCAAACCACAGGGGCAACCGACATTTTTTCCTGGTCGAAGCTTTAAAAAAACAAACCCATCCTGCCCGTGTTTCTGCTTTTTGTCAAAGGTCGTAAACCGCGAAATCGCCACGATGCTCGCGCGCCGGAAATCGAAACTGTGGAAGTTTGCTTCGATGTCGAAGCCTTTGTTCACGGAAATCCCGGCGTTCACGGACACCGCATTCCGCAAAATCTCCGAGTGGAACTTCCTAAGTGATCCATGGAACACCCCCTTCAAAACTTAACCTCCAAATGGACAAATACTTGTGACCCCGCTACGATTGAAGAGAAGACTTGGTGCTGGTTGAAAGGGAAAACGATGGGAAACCAAAGAGGCAGGCCTCCATTTGCTTAAGTCCCCGGGACAAACGTGGTCCAGTAGTGATAGATTCTCTGAAAACCAACAGGGGAAACTGAAAACATAAATGTGCAGCAAATGGCTGTGGGTCAAAACCAATGGTACCATTTTGGGGTAGGTGCACCACTCATTCATTTTAGTCGTCTATCTTTGTGGGGATTGGGATGTTCACTGGGGGTACGGGATTTGACCCATGGCCAAATGGAAGCAGGTAGCTTAAGTTCGGCAATGTTTCAAGAGGAAGGACTGGATCACGGATTTGTAGTCCGTGGTGATACCCTTGTAGAGGCTGTGGCGGCCGTCCAGCAGCATGGACCACTCTGCCAGTGCGCTTTCTGCCTCTGTAGGAAGCCGATACTCCAGCAGCCGAACAACTTGCTTCTCAGATGGATGTACTTGATAGCTCTCCCGGTCACTATGTCCTGTGTCAGAAAAACAAACGGCCTTCCGGACCAAACATGGCTTGCAAAACTCTAAAGGTCCAAAGTACGCTCAATGGTTTTTGTATATGGGTCTATTACTTTTTTCACGGGTACCCTTTTCGGGCTGCTTAACGGGAAACTATAAAGGGGAATCCACCGTTTTGGGGGATCCCCCAACAAAACCGATTGGCGGCAAAAGGTTTGCTCAGGGAAAAGTTGCTTTGGGCAAGTGTCTGGGAGATCCCCCCAAAAACAAACCGATTGGCGGCCAAAGGTTTGCTCAGGTTGGATTTGCTTTCGGCAAAAAAAGCAGCTCGGCGGCAAAAGTTGTGCTCAGGTCGATTTGCTTTGGGCAAGCGTCTCAAATGAAACTTGGACAGGTTTACCAGCCTCGAGCGAATGTCCCCAATCGCCGGCCCACGCAACACACGGAGGATCTCCGCAGTAGAGCCCCCATTGTCGGTGACCGGCATCACGTGACTCACCCTGCGATTCCAGCTGTGCAGCACGGGAACCAGCTCATTGGTAGCTGTGCCTGGGGGCGATTCACTGAAATTGCAAGGGGCTTGCATCAAAATTGTGGCACCCCCACACTGGCTGGTCTCCTTCTGGTTTGTCTTTAAAACCCACCGAAAAGGGGGTTCCCCCAAAAAGAGACACATGCATTTGTGAAAACCGCTGTGCGTGGTGAGGCATTTCTTGTCAAAGGCAAACCAACTCAAGAGGGTGTTCCCCAGAAAAAAATACAACCACAGATGTGAAACCCCTCATGGAAAAGCATCCAACCAGCAAGTCCAGCAAGAATGAGTCAATTGATGTCTCGGTCAAGGTGGACTGCTTGTTTTTGCGCCACCCTGGCCTCCCCCGAAAATCACCAGCTGCGGAGGAGCCGCCGCCTCTTCGCAGCAAACCCTTCCTCTTGGGAGCAAAGAGCGCCACAGGCAAAGCCTGTTGCGATCAAAATAACTTGCTGGTGCGATAGGTAGGGAATGAATTTCCGAGCCCGGGTTTGGGAATGCACCCAGGGATCCTGTTCAGGCAAACCACCACTTGGATGATTTTCTTGAGGCCATTCCATTTCTCATTCCCTGCCTATCGAACCAGCAAACTCCAGCTCCCAAATCTCGGCAGTCCTTTCCTTTGCCTTTAAGCCGAGGCGTCCCCTCAAAAACACCAGCGAAAGGTTGTCAAAATGCGAAGCCCCTTGTTGGTCCATGGTTGTGGGGCCCGCCGACCAAAAAAACCGGGGTCCAAAAAGGGCTCCATTTTGCCAACCCACCAAACCCGCCTGTCAGCACCTGCCCACCCGGCGTCGAGTTTCAGCTCGGCGCCGTTGCGCCGTTCCCGACTTTGCACAGCACACGCCACGGCCAGCGCACCGCACCGCCATGGGTGGACGAAAGCGTGCCCAAGAACCATGTCCCAGAACTTTGGGGCTACCCATTTTGAAGGGTACTTTCAGGGTCCAGGTAGACCAAGTTGGGCGTACCTGTTTGCAGGGCACCTTGTTCGGTACTGTAGTACAGGGAAACCAACCAAGAAACCAAGATACTAAGCGTGGATCTCTAAAAGACGTGTCGCACCTTGTGCTCTGCTCAGTGACCATCAAATATGCAATGCACCTGATCGAAGGTGTTTTGCGTGTCTGTTCGCACCAATCGCGTGAAGACACGCAACCTTCGCTACCCTAAACCAAACAAATAACAGTTGACTCTGATCCATAAGTCCTTGGGGAACATGAAAATGCAAAATCGCTTCAACCGAGATCTCCTTCTTTGCTGCAGGGAAGCTCCTTGTTCTCAGCGCTGACCCCTAGAAAGGGTGTGAAGCGGCCATCGCGAACATAGACTGGATCCCGCAACCTACAGCCTGCAGTCGCAATCCTGGGCTTGGCACGCGCCGGGGTTTGGCTCTTGGGAGCGTTCCGGCAGACTTCCGTACTCTTGAACAGTTCCATGATTGTTGGAGAAAAGGGTGGCACGCCGTTGCACGATCAATTTGCAAATGGGGTGGTGATGGGTAGAACATTCGTCCCTGCAAAACAAAAACCGATAAGTATGCTGCATGCTGGCCATAAGTTTCAAGGCTGCTCCGAATGAGCGGTCCTGTAGTGACCCGCGAGGTTTCTCTTTCTCAGCTGCCCTGTTGAAGCATCACGCAAACCGGGCATTACTGACTTCAGCAGCTGGCTTGCCTTTTGGTAGATTTTGCCCTGTGGAGGAACAGGGACCTTCAAGAGTGTAAGGACCCCCCTGAATTAACGTTCAACCTTGGAGGGACTCAAAAGTTAACTTGGCACAAACGGCCAACCCCAACTATTAGCCACGGCCCAAGTTCGGGCGCCTCGCAGTTGCCCTTTCAACAAAATCGGCCCTTTCCGATGGGCAAGTGTTGTGTGCTGGTTTGCTTGTGTGCTTGCTATTTTGTCTGCTTGCCTGGTGCTCGTTTCTCGCTCGCTCGTTTGCTGGCTCGCTTGCGTGTTTCGTTTTCTTTTGACACGAATAGATGACCCCGTTTCTGGGCTGGCCACGCCTGTAAAATATGCAGCTCACTGTTTGCTGGCTAATGGTCGGAGGCTTCCCAACCAACCAACCAACCAGCCAGCCAGCCAGCCAGCCAGGTCAGCCATGTGAGGCAAGCTGCGTGCGCAGCAGCACCAAGCTATGCTGCCAACGCGACTCCTGTGACAGTGACGTGATGATGTCATTCGGCAGATACCTGGCGACATCGTCGGGGAGCAACTGCGCCCCGCGCTGGGTTGGTCCTCTTGCCCAGTGTTGAAAAAAAGCTGACTCCTACGCTTGAAGCGGGGCATATTTCCCTTCGCCGCCTGCTCTTTTGTAGCAACAATTAAAAAAGGTTGCGTGGCAGGTGCTGCAAGAAACCACAGAGCTTTAAATCCATCCGGGGCAGTTGGAAAATCTGCATCCAAGGGATACCAGGCTAGGGCTACCTACCTCACGTTCAACTTCGAACCCACCGGGCGACTTTACCCACGATATAGGCATGTCGACACATATATTATATGTGTATATATATATATATAATATATTTTTATATATTGTGTAATGCCACAACCACGTAAGTAAACAAACATGAACAAATCAACACACAAACGAATAAATGAATCAAATAAGTAATAACAAACAAACAAACAAACAAACAAATGAAATACATAGATGCATGCATATACACATATCACATGGATGTTCGGCCAATCCAACATCCAGGTGCCCAACCTGTCCCTGGTTGCCCCCGCCATCCGACCATCCGACTGGCGAAGCCCGAAGCCCGGCCTGTTCCTCTTCGCCGCATTGGCCGCGAGACGGACCCTGCTTGCCATTCCAAGCGGGCCATTGGCGAGTTGGTGTCACGAAAAAGTGCTTCGGACCGAGCTCTCCGTTCTGGTGCAACTCTTGGCTTGCTCGCGAGGCTGCGAAAAGGCATGTGGCTAAAGTAACGCTTCGTTGTCGCTCAACAAGTGAAGAGATTGGTTGGTTTGAAAGGGAAACCACGAGAAGAGCACCAATTTTGGGGGTTGGATAGCTGGACAAGGCAAAACCGGCCTCCCAAATTTCGCACATACGGAAGGCGTAACAAACAAAAACAAAACTGAGGTCATGGGCCCCAATGGATTCCCTGATTGATGTTGTCAGTTGCGCGTCTTTGAGTTTGAGGGTTGACACCGTTGACACTCGAGCAACTCAGGGGCTCCCATTTTTGACCGCCCATGTGGCTAGCTCTTTTTTGACACGAGCTGTATGCCCCAGCGAATCCTGCTTTGGCTCTCAAGTGCTGGAGCCGGCTGGCGATTTGCCCAAAGATGCGTCAGGGGTCTTCATATCGGCCTTTGGGCCAAATTGTTGTGATTCCTCACACAAACACTCAACAGATTCCTGTTAAAGGAGCCACACTTGGGCCCCAAGCCTCCGGAACTCTACCACACGTTTCGGCCGTCGACATGTTTGGGCCAACAAACCAACTTCAAAAGGACGTACTGAAGTTAGATGAAGAGGAAACCAAAGAAAAACCACCGACGGAGGGGACGACCCTTTGAGAGATGCCGACATCACCATATTTTCCCGAGGCAATGCCAGGGCTGGGTGTAGTTGGGTGCTTTGATCTCCCGGCGCGGGCCTCTGGCATTTGAGAAGCACCGGGCTTGGCGTATAAGCCGATGCAGCATATACATTGTCACAAAACGGGACCCACAAAAATTGGGGTGTTCAACTGTTGGTCTCCATTCAAATCAAACCATTAAACGGTATCCTCAACACACACACACACACGGCTCACAAACACACACGGCGCACCAACACACACACACACAACTAAGCCACGCTTGTCGAACAGCTTTGATTTCCCTTTCCATGGAACCAATTTGCACGTCATGCTTGCCTGTTTTGGGCGACTCTCCTCATTCAGCGGAAACCAAAGAATGTCGTAAATATCCGCTCGCGTTCTGGACTTTCTGTGGGATCGGAGAAAGGGTTCTGAAGCAAAAAAACGCGACTTGCCTTTCGGGGCCTCATTTGAGAGATGCTGGGCGCGCCTCGGGATCTGCCTGTTGCCATCGGCATACCCGTGGAAGTGGTCTATGAAGGTACCCCTGTTGGGTGGATTTGAAGAGAAACTGAGACAAACCCAAACGAACCCAAAAACGTTGACCCCGCAGTCATGAGGGCGGGATTTCGAGTGCTTGCCCCAAGAGCACAGAACCCCCTCTTGCATGGCCCCCCGCGCCTGCGCCAAAAACAGATCCTTTTACCTTTAATCGGTGGTTGGCCGGGTTGCCAGCAAAAAACATGGGTAGATTCAGGTCCCAAACCAGCACATCCAGCACAAAACCTGGCGCTTACGTGAGGTTGAAGGTCGACCAGGTGGATTTGGTTTTGCTAAGCCTTGGATTTGTGGGACCCAGATGCCACGCTGCGAAAAACACGTTGAATCCCTTGGAATACCTTGCACGTCCAAAACGCGGCTGAGTCAACCTGTCCAGCCACAAGCGGCGATGTGTTCTCTCGAGCGATGCGTTCGGCATTAGCCAAAGTGCGGTTCGGCTCGCCATGTTGGCTCGCCACGTTTCGGAAACGAGTGAAGCCTCCCGAATCCTCCGCTCGGGGTGTCCTTTCGACATGAAGAGTTTGGGTTCTGTACCGCTCTTGAGGATCCGCTTGCACTTTGTGGACCATACATTTTGCCACGGTGGCATACCTTGAAAAGGAACTTGCGGCAAGGACAACCCCTGCGCCCTGAGTGGACCCCAACTTGTCATGCGCAAAAAGCGTTCGTTGCAAAGAACCACGAAACAACATCAGCCACTCAGACGGGATCGGGACAACTCCGCCAGTTCTCTCCGTTTATGCTATCCAATCCACTTCACATGTCGCTTTGGGCAAGTGGAATGAGTGAGGTTTCTGGACGGGGCGTGTGGCCTGCCTCAGAAGGGCAACTTCTTAAACATCCAGGCATCCTCGTCTAGGCGGTCCACCTGCACAGGACAATCCTGCGCAGAACGCAGAGGGGTTCACATGAGGCACCGGTTTTTGATGCTACCCCTGAGACTCCTTGGACACAGCCTGCATATTTTGAAATCCAACCTGGAGTCTAGAAGCGGGGTCACGGGCTAAAACCAGCTGCGCCTCCACTCTGTCAGTATTGAAGTTTGGAGGGTCGGCACTATGTGTCGCATGGTAATTCTGCCGCATGGCATTCCCCTCACTATCGTACACAACGGTATGCAAATATGAAGGGCCCAAATGTTTGGAAGTTAAGGGTTGAACCAAAAAAGCAACTGTGCTCACAGTGCTTAGGTCTGGCTGACATCTCACAAATGTTCGCGAGCTGGAGCAATTCATGCACTAACTCAGAATGAGGCTTCCCAACTCAAATAAGGTGGAAGACACACTAACAGGACCTTCCGCCCATGGGCTTTCAAAATCAAACCAAAACCTCAGCCTCAGGAAGAGAAACAAAAAAAAAAACGAACGTGGCTGGACCATTTTCCGTTTGCTGCAAAACTCCTCTTTGACACCAGCAAGGAAAAATGGAAACCTTTTCTGCGCTGGACCCACACAGTGGGCAGAAGGCTTTGGGGCTCCTTTTGTCTCAAGAGAAAACTACTTAAGAACCAGCACAAAACTGGTTTTGACCGCTTTTCACGAAACTGACCTAAGAACGACAATGGCATTGGCTTGGATCTGTTGGGCAAATGGAGCCTGGAGATAGAACCAACACGTCGAATGTCAACCCCAGAGTAATGCAACCTGATCGGTTTTCTTTGGAGTTGAGACAATCAAGGGGCTGAACAACACCGTTCTTGGGGGCTAACCAACTGGATGCTTGTGCTTTTTGGAGTTGACATAATTATTCCAATTTGTGTAAGAATATTTGTTAGTTTCCCCTGTTGGTTGCAAGGGGAATCGATTTCACCTCTGGGCATAAATTACTCTTTGTTTGGTAGGGGCACTGAAGCACATGGTAGCCACTAGGGGGTGACATCCCTCCCCAAGTGATGAACCCTCACGAAAAGGGTTGGACACCCATAGGTGGCCCCTAGTAAATGGGGCATAAGCGGCATAAACCCCATCTAAACCAGGGACCTCTATTTTTTAAGCAAACCGACCACAAAGGACACCTATGGGAACCCCCCCCCAAAAAAAAAACACAAAAAAGAACCGTTTCTGACTGCGGGGTCAACCTCATCAGAATGTTCTCCCGCTTCCTCTTTATCCCTAGTTTGAAGAAACTCGTTTAGTTGCTTTGAAGACGCACTCAAGCGGAACCATTCGGGGGCCATTTCGAGACAAAGCAGTAGGCTTCTTCTGAAGGTTGATTCCCCATTATCTTGCTCTCTTCAGACACCGCCCATTCTCTAAATGGATTTCTCACTTGAGTTGATTGGCCGCACGTAGCCAACCTTTTGCTTGCCACTACAATGACTTAAATGGCAACCAACCAAACAAAAGGTGAAACTAAAGTCCATGAACTCCGAGAGTGAGTATCTGGATCTTGCTATCTTGCTCAAGATAAGCACCCATGCAACCAGTGCTATGACCACCTATGGGTGTTGGGCCACGTCATGTTGCGTGGGATGTTGAGAGCTCCGACACAGCCGGAGCTCTCAGCGCGGGCCCCGCGCGCCCCGCGCGACGGTCCGCGCCTCCCGCCGCAGCTCCGTCATGATGCCCTCCATGACCTGCGGCGCGCCGCTTGGAACTGGGCACGGGCGCTCTGGGCTGAACGCCGCGGAGCGTTTGGGCTGCGGCTTCGAAGTCCTCACCTGATGGGCCAAAAGTAACCAGACTTTGTTTGGACCGCAAAAAAATGGAAACAAGCAGACAAACAAGCAAGCAAGCAAGCAAAAAGGAAGAAACAAAGAAAACATAACACAACAACACCAAACAGAATAGCACCAGCATCAACAAGAACAACCAAACATAGCACATAATGTGACACGCATACTCAAGAGATCGCCAACATGACTGGTGTTCTGTTGGTTTGCACATTAAATCTGACCAAAAGGGCGACACCCAAATGAGCCCACAAGAACAGTAGTCGCAGCCACTACAAAGGAGCCTGGTCCTTGCCCAGAAAAAGAGATCAGTCTCTCTTAGGTCAGCCGTTACTAATATTGATCAACCCTTGAAATCCGCCGACCCTCTGCCTCCCGTCCCAGCCTCCTGCAAAGGGGACCGGCGTGGGATGCAACTGGAAGTGATTGGAATCAATGATAGTGTTTGTCACGCCCGAACGCACAAAAAGTGGATTCCCAGGACCGGTCCCGGGACCGGTCCCGGGACCGGTCCTGGGACCAGTCCTGGGACCAGTCCTGGGACCGGTCCTGGGACTGGTCCTGGGACCCTGGCTCTGCTGTTTCAGATTACTTGTAGTCAGCCAAAACCGGTCTGTCCCGGGACCGGTCCCAGGACCGGTCCGGTCCTGGGACTGGTCCCGGCCAGGACCGCTTTCAGGACTGAAGCCGGTCCCGGGCCTGGTGTGACCGCTGGTATCGGGTCCTACTTCAAACTGCTGTGGTGCCACCTCAAACGCTCCAGACACCTTTCCGGACTGGCACCCGTGTTTCAGGACACTGGACAGGGTCCCAGGTGTAGGGGCACCGACGGCCTTGTTTCTAGGACCAGCTCAACGTGACTTGGGCACAAACCGGCCCGTGCGGTTATTGACGGACGAGCTGCCATCTGTCTGACTTTTCCGTTAATCCTTGTGGTAGTAGAGGATCCCTGGATCTATTCTGCAAGAGAGTCGGTCCCTGCCGGCGACCGGTCCAGGGCAACTTCGGGAGGGCCAGTTTCAGGGCGACCCCGGGAGAGGCGACTGCTCCCGGGCCAACTCGAAGTGACTTGGGCGCAAGCCGGCCCAAGCGGTAGTTAACGGACTAGCTGCCATATTTCTGACTTTTCCGTTAATCCTTGTTTGTGGTCGTAGAGGATCTTATAAGTGGTCCCTGGGTTTGCGGACGTGTTTCAGGACCGGTCCTTGTGACTTTTCCCTTAATGCGCCGAGGGTCGGCGGCAGCAGGCGGGAGCCCATGTGTTAAAATCACGTTTATCCGGAGGACTGTATAAATCCGAGGAATCCCACCAACATTCCATCCCTGTAAAAGGGGAACTGTCTCCTCACTAGCATGGTCCTTCGATTCAATGCCCAAAGCTGTCAGCAAACTCCTGGGCCGAGCAAACTGGGCCCACCTGGCTGATCTTTGGAGGCGCTTCCTCTCCTAACTTCGACCCCATCCCAGTCTAGGCGATGTCCCGTTGAGTGGTTGATAAATGCGACCAGTTTTCCCCTGCCAACAGACAATGGTTTCCCGTGGTTTCAAAGTGGTGTGAAGGGACTTCGTCCATCCACTGTATGACCCCAGAACCTACTTCCTGTGATACCCATCGGGGGGCTTTCCGCAGGCCTTCTGCTTGTGCTTCCGATCGCGCTCCCTCTCCTCGTTCCGGTTCACATCTCAGCGGAGGTGCGAGGGGCTGTACGCTTTCGAGGTCGGTTTAAAGGAACCCAAAAACATCCCGCCGTTTTGGGGGTCCCTATTTTGATACATCAAACTTGGGTCTCCCAGTGAACCCCCGAAACAAGTACCCAACTTCTCTTTGACCTTCCTTCTTCACCGGCCCCGAAGAGAGTACCAACATCAATTCGAAGGTCGTTAGCACCCCTTTTCTACTTCAACTACCATCCAGCGGGGTCGGTGGCCGGGATACGGTACCTAATTAACACATGCGTTACGGCGATATTCCACGCTGCCATGGTTCGTCAGGGCACAAACACTCAACCACAACCAGCATGAAACACACACACACACACAACCAACTCAATTTCGACTGCTACGTCAGACGCCTTGAAATTGCGTGGGTTGAGATCATGTGACGTGGCCCAGTTGCTCATGCGGTGCTTGCCGCCGGTTTCTCGATCCGTCAGGGCTGGATGCGGCAAGGGCTGAGCGCCCAACTGCCTGGGAACCTGCGGCTGGGTATCACTCGAAACTCCGGGCTGGGCTGTCCGTTTTCAGATCCCCTGCGAAATGTCGACTTGTTTTAGTGGTTTTAGTGGAAACTTCCACTAAACCAACCAAAAAGCTAACAACCTCAGGGGATGGCGAAGAACCAAGTTTGCTGGCTACTTCTTTGGGACGAGCAAATGAGCGGGGTTTAGCCACAAAACAACGACCAAACAAGCAAACGGGAGGTTTCCATGCACCAGCCAAGTGGGTTGAAGCCTTGAATAGTCGATCTGGTGGATGAATAGCTGAGTGTGTCCCCCAAAGTGAAGGATCTTCTCTTGAAGGGGACACCCACCAATAATCCACCAAGGGCTTCTTAATCCTGGGTTCCAATTTGTCTTCCAAGCAAAAGGGGACAATGTGGTGTCAATCCTCTTGCAACGAAGACTTGGTCCCAGCCCAGTGACCCTGGTAATTAGAAAACGGGATTGATTTTAGTGGGGAAGACGGGAAGACACCAAGCAAACGGGAAGAAGGCTGCCACTGAACAACTGGGTGGTAAACTGGGCAGTGTACCATGACCTTTAACATTGAACGCTAAACCTAGGATGTTGATTGACGCCATCCATCATTTGTGTTTAGGGCGAAACTGTATTGCTTTTTGCTAGCGTTCTCACCAGAAGCCACGGAACGACATGTCACTTCTGAAGTTTCTGAAGTTTTCGCCTTGCACAGCCCCAGGAAGCTTGCAGCCTCACGGAACTTCTACTTGCTGGTGTGGTAGGTGGGGAATGAGAAATGAATGAATCCGGGAATTCCCGAGAAAAAAATGGAAACCATCGATCATGGGATTTATTGGGGGTCATTCCATTCCCTCATTCCCCACATTTCTCGCATCGCAAGTCTACGGTGTCACCAGGTTTCAGAGCCGATGTCCACGACCGGAAGCCCAAGCACTTGCAACCAAGCAACTCAAGCTCAAACCAACAACGGCGGGCTATGCATGCTCTTACTTGCCTGGCAAAATATGTCTTTTTGGAGGAAATCGCACATGCAAATTGCCATGGTGTGTGATCTTGATGCAGGAGATATTCTTAGTGGTCCGTGGAGCCCTTGCTTCAAGCTACACTTCTGGTGGGATACGTCGAAATCCAAAGGACTTGGTTGGTGTTGACCCCTCTGCAAGAAGTGATGTTGCTTTGTGGGTTCAATGGAAAATCCACTGTTTCCCAAACAACTTAGAGTCAACAATTCCAACCATTTTTGCCACAATTCATCGGGACATCTAATTACCAACTTTTCCCCAAGGATCCCCAAGGCGCCATCACCATCCCTCGGGCTGCCGGGCGCATGGGCACCAGCGTTCACCGGGCCAGTGCCGCCGCGGCCCAGCCACGCAGGCCACGCCCGGCCTGAAGTCGAAAAACACGGACTCGAAAAACATGTCCTCAGTCTCTGCATTTTTGGGGGTATATAACTGGGCCCTCACCCTTTGAAAATGGGAGTTCACCAACCATAATTCTGGGGCTGTAACCAATTTTTAAGGGAACTTTGGGGCTTCAGGTCTGCATTTTGGGGGGTGTAGCTGATTTTAAAGGAGAATTTCTTTCACAAAGAGGCCACCCCCTTGTTTCAACATTGTTCGGGCTTCTCTTTAAGCAGACCAGGGCCCGAAGGTGTACCCCTGTTGAAAACCGCAAGTGCTTCGGTGGCATATAGCCAATGTAGCCGATTTAGATGGCCAAACGCGACCAAACATGGCTGTCTCAATTTTTAGGAGACCTCCCCAAAATGGACTCGGTTTTCCTTTTGGTGTCCCTTTAAAACCAACCAAAGCGGGGTACCCTGAAACAAGTACAGACCCCAATGGCTTCTTCCTCGCGGTCTGCCATATTTTTCACCCCATTCATGGCCTTAGCTGGCATAGGCCGAGGGTACATGGCTCTCCTATTGGATACAGCCCAGCTTGTGCGTGCCACATCGCTGGGGGAATTCGGCCAGACGGCAGTTCTCGCTCGAGGATTCTTTCAGGCTGAATTCAAAGGACCTATACGGAAACCATACCGGCGATCAAAACACACACCCAAGGAGAGACAACTGCGAGTAGAAGCTACCTTTTTTGCTTTTTGCGATGGCTCGGAAAAACCAAGGGGGCAAGGGGAGCTAAGGGCAGGGAAACAAACAGGTTGTTTCCTGTGGTGAAACATTCCCCTAAAACCCAACGGACAATTTCACACATTCTTAAGCGATACACATATTCTTGAGCAAATGAAAGGATAGGCCTCGAGTACTGTGAATTCTCAGGTGTCCCCTAACGGACTTTCACCCCATGTTGTATGGGTGCGTGTAGAATTCTTTGGGCCCCAATTGAAACTCAGAGCCAAGTAAGCTCGTTACTTTCAGTGCAAGAAAGGTCCTAGCGACAAAGCGCCCAGTCGCTGGCCCCAAGCAAGCCTGTGGGTTCCGATACGTATGCCTAGAAGTGTCTGTGAGGCGTAGCGCGCGTTGTGCCTCGCCGTCCTTTTGCCTTCCCTCTGCTACTGCCAAGCGTGCGCGTCATTTTGGCAAACGTTGTTCAAAGGTGTCGCTCAAAGCTGAGCTTCCAATCCAGAGGTGTCCTGGTGGATGACTAAACCGACGTCGACCAGGGCCCTTTCTCTCTCATCTCTAAACTGAACAAAAAGGACACCTCTGCTCCCATCGCTTTGACAGTCTCACTGGCAAAGTTTCTCGCAACCAGGAAGAGGTCCCTCAGAATGTTCTTTTGCCAGGTGATTTGGGTATGGGTCAAAATTAAACCACCGGGGGACCGCAGGTGTTAGCCCATGTTTCCATTTACCAGGGTTTCATTTGGGGAATTCCGATTTTTGACCCACAGCCATTTGGCAACTCCTTGGCGCTGGTCACGCAAGCAGCTAAGCCTCCAGCTCAAGTCGCTGCGCTAGCAAAAAGGTTGCAGACATGTTTGTGCTACTGTGGATGGACAAAACCCATTTCGCACTACCTAAGAAAGCCTGGAAGGATACGATTCCCCTGTAAATACCAATAAACGATGGTTTCAACCATGGATTCCAAGTGGTGCAGGATTCTGTGCATCCACAGTATCATGAGGCAAATTGATTTAATCGCAACCCCATTCCGACTTTCAGGCAATATAGTCCTAGTTCCTGAGTGAATTGGTCAGAAAAGGTCCCGACTTGTAGATCTCCACCAAAAGAAACATGGTTTCGTATTTGCAAACCTTCCGCGGCAGTGTTGTGCTACCTGTTCATATGTCCATCTCTAGACGCTGTTGCTTGAGCGTCAAAAAAAAACAACGCCAGTCATGCGTGTGTGTTGGCTCTCTTAACTATCTCCAGCTGGTAACTTTGAAGGGACGTGGAACTGATGAATTTCGACCTCGGATCAATCCGGAGGAACCTACGATCCGGGCTGGCTCCTCTTTTAGAGGACATGATCAATAGGGGGTGCTGTGACTAGCTACCAGAACTGCTGGTGGCTCCATAGGTCATAGGTCTATGTTTACTTCCACTTGCTTGAGTCAGGAGGCATAAGCATATTTCCAGCATTCGCTTCCCTTGAGTCGAGGGGAAGAAAAAAAAAACATATTCTTGAGCAATGGAGGTTTAAAGCCAAAATTGGATACCCGCAGCTCCATAACGGCTCTCTCCCAGCCAGCCGGGTCCGCGCCGTGTCCCTGCGCCGCGCCGCTCACCGCGGCGTCGAAGTGGAACACGGGCCTGGCCGCCCGCAAAAGCCCAAAAAGGGCTCCCCGGTTTAAGACAAACCGCAGGCACTCCTCACTTCCTGAGTTGATGGCTCAAAAAAGTCAAGGTGTTTTTGTTTTCCCCCTAAAATGGTCTTTCCAACAAGCTTGAAGTCCAGGAACTCAAAAAGTGAGGGTCTGTCTAACTCTTGCAAATCAACATGGAGCCCCTAAAAGCGTCACTGTTGGTGGACTCCTCTTTGAGGATGCCCTTTGTGAGGTTTCTTCTTTCAATTTGCAGGGGAGCAGGAAAAGACCAACTCAAGCCACGGCACGCAGATTTAGTCCCAAGTCATTTTAGTGCCAAGTCCCCTCGTCCAGGGCCCCCACATGCGCCCTTGAGCGTCCCTGTTGAAGCTCCATTGCTGTGGCGGCATTTCGAAGTTGCTGAAACGAGACAGCAAGTCGCGGAAGGGAGAATTCATTTGACAGGCTCCTGGGCAACATCAAACATAACTATCCAACCAACTGTTGGCTTCTTTTTGGGTTGAGTGAACAAAGCAGGCTGTCATTGCTTGTAGCGTCCTGTTGCTGGAATGAAGCAACAGTTGTCGTTCGGCTTGCTTTCGGGAGAGGATGGAAACAAACATAAATGAGTTTGCGAGTCAGCACCCTTAGTCACCTTGAGAAAAATCACAGTTTGGGGCACATGCAGCTCTGGCGTGGGGCTTGAACCGACTGCCACACAGCGCGTTTTTGGCGGCGCCCACGTGCGGAAGGGGCCAATGTCGGGTAGACAAATCATGGCTGTTTCTCAAAACAGGGAGTCCCATACACATGGTAGCTGGTGTCGGACGAACTAGGGAACCGTAGACGTAGTTGGTTTCCCTTTGCACAGGCACAAATCTGAAAATAGGGAACCCTTAAATTTATAAACATGGTAGGTTTCCCTTCGGCTTCACTTCAAAAACATGTGAGCACTTGAGAGACTGAAGCTCCATGCCCCCACTCGCGGGCAACCACAGATCAAACTCCAGGATGTGATTCTCTGAATCCTGGCCCGGTCTGCAAACTTTGCTTCGTCCCATGGGCTTGCTGACATTTCAATCTCAAGCTATGAATGGCTATGGGGTAACCAGGGTTCCCCAAAGGATACATCCAAAAACCTCTTTGATTTACAATTCGGATCCTCGGAATCAGCTGGTACGATGACTTTGGACTTGTCCCAAACCTTCGGGCCTTCGGGACCCGGTGAGTGCAACAATCCATGGGGGGACAAACGCCATCCACTCAGCCGGATTTGCCGCGCAAAACCCGTCGACTTTGGGCTCTAATTACTCACATGCTTCTTTTAATTAAGTCCCGGCGGCAAAACATGCGGGGGGGGGGGGCGGGGGCATGCTTGGGGGGAAGCCTAACCCCTAACATGCTTGGCTTGGTTTCGTGGTTTCCCTTCAAATCCCCCCCGAAAGGGCTTCGCTTCACCATTTGGATTCTGGATGTGGCTTTCTTTACGGGTCCCCCCAAAATGGTTGCTTTCCTCTTGTTTTCCATTTAAAACCAACCACCTCGAAAAGATAGACACCCATTTTTGGGCACCTCCCGCGCTGGACTCGTCCTTTTGCCCCCTCGGAGACGAACGCTCCACGCGCTCCACGCGCGTCCGAACCGCTCAGATGGCGGGGGGGCGCTGCAGGTCCCCCGGCGGAGCGCCGGGCCAGTAGAAGCGCCCCCGGCCAGTGCCTCGGATGGAATGGAAACCCCAGAGTCTGAAACCCGCATTTGGGTATCAACCTCCGTTTGGGGACCAACCCATGTGAGTTGTTCCGTCTATTTTTGACCCACAGCCAGTTGCCTTGGTGCGAGAGGGGGAATGAGAAATGGCGCATGACCCCGAGAAAAACCATCCCTGATTTGGTTTCCTGTAGGGGAATCCCCAGGTTCATTCCCCCATTCCCTGCCGCGCACCAGCAAGCTGCTTAAGCCCCCTGGAAAACAAACATGTCCAAAAGTGATAGATTCCCTTTAACGCCAACAGGGGAACATAAATACTCTTAAGCAAATGGAAGTGAAGGCCTGGTAGATTACCCGTTTTAGTGGGGGTTCGAGCAACTTTTGGAGGGGAACATGGAACACACCCCAAATGCCAAAAATATAAAGGATGGGTTTATTAATCTGGGGTCAAGAGGGCCTGAAGAATTAGAATGGCCTACTCTAAGGGCGCTCGAAAACCTCAATAAGCCATGGCCATGAGACGAGAATGCTACTACCCAGGGCTGTGGGAAATGCAATCCACTTCTGTGATACAACAAAAACGCGTCGCAAAGACAGGCCCTTGCCACAGAAAGGGGGAGATTCCCTTGTATCACAGAAGTGGGGATAAACCCCCTGATCCCACAACCCTGCTACTAACTATTTAGCCCTCTGTGTTGGAGCCGTTGACTGCCCAGTCATTATGCTGTTGGGCGAAACATGGCACAATTCCAACCAACTTTAGGTCCAATATGAAGATATTTGTCCTGAAACACAATTAAAGCGTCCCTCTCCATTTGATACAGGTTTTAAGCATCCCCAGCTCCTTCTCCCACAATATCCGACGAATGATCAACACCTGCTGCTGAAGTGATCTACCCAGCGGGCGGAAAGTCGTACCCATTGTTCTGGATGCGACCAATCACACATGGTCCTGCAGCACGCAAATCCACTTCTTTCAAAGGCTTCGTGGGCGGTGGTCAACGCTTCATCAGGTCTCCCTATTGCAAACAGACCGGGTCCTGGCCTGTGCCGGGAAGTTCCTAGCACCTGGCATAATCAAGCTCTATTCAGATCCTGCGCCGATCATTCATCGGATTCCTTCGCATCTAGGGATCCTTCTGAGGATAGGCATAGAGACTGGAAGGCGGGTCGAGTCAAGAGCATCCCTACTAGAAGGTTCATGGACATCCTTAGTAACCCCAAAAGCAAATGTGCCCTGACCATGCCTTGGGGCCCAAAAAGAGAATATTGATCAACCCCCCTATGGCCATCTTGGGGCCAGGAATATTGATCAACCCCTCATATGGGGACCCTGGAAAAGCCAAACGTTTTCACGAGCTCTGGTGGAGCTCGGCTTTTACACGATTTCGCCGAGTTGCCAGCTTTGGTGGCCAGCAAGCGGGTCACAGCCACGTACCTCAGTCTACCCAAAGGCAATGTGTTTTGCTGCCGTTGCCAGCCCGGGAAGTTTGAGGAGTTGCTATGTTTAGGGGTATGTTTCGGGGGTATGAAACATCATAATGGCAGAATCCCCTACCGAAAGATACAAGCAGGAAAAACGAAACCAACGACCCCCCCGAACGATACAAACACGCAAAGAAAAAACAATGAACAGGGAATGCAAACAACAGCTGCCCTCTGCTCCCACCCTCTGCTCCCACCCTCCGCCCCACTGCTGGCAAAGCTCAGCCAGCGCTGGGTTGCCCCATTCGATCCTGCCTCCACCAGACATTCAAACCTGGTGCACTAGTGGGTCCCTTGAAGTGACCCATGTTTCAATGCCTCTCAAAACTACGTGGGGGGAGGTGGGAAACCCTTTAACAGGGATCCTTACATTATACACCTGAACATTGCCTTGCAACTTTATTTTGGTGTTGAAAAAGCAACATGTTTCAAATGGTGGCAAAATGAAGTTCTTTTAAGGAGCCCTGTTTCATCCACACAATTTCGCACGCCATTTTTGTGGTTGATATCAATTTCAATGGACCCAGCACTAAGCCACTAGGCCTTGACCCCGGCGCCTCACAACGCCTTCCTGCCATAGGCTGATTCTACCAAGGGTTTCTGAAGGTCGACACAGGCCTTCCTATACCATGAAACTACACCCTACTCCAAATACCTGTTTTTTTCAGGGTATTTTTTGGAAAACATGGTTTTCCAAGGTAAATGCCTCCTTTTTTAGTAGAGGGTCGACATGATACCCTGAAAAAAGTGGGTATTGGGTGTAGGGGGTAGGTTGTAGAACGTAAACCCGCCAACCTTATGTTGATTCGCTCCGTCGATCACTTCAGACCTCCAGTAATTCCCATTCAGGCCGTCGACTTCACAGAAAAAGGATAACGACCCCCTGCAAAGCATATCCAAAGGACAAGTATGTGTGGACCCTCCCTTTTCTTCTTTTTTTTGTAATTTTATTGTTGTTCCATTGCCAAGCTCCAAGGCCGAGGTGGCAATGCACGCATGATGTGGACCCTCCAAAAAAAAACAATCCCAACAAACAATTCTGAACAGACTCCGAGCCAGGACGGCGGCTCGTGCGAATGCTTTCTGAGAAAACAAAATCAAAAGACGGCTAAACACACCCCAAAGACACCACACCCAAACACACGCCTCCTTTTTTTCTGAGCGGGGTGCAAGTTTGGGTCTGGTGTTTGACAGGTGGGCCAACAACTCTCTCCGCAAGGCGGCCGAGCGGCGCGTTGCGGATGTGCCAATCCTGGCGGCGGAAAATCACCAGGCTCCATTTTGGGGTGGGTTCCATTTTGGGAAGAAAACACATGCTGGGCGTCATTTTTTGAAAACGGAACCCTGGTTATACCTTCCCTTGGAATTGAAATTCCAGCAATAAACACCAACCCAAAACAAACCCACCCCCTGGCCAGCGATGGAAGTGGAGAGGAGAACCCAAGACTAGAGTCGTAAGCCCTTTGTCCACTTTCATGACTGAATGACCGAATGGTGAAATGCAACAGGTACCCAACAGGCTTAGCGCCACGAAGCGCTTTTTCCCGGACTCTAATGTCATGTGGCCCAACCAGGACTGGCTTGGCGATTCAAGCCAATTGGACCAAAACCGAAACCCAAAAAAGTAGAACACCAAGGGAAGCCACTATTATCTGGCTTAAGTGTTCGGGGTTCTTGGGGCCTTATATAAAATGCCCTCCCTCCCACGAACATAGCACCTGCGGGAGTATCTGGAAGATCAATTTCTTCTTGAAGCGACCCTCTGTGAGGAGCTATGTTGGTTGGAGAGAGGGTAAAAATCAATGGATCAGCGGGCAGGAAAGTGGCAAGGAGTTCCGCCCCGCCATTTTCAATGAACTGGCACGTCCGCTTGAACCTTAGAATACCCTGAAGAACCAAACAAACACCCCACTCTTCCCAAACCCCCACCAGATTCCTCGACAAACCTGCACCAAAAGCCCCAAGCTCCTGAAAAAAACAAATCTCCCTCTCCCTTCCCGGGTGCCGGTCGGGTCGGGTACCCCGAGCCGACGACGGGTCAGCAACCCCGAGAAGGTCGAAATGAATACCCGCAAGTTTCCGGAAACATGTGTTCAGGAAGCTTAATAGTTGTTTTCCAGAAGCATGCTGGCTTCAGGAAACTAATTTTGCTTCTTAGCTATAAATTTCGCGAAAGGCTACCTCTGAAAGGGTTGTTGCCGAATTTGTGATACCACCCAGTCTTTCCCGCAACCATTTCCTGACACCGCCACACCTTTCCTGAAACCACCGGCCAGTTTTTCATGAAACACCCCAGCCTTTCCTGATACCACACAACCTTCCTAAAACCACCCAGCCTTTCCTGAAACCGCCACCCAGCCTGCAACCACACAGCCACACAGCCTTTCCTGAAACCCCGCCTACCCTGAAACCAAACAGCCTCGCCGGAAACCACACAGTCTTCCTGAAACCACCCGGCACCTCCTGAAACCTCAAAGCCTCTCCTGAAACCACCAACCAATCTTTCATGAACCCCCCCCCCCCAACGTTGCCTGAAACCACGCAGCCTTTCCTAAAACAACCCAGTCTTCTTAAAACCACCCGGCACCTCCTGAAACCACCCGGCCTTTCCTGATTGGGCTTCCCGTACTTCCCAACATCATGGGGGGGGCCGCCGCCCCCCCGACCCAAACCTAACCCCAAATGAACCCCGAATGAACCCCCGAAGCTGGCCCTAAACCTGACCAAAACCAAACCTAAAACCAACCCTAAACCAAACCTAAACCAAACCTAAAACCACACCTAAATCAACCCTAAGGGAGCCTTAAACAAACCCTAAACCTCACCTAAATCAACCCTGAACCATCAGACTTCCAACATCATATGCCACACACACTTTCGTGAAACCCCACAGCCTCGCCGGAAACACGCGACACCTCCTGAAACCACGCAGCCTTTCCTGAAACCACGCAGCTTTTCCTGAAACCACGCAGCTTTCCTGGAACCACCCCAGACTTTCCTGACACCACCAAACCTCTCCTGAAACCACTTCCTGAAACAACCACCCAGCCTGAAGCCACACAGCCTCTCCTGAAACCACCTAGTCTTTCCTGCAGCCACCCGGCGCCTCCTTTCCTGAATCCATACACACTTCCGTGAAACCACACAGCCTCGCTCAGCCTTTCCTGAAACCACCCGGCACCTCCTGAAACCACACAGCCTTTCCTGAAACCGTCCAGTCTTTCCTGAAACCACCAATCACTCTTTCATGAACCGCCCCAGCCTTTCCTGCAGCCACAGACCTCTAAACCAACCCTAAACCGACCCTAAACCAACCCTAAACCGACCCTAAACCAACCCTAAACCGACCCTAAACCAACCCTAAACCAACCCTAAACCGACCCTAAACCAACCCTAAACCAACCCTAAACCAACCCTAAATTAACCTTAAACCAACCCTAAACCAACCCTAAACCCCCAAAACCAACCCTACCAACCCTAAACCAACCCTAAACCGACCCTAAACCGACCCTAAACGAATCCTAAACCAGCCCAAACCAACCCTCAAACAACGCTAAAACCCTAAAACCACCCTAAACGGACCCTAAACCAACCCTAAACCAACCCTACACCAACCCTAAACCGACCCTAAAACAACCTCTAAAACCACCTAAACCAAACCTAAAACCAACCCTAAGCCAAACCTAAACCAAACCTAAAACCACACCTAAATCAACCCAAAGGGAGCCTTAAACAAACCCTAAACCTCACCTATATGCGACACACGCTTTCGTGAAACCCCACAGCCTCGCCGGAAACCACACGACACCTCCTGAAACCACGCAGCCTTTCCTGAAACCACGCAGCCTTTCCTGAAACTACGCAGCTTTTCCTGCAAACACCCCAGACTTTCCTGACACCAACAAACCTCTCCTGAAACCACTTCTTGAAACAACCACCCAGCCTGAAGCCACACAGCCTCTCCCGAAACCACCTAGTCTTTCCTGAAACCACCCGGCACCTCCCTTCCTAAATTCATACACACTTCCGTGAAACCACACAGCCTCGCTCAGCCTTTTCTGAAACCACCCGGCACCTCCTGAAACCACACAGCCTTTCCTGAAACCGTCCAGTCTTTCCTGAAACCACCAATCACTCATTCATGAACCGCCCCAGCCTTTCCTGCAACCACAGACCTCTAAACCAACCCTAAACCGACCCCAAACAAACCCTAAACCAACCCTAAACCAACCCTAAACCAACCCCTAAACCAACCCTGAACCAAACCTGAACCAAAACCGACCCTAAACCGACCCTAAACCAACCCTAAACCAACCCTAACCAACCCTAAACCGACCCTAAACCAACCCTAAACCAACCCTAAACCAACCCTAAACCAACCCTAAACCGACCCTAAACCGACCCTAAACAAACCCTAAACCAACCCTAAACCAACCCTAAACCAACCCTAAACCAACCCTAAACCAACCCTAAACCGACCCTAAACCGACCCTAAACCAACCCTAAACCAATCCAAAACCAACCCACACCAACCCTCAAACAACCCTAAAACCAACCCTAAACCGACCCTAAACCGAACGTAAACCAACCCTAAACCAACCCTAAACCAACAACCTCTAAAACAACCTAAACCAAACCTGAAACATCCTAAAACCAAAGCTAAACCAAACCTAAAACCACACCTAAACCAACCCTTAACCATCAGACTTCCAACATCATATGCGACACACACTTTCGTGAAACCCCACAGCCTCGCCGGAAACCACGCGACACCTCCTGAAACCACGCAGCCTTTCCTGAAACCACGCAGCTTTTCCTGAGACCACGCAGCTTTTCCTGGAACCACCCCAGACTTTCCTGACACCACCAAACCTCTCCTCAAACCACTTCCTGAAACAACCACCCAGCCAGCCTCTGCTGAAACCACCTAGTTTCCTGAAACCCCCGGCACCTCCTTTCCTAAATTCATACACACTTCCGTGAAACCACACAGCCTCGCTCAGCCTTTTCTGAAACCACCCAGCACCTCGTGAAACCACACAGCCTTTCCTGAAACCGTCCAGTCTTTCCTGAAACCACCAATCACTATTTCATGAACCGCCCCAGCCTTTCCTGCAACCACAGACCTCTAAACCAACCGACCCTAAACCAACCCTAAACCAACCCTAAAACAACCTCTAACACCACCTAAACCAAACCTAAAACATCCTAAAACCAAACCTAAACCAAACCTAAAACCACGCCTAAATCAACCCTAAGGGAGCCTTAAACAAACCCTAAACCTCACCTAAATCAACCCTTAACCATCAGACTTCCAACATCATATGCGACACACACCTCCTGAAACCACGCAGCCTTTCCTGAAACCACGCAGCCTTTCCTGAAACCACGCAGCTTTTCCTGGAAACACCCCAGACTTACCTGACACCAACAAACCTCTCCTGAAACCACTTCTTGAAACAACCACCCAGCCTGAAGCCACACAGCCTCTGCTGAAACCACTTAGTCTTTCCTGAAACCACCCGGCACCTCCTTTGCCCAAGTGCTCTTAGACAATGATGACGACATCGACACCAACCCTGGGGATGTACGGGGACATCGTGTTGTCCGAAAGCCGAAGTACACTCAGAAGGTTGCTGCACCTGTTGGATACAGCGGGGTGAGATGGCTGGTAGATACTGGTTCAACAGACACACTTCCGTGAAACCACACAGCCTCGCTCAGCCTTTTCTGAAACCACCCGGCACCTCCTGAAACCACACAGCCTTTCCTGAAACCGTCCAGTCTACCACCAATCACTCTTTCATGAACCTCCCCAGCCTTTCCTGCAGCCACAGACCTCCTAAACCAACCGTAAACCGACCCTAAACCAACCCTAAACCGACCCTAAACCAACCCTAAACCGACCCTGAACCAACCCTAAACCAACCCTAAACCAACCCTAAACCAACCCTAAACCAACCCTAAACCAACCCTAAACCGACCCTAAACCGACCCTAAACCAACCCTAAACCAACCCTAAACCAACCCTAAACCGACCCTAAACCCACCCTAAACCGACGACCCTAAACCCACCCTAAACCGACGACCCTAAACCGACCCTAAACCAATCCTAAACCCAAACCAACCCTCACACCACGCTAAAACCACCCTAAAACCACCCTAAACGGACCCTAAACCGACCCTAAACCAACCCTAAACCAACAACCCTCTAAACCACCTAAACCAAACCTAAAACATCCTAAAACCAAACCTAAACCAAACCTAAAACCACACCTAAGGGAGCCTTAAACAAACCCTAAACCTCACCTAAATCAACCCTTAACCATCAGACTTCCAACATCATATGCGGCACACACTTTCGTGAAACCCCACAGCCTCGCCGGAAACCACGCGACACCTCCTGAAACCACGCAGCCTTTCCTGAAACCACGCAGCTTTTCCTGGAAACACCCCAGACTTACCTGACACCAACAAACCTCTCCTGAAACCACTTCTTGAAACAACCCACACAGCCTCTCCTGGGGCCACCTAGTCTTTGCTGAAACCACCCGGCACCTCCTTTCCTAAATTCATACACACTTCCGTGAAACCACACAGCCTCACTCAGCCTTGTCTGAAACCACCCAGCACCTCCTGAAACCACACAGCCTTTCCTGAAACCGTCCAGTCTTTCCTGAAACCACCAATCACTCTTTCATGAACCGCCCCGGCCTTTCCTGCAACCACAGACCTCTAAACCAACCGACCCTAAACCAACCCTAAACCAACCCTAAAACAACCTCTAACACCACCTAAACCAAACCTAAAACATCCTAAAACCAAACCTAAACCAAACCTAAATCAACCCTAAGGGAGCCTTAAACAAACCCTAAACCTCACCTAAATCAACCCTTAACCATCAGACTTCCAACATCATATGCGACACACACTTTCGCCTCCTGAAACCACGCAGCCTTTCCTGAAACCACGCAGCTTTTCCTGAAACCACGCAGCTTTTCCTGGAACCACCCCAGACTTTCCTGACACCACCAAACCTCTCCTGAAACCACTTCTTGAAACAACCACCCAGCCTGAAGCCACACAGCCTCTGCTGAAACCACCTAGTCTTTCCTGAAACCACCCGGCACCTCCTTTCCTAAATTCATACACACTTCCGTGAAACCACACAGCCTCGCTCAGCCTTTTCTGAAACCACCCAGCACCTCCTGAAACCACACAGCCTTTCCTGAAACCGTCCAGTCTTTCCTGAAACCACCAATCACTCTTTCATGAACCGCCCCAGCCTTTCCTGCAACCACGACCTCTAAACCAACCCTAAACCGACCCTAAACAAACCCTAAACCGAAAACCAACCCTAACCAACCCTAAACCAACCCTAAACCAACCCTAAACCAACCCTAAACCAACCCTAAACCGACCCTAAACCGACCCTAAGCCAACCCTAAACCAACCCTAAACCAACCCTAAACCAACCCTAAACCGACCCTAAACCAACCCTAAACCAACCCTAAAACAACCCTAAACCAACCCTAAACCAATCCAAAACCAACCCAAACCAACCCTCAAACAACCCTAAAACCAACCCTAAACCGACCCTAAACCAACCTCTAAACCAATCCTAGCCAACCCTAAACTGGCCCTAAACCTGATCTAAACCAACCCAAAACCAAACCTAAAACATCCTAAAACCAAACCTAAAACCACACCTAAATCAACCCTGAGGGAGCCCTAAACAAACCCTAAACCCCACCTAAAGCAACCCTAAACCATCCTCTTTCGTGAAACCACACAGCCTCGCCGGAAACCACACGGTCTTTCCTGAAACCACAGGGCACCTCCTGAAACCACCCAGCCTTTCCTTGAAACCACCCAGCCGTTCCTGAAATCGCACAGCCTCCCCTGAAACCAGCACCCAGTCTTTCCTGCAACTACAGAGCCTTCCCGGAAACCACGCAACCTTTCCTGGAGCCACCCCAGACTTTCCTGACACCACCACACCTTTCCCGAAACCACCACCCAGTCTTTCATGAAACACATAGCCTTTCCTGAAACCACCCAGGCTTTCCTGAAACAACCCGGCACCTCCTGAAACCACCCAGCCTTTCCTGAAACCATACATACTTTCGTGAAACGACTGCCAGCCAGGTCAAGGTGCCACCAACACTAGGTACCTGACCCGTGGTAGCCGACCCAGGTATCTGACTAAACCCTCCCAGGACCTGACCCGACCAACTCCCTCCATCACACACACTTTTCGTGCCTTTCCTGAAACCGCCCAGTCTTTCCTGAAACCAGCACCCAGCCGAAAACCATCCAAGCTTTCCTGAAACCGCCCAGCCTTTCCTGCAACCACACAGCCTTCTCCACGTAGCCTTTCCTGGAACCACCCCAGACTTTCCTGACACCACCAAACCTTTCCTGAAACACCGCCCAGTCTTTCATGCAACACACAGCCTGTCCTGAAACCACCCGGGCTTTCCTGGAACAACCCGGCATCTCCTGAAACCACCGAGCTTTTCCTTTCGTGAAACGACTGCCAGCCAGGTCTCGATTCCACCGAAACACGGTACCTGATCCAAGGTAGCTGACCCAGGTACCTGATTCAAGCCTTGGGGTATCTGACTCGACCAACTCCCCTCCCTTCCCACCTTCGCCTCCCCTCCCCCCGCCCACCAAGCCCCCCACCCACCAAACCCTGGGAGCCTCTCGACTCATCACCACCCACCGCCCGCCCCGCCTCGCAGGTCCGGTTGAACTTGGACTTGTTGAGCTCCAGCCAGGACCACTCCACCCAGGAGGGCGGCCAGGCGTACCAGCACCTCAGCTCCTTGCCCGCCTCGTGGAGCTCCAGCATCCTACGGCCCACGGCCGGCCGATATTGCGGGGGAGGCCGGGCGCGAAAAGGGCCCAAGAAAGCCCATGGGCTGCTCGGAGAGGGACGGAGAACCTCCATTTAAGTTGCTCTTCTTTCTAAAACATGGAGGATACAAATCTATGGGTCTGCTTTTTCGAGCCGGCACCCCTTTTTGGCTTTTGAAGGCAAACCGACAGGAAAGCCGAACAAAAACACTTTCGGCGCACCCCTAAACAGCGAGAACCGGCACTCCGCAGCCTTTCGGCCAACCTCGAAATTCTAGCAGACAATTATCCGTTGATCCCTATGGAACCAACCAAAAACCGTCCACCCGCCCAAATCAGGAACTTGGGATCGCCTTAGGAAAAATTGCCTTCCAGGGACTCCGACTCAGGTTCCTTCTGTTTTTGGGAGTGTAACATGTGGCGATTCTCGGCAGATTTCCAATAGTGTAGATTCCCTTTAAAACGAACAGGAAAATAACCAGTTCTTAATCAAATAGAAGCCACATATCCTTTGCTGGCTTTTCTGTTCGCCAAGAGGTGTGACTTCTTGGTATGACCCAAAACGGGCACACCCAAAACGGGAGATGCCACAGCCTCAACAGGGTACAGTTTGGATGCAACCGCATGGATCCACCTCAACGGCTATGAAACAAATACTAAAAGACTGCTCACCTCTAACGTCCAGAGCCTCAAAACGCAGCGCCACAAAATCGCTACAAACTGTAGGTGTTCAAACAAAAACAACAACGTCAGAAGATCGCCAAAAACGCCTCCAAGCAGAAGGCCGACCCCCAGAAACCCCCTATCCCACGAGAAACCCCGAGAAACCCACAGGAGCCCTGGGATTGTAAGCCAGCTCACTGTCCCAAAGCCTCGGCGTTGCCCAGGATTTTGTCTGCGTCGAAATCAGAAACCTCCACGTAGCTTACAAGCCAACCCCGGTCCCAAGTATCCAGCGCCTCCACTCAAGTAGCTTCCAAGAAAGCAAAAACGACTTAACCCGTGGATGCGCAAAATCCACGGCGATCCTCTCCAGGCGATTTGATTTCTCTGATTTATCCATCAAATTTCCCAATTCAGGGAATGAACCATGCCAAGTGGTGCCGCTCGGCCAAATTCTGTCCCACTGGTGGCTGGATGCGGCGCCTCTCCGCGTCTTCCATGGCCATGTGCTTCAGGTACTCCACCAATGCTGGTACCTGGCGGAGGCTCCAAGGCGCGTTTTCTGCGTGAAGATTTACCCTGGGGATCTGTGCTTTGCCAAACCACAAAAGCATCCGTCAAACTGCCGTCACCAACCTGAAGAGTATTCAAGAAGCAATACTGCATATCAAAGGTACCTAAGCCGACTGGTTGAGCATTGAGCATCGATAAATGGCTTCTACCCGACACCGAAGTCAGAAACTGAACATTTGGTCAGGTGCCCGGACTTCAACAAGGTAAAGCAGAAAAAGCATGGATAGCACAGGGTCTCTGGATTTCCCCTTCAAAAGCTACAAAACAAACTGGTGGGCGGTTTGCATACAAACCATCGCCACTTTTGGAGGTAACCCAAAAAGGGAAATGGCTCGGCAACCCTGTAGGGGAACCTATGCACTTTCTCCGCCGAAACGCCTCTGAGAGAGACCGCCGTCGAGCAGGGGTCTGCGGAACATCAACTGGTCTACCATATCCCCTCGTTTCATGGGCACTCTTTGGCGGACATCATCCAGGCGGGATTCATGTCGACCATGTGGGAAGGCGTTCCTCACGACCTTTTGAGATGGCTTGCCAGAAAAAGATGAAACTGGTTGGGCTTTGGCCAAAGTGACGAAGACACCTACCCACCCCGGCGTGTATTTTTTTACCCACGCAACGATGGATACACCTACCAACAAAGCGTGTACCTGGACCCTCAAACCAGCCTAAAATTTGGTTGTCACCCCACAATGTTGGGGCTATAACCCATGTTTAAGGGATTTTGAGGGTTCAGGTATTTTGTGTCACCAACTCAACTGCTTAAAACAAAAACAAACAAAAGACACCGGCCAAGTCGAGTCCGTATTCGCATCCCCGGCTCACCCCGACGCTTGAACTCTTGACACGCCTCCGTCATGGGCCATTTGATGACTGCCTTCGGCACGTCCACCAGCTCCTTAGCCGGACCAAACTTGAAGAGAAGCCATGAGCCGCGGGTGTCATTCTTTGAGGCTTCCTTTTGTTGGGTCATGTTTTTTTTTTTTTAATGTTCCGAATAAAAATGAGGTCGCCAACTCCGAGCATCGCCCCAAAACCTATAGCCTTGACAGAGCTACTAAAATGGCTTCCAAGAACCCCCACTTAAACACTTCCATTTGCTTACCCCCCTGCAAAAGACACATCTCCAGTAGATTCCCTTTAAAACCAACAACGGAAACTCAAAAATCTCAATAACTCCTTTCGTTTTTGAGTTGGTACCCCTGTTGGAGTAAGGAACATATTCATTCTGCCACTGAAAGAAACGCGGTCGGCCCCTTTCTCCGCCACCTTGCAGGCTGAGTCGCCCCAAAGGGCACCTCATAGCGGTCGTTCAGCAGCACCGGGATGCAGCCTCCGGATCCGGAGCCGGCAGGCCCGGCCCGAGGGAGTCTTGCACCGAGCCCTCTGCAAAATGTGCTCTCGCCGGTTTTTGCTGGGTTTAGCGGGAAACCCAACTTCATGTCAACCAAAATGTGAAAGGCTCAAGATCCAGTCGAGAAATTTAGTTCTAATCCGCAACCCGTAGGACACTGCAAGAGAAACTGTTGCCATCTGGCATAAGGATTGAGGCTTGATTTTGAGCATGGGCTAAGCCGTTAGCTAAACAACATCCGTTTCGTCTTCCTTTAATTGACGTTCAGAGCGTTCCCCAAGTGGCCCCAAGTGCCGTTTGCCGCGTATGCCCCGTTTGGGGGAGCCAGGCAATCCAAGCCGGAAGGGGACTCATGTAAGACGCGACCAAATGATTGGTGTGGCTGCAAAGGAAAGCCAGAAGGGAAACCACCATTTTGAGGGTACCCTAAAAGAGACACACCCATTTAAGTGTGTCTGTCGTTTTTTGAGTTGGTACCACGTTTCTTGTTGCGGGTTTAAAGAGAATCCAAAGGAAAGCCATTTGGGGGGTCCCCAGTATTTGACACACAGCCATGTTGCAAGTTGAAGTCGAAGTGACAGGTAAAAGTAAACCGCACCATGGTGCGGTTGATCTTCAGACAAGTCAAAATCCTGACAGTTTGAGACAGAAATCAGTCTATTCAATTTGGGATGGACTTGGGTGACTCTCAAATTGTCCTGCAAAAATACCGGGGACTCTCCAAATATGCCATGTCCACTGGGGTAATAGCACATTCTTACCGTGGCCCGTTTATGCCAGAGTCATTTACCACTGATAGGGATACTAGACGACCATTACAAGGCATCCTTACATTATACACCTGAACATTGCCTTGTAAATGGTGGTGTCCCTTTATTTTGGTGGAAAAAGCCATGTTTCAAACGGGCTTTAAGGAGCCCTGTGGTTACCAGGATTCAAATTTGGGGGGCCCTTGAACTGTTCGTCACTTGGCCAGTGGTGAGATACCCCCCGCAAGTCAGCCCGTGCGCGACCCGTATGTGAGATTCACGTCTTACAGGTTGTCAAACAATGTGGGAGTGTCTCAAAATCAGGGCCCACTTCCCAAAATGGGCTTCGGCTTTCCTTTTTTGTCTTTTGCAACCCCAAAAAGGCATACAAGTACCAGCCCCTCCTAACATCCTCAAGTGAAGTATCTACGAGTCGACCCAAACAAACCAGCCAGTATTGGAGCATCCTCTGCTTGCTTTCAACTTTCGTGGCGTCTGGTGGGTCAATGCATGATTTCGGTGACCACTGCGGGGGCAGTGGGAATTTATGTCCACCACTTTGAGGTGGTTCTGACCACCTACATAAACCTCATAGCCGAATTCAAGTCGCCATCAACTAGGTCCTCCACTAGAGAGGTTAGAATAAGGGTGCCCTTTCTTCTGTAGTCTATTTTAGGGGGACCGAATCTCCCAACCAAAAAAGGAACCGGTAAAAGAACGGGCACGAATTGCTGGCGGACCTCACCTCAAACACGGCTCTCAGAGCCCGGCCCGGCCGACTGAACGAAAGGCGCGCGCGCATCGACGAGATCGATCCCTGCGAAGGGCCTCGCCTGCGAAGAAGGTCTGGAAGAACCGCGAGGACCAGGCGCTCTTGCCGCGGGGCACGAAGCAGAACCTCGCGAAAACCCGAGCAACAGAGAGAGACCAAAAGGAGAAACCCAAGGGGTTACCTCCATTTCGTTTTCGTCCCCTGGAAAAATGGAAATATGTCCAGTATAGGTTCTTTTTGAATCCAACAGAAGAAAAAAACATATTCTTAACCAAATAGAAGGTTACTAGGCCGAGCGAGTTGCCGAGCTTTCAATCAGATAAGGAAACAAAGCCATCCGAACTGCACTATGGCAAGCCACTCCCTCGTTTTCACAGCATTTGGGTCTGATTTTTTGGCAGGTACCCTTTTTGTGCGGGTTGAAGGGAAACCAAAAGGAACACCAACCTAGTTTGGAGGCCGACACACCCATACAACTGTTCAAACCACCTCCGCTCCCAGGTCCCAAACCCAGCCGAGCTGGCCAGGTTGCCCTCAGTTCAGTGGACTCCCAATGAGGGGGCACCCCAATTTTCCTTGGCCACAGGGAAAAACCCTTTTTCAAGGGGGAAACACTGTTGGATTCAACTGGTCCCAGTCCATGCAATGGCCATGGCAATTGCATCAGCTTCTTGGAATTTGAATTTTGACCTATTGCATTGGACGGATTCAGCATCCTGACCCGTCGCTTCTTGAGCTGGCATCAGCTTCTTGCAGCTTGCCAAACCTACCTCAGACCTCCGTTGGTCCCAGGCGCAGAGAGCTGGTCAGCCCCAGGAAGGACTCCAGGTATGGCACGTCCACGTCCACGTGCATGGACTCCTCGGTGTCCTAGGGGGCCATTCTTGCTGCTCAGTGAAGGACCGAGCCCGGGTGTTGGGAATGAACCGGGTTTGGGGGATTCCCTTAAAAAGCAAACCAAATCGGATGCATGGCTTTTCTCGGGGTCATTCCATTTAATTCATTCCCTGAGAACCATCAAGCTTTGGATGCTGTAGGGCTTGAGCACCTGAGAGGGTACCGAAGTCTTGAAAGACTGGGCCGTCCGTTGTCAGGTCCCCTCCTAGAAGTCTAACTCTTAGTGGGCGAAATGGAAGCTACCACTAAACCCTCAAACCTAAAAACCTAAGGGGATGGCTGGGGACCACCAAGAAGAGCCTCGAAAGGTGCCAGAATCTTAAAATAATACACAGAAAGTCACTAGAAACAAGGTGAACTTGAGAAGGAAGCTCAAACTATATCCCAAGAGCTGTATATCCTCAACGCCCCCACGATCCAAACCGTCTTCTATCAGATCGCAACGCAGCCATGGTCAAAACTCCTTAGATAGCCTGTGGTCATGGCTCCCTAACTAGGAATCCTTATCATCGTGTTTAAAGGATCCTTACTACCAGGGTGGATGACCATCCCTATTAACCCTTGCAAAACCATCTTTGGGTTCCATGTGGCCTTCCACACGAACAGTATCTGCCAGTCATGACAATTAGCCCTTCAGAACCAAAGAGAGGAAAAGTAACCCCTAAAGAAATGTGCCAGAACCTGCCAAGACCTGTCGACTTGCCCCGCAACAATGCTGCCTTCAAGTCCAGCAGAACGGAGCGCACATTCAGCGGGCCTCACGTGGCAAGTGTCTCCGTGCCCTGGGCATTCGTGGCTGTGGGTCACGACAACATATGGCTGTGGGTCAAAACCAGTGGGATCCCATTTTGGGGTAGGTGAATTCACCGCCCATGTTTGTCGGTTTTAGTGGGGATTGGGATGTTTACTGTATCAAAATGGTTTGCTCTGGGAAGTGGAAACATGGACCAAAACCTGCGGTTTGCCCCTCCTGTTTAATTTTGAGCCACACCATGTAGGTCTGATAAAATTTGTGCTCCGGTTACCTGGACCGAGCCTCAAACTACCCTCAAACATTTGATGTCACCAACCATAGTTTTGGGGCTATAACCCATGCTAAGGGGATGTTGAGGGTTCTGGTATTTTTTTTACTATTTCAATGAAACTACTCATGAGAGAGAATGAATACATGTATGTGTTCGAATTAGCACTCTTATTGAACTCCAAAATCAAAAGCTGATCAGTTTACTTACCGGCGGTTTCCATTGACAGGATCGCCACTTTTGGAGGTATGGCTTGGAAACCGGGAGGTCTTGGGGCGTCTTGGGGAGAGGGGGGGGTCAATGTCAAGGTGAGCCGAAGACATGGCGTGAATTGATCATGTCCCCTGCACGCGTCCTGCGGTTCGGTGGTCAATCAAAACAATGTTGAATGCAAGTTCCGCATCAGCGGGGGGGAGGGCATGTTTGTGGAGCGGGTATCTTATGAGCTAGCTGCTAACTGTCCAGGGTTGAACCTTGGACCTCAAGTTTGGAAACCGGGGTTTGAAGCTCAGACCTACCTTACCACCCAACATGGCACCCCAAGAGGTGTTATTGGCTCAAGGGGCAACACCCAACGAAAAAAGTGGAGTTTCGAGTTCTGGCCAATTTATTCAAGGAACCAAAATTGCCACAAACCTTGCTGGGTTTTCGCTCTTTTTACCCCCCATCGCAAAGCTCGTTATAGTTTTGTCCACACCCATTCGGAGAATGGAAAATTGTGAAATAACCATCCGGGAATGAGACAGGGTTGTTCTAACTTGATTTTTGGAGGATACTCATTGTTAGCTGCTTGTTCTGAGGCAAGCCAAGAGACAGCCACCCAATTTTGGAGGCTGCATTTAAAGGTTAGCTTTAAGTGTGTTCGCCCAAATCCCTATGTTGACAACCATCTCCTAGGTTCTCCAGTAGAGAGGTTAGAATAAGTTGGTACCCGATTTTATTTTTTTTCTGTCGTCTATTTTAGTAGGGGAACCGAATCTCCCAACCAAAAAAAGGGGTGAGAGGTCGGGCACCAATTGCTGGACCTAGATCTCTGCCAAGGAGCAGCTGCTGTTCTGGCAGAGCTGGGGGTCCATCACCGAGAAGTGCGGCGGCCTGGAGGGGCAAGACAACCGGCCGCTTGGAAAAAATACCTGAACCCTCGAGCTACCCTTAAAAACGGGATTTCACCAACCATCATTTCGGGGCTATAGCCCATTTTCAAGGGAAGTTGGAGGGTTCAGGTAGATGGGCTTCCCTGGTACATGGAATCACCCCCATCCAAACCAGAAACCCCTCTGTTGTTTTAAGCAAACCAACCAAAAAGGACACCTATGCGCAAGACATTTCTGCCCCAGCGGGGATTCGCCCCCAAAAAACCGCGTGGTTTGCCGAGCTGAACGCGTGGGTTTTGCGGCTGAAAGGATGGTTACCCTTTTCCTCCCACCACACACAGCAGCTGCAGGAGGGTAGCTGGAAGATGAGTTTCCTTTGAAGGGATCTCTGGTCAAATGCCATGTTAGTGGCATGGAGAGTACACATGAACATGCAACCCCATAGAGGGGTCCCCCCAAAAGCGGTTCCAACCAACCCATCACTCTGGTCCAAACCCAGAAGCGAGATGAGCGGCGCCGAGAATAGGGTGTGTAAAGTAAAACCCCCTACTAACAAATTGCCTTCGCGAACCTTTCGCGATGCTTTCGCGCCCGCACGTTTCACTTTCGCGGGCAGGTGTTTTGTAACTACTGATCACTCAAACAAGAACACAAGCACAGAGGGGCAAGCAGACACAGACATCAGACACAAATGGACAAACACACATACATGCACATGAGCAACGAGTCACACATGACAAGTTCCTGACTACAAGTTGATGCTGTCCGCGATGAGCGACGCAACCACCCTCACGAGCCCAAAATGGGAGCCGACAATGCGACACAGAATCCGCAAACCTGCCGTTCGCGACGCTTTCGCGGCGGGCTCTTCTTCAACCACCTTCGCCGCAAGTGTTCGCGGGCCTTCGCGCTTTGCGTTTTAGCTTTTGCGGGGCTTCGTTACGAGAGGCCCTCAACTAACTCCATTCATAGGTGTTTTTGGCGCTGCTCAAATGACGATCACCCGATGCTTGGCAACCCTCCCTAGTTACATGGGTTCACATGGGTGTACCATGGCTATCCATGGCTTTAGGTTTGCGGTCAGAGTTTACATGGGATGCACAAACCAAACAAACTTTGGAGACTAAACCAAATACGCTTCCAGGACATGACCTCAACTGTTCAACATGTGCTTACTTCCCCTGCAAATTGACATGACACCCAACAAGCAGGTCCCCAAACAGGATGGCCCGGCCCGGGCTCGGATTCTGCAGGGGGAGGAGGGCAAACCAAGGCACTTGTGTTACCTCAATTCCGAGACAGAAAAGAAGGAACCCCCAAAGAGCTTCAAAGAAACCTTCATCTTCCATTTGCCCAAGCCCCGGAAAAAATGTCAAACCGACAGGGGAACAAAATACAAAAAACAAAACTTCATTTCAGCAAATGGAAGTCACGCGCGTTGCTGTTTGGTCCAGGCAAAGAACCTGGGTGGGGCAACATATGGTTTACACACCACCTTTACAAGGGAAGAGTTATCATAACCGGTGGTTTAAACATGTTTAAACCAATGGGTGGCCCCACCCTACATACCCTACAAAGAACCCGACAACGCCGACGTGCAAAAAAAAATATGTTGGCGGCCTGGGCCAGCCGATAAAGTGCCCCAGCACCGTCCTCTCGGTGAAGGGCTTGGCCATCTTCCTCGACTGGACAAAAACAACCCTTGAAATGGCTATGGGTCAAAAATTCGGAATTCCCAAAATGGAACCCTGGTAACGGGAACCAAAGACTACAAGCTGCGGTCCATATCCTGGTGGTTGTATTTTGACCCATACCCAAATGTTCACTACTGGACCCAAAGGGAACGACAGGTGGTCCCCAAGCGGTCTTGAAAGCATTTTAGCCCAAGGCCATTTTTCCCCTGCAAAAGTGGCCTCGTTTTGCACTTTGTTCGGGGGTTACCCATGGCAGTCACTGGTGTGGGGGCCTGTGCATGACTGATTGCATTCAGGTTACAAAGCCTTTGAACTGCCGGGGAGTGGAAAAACATGTCTCTCATGCCGCTGAAACTGTGGAAAGAAAACTGCCGAAGCACCTGCCTGTTGTGGAAAAGCATTGGCATGGTTTTCGGCTGTACCACCACCCAAAAAACAACACTGAAGTCCACTACGGTCCAACCATGGCACAAGCTGTCAAGCTTAGTCTCAGAGCCTCCCTAATCTGGGCATGTTTCGAAATGGGGTTCCTGTTCCTGCCACTTTCCCTTAGCGTCATCTTCAGAAAGCATTGTCCAAAGAAAGGCATTCTAGGCAGGGGGGCTAAGGCAGTCTTTCAGGGAGATCAGGTCCTTTCAAGCACAACCCTTTTCCCACAATGGAACAATCCATACATCTTATTGCACGCTTCAAGCAAAACCAACCAGGTGCCTGCCATTCTGTGGGTGTGGGTCAAAATTAAACCACTAGGGGACCGCAGGTTTTAGTCCATGTTTCCATTTACCAGGGTTCATTTTGCGGTTACCCTATGTTTGACCCACCCCCATCCCTGAATTCCCAATGAGGACAAAGGGCTCTTGGACACCTTCGGTCTAGTTGGCACCCGTGGCATGCCTCCATTTGTGTTCAGAGCCCCCTGGAAACAAATACCAAATTGTCTAAATGGCGGTGGGTCAAAACCAATGGTACCATTTTGGGGTAGGTGCACCATATTTTAGTGGGGATTGGGATGTTCACTGGGGGTACGGGATTTGACCCATGGCCAAATAGTGATAGACTCCCTTCAAAACCAACAAGGGAAAATCATACATATTCTTAAGCAAATGCAAGAAACCAGGGAGGTTCGGAAACGGAATGGAGGTGCACTTTGGCACACGCCAGAGCGCCAACCGAAAGCTGTCTTTGGTCCAAAGTGACATCCACAGACTGACCCTCTCGATTTGGCGGAAACCATAATTTCACAGCCCCTCAACTGGTTGCTGTTGACCCCCTGCAAAAAGTTTAACTTTTAATTGGTTCAATGGAAGCCCTCAATTTCAACCAAAAGGTGAAAGCCTAAAGATCCAACCCAGTAGTGATAAAGTGTCAAAATCGTTGCTTTAAGGCTTTCAGGGAAGTCTTCAGGCCAACCCGATCCAAACATCATCAATCGACCCTTTCGCGATTGAACGCGAGGCGTCCCTAGGGAGATCATGTCGTCTACTGTGAGCCGGCCCGGCACGATGATGTCCTGCCACAGCCATGGTCAAAGCACATAGGTTGCCTTATCTTGGTCATTGTTCAACCCGCGATTTAGGATATACCATCACAATTGCAGTCAAGGGCAAAGATTTGAGGTGGTACGAATCGTAAACCTGGCTTTCTTCTTGCTCCATGAGTAGAAAATCTCAATGGCAAGCTTGCAGCTGGCATGTTGCTCTTCACTTGTCGCTGTCAACACAAATGCTGGATGACCCAGCTTCCCCCCCGCTAACAAAAAAAACAATTGCCTTTGATTCAATTCCAGGATTCATGAACCTTAAATTGCGACATGTTCTCCAAACCGGGATCCCAGAGTTGTGCCGTCCGCTATATGGATCGGGCGCTTCTGCCCATCCAGCTGCTTGAAACGAAGAGCCTTCAACGTTGTTCATTCCATTCCAACGTACTTCAAACAAGGCCGCGTTGTTCATGGTGAGTTTACCCACGCTCTGCAGTAACACCATTCAAGGGGGAAAGTAGGACGACGCTATGGACAAACAGAGATTATGTTGAAGCATCAGACCTTGAAACAAATGATGCCAAATTTGGACTAGTCTGAAGGACCATACTAATCAGGGGCGGTTCTCCTTTCAGCAACTACATTCTATACTTCCAGAGGTTCCTCTGATGAATAGGGTCCTCCGCATAAATCCGAAGTTGGTATTATCCAAAGAAGTTGTTTGTCCAACTGGACTCTAAGTGGCCATGGGTCAAAATCCCGTACCCCCAGTGAACATCCCAAACCCCACTAAAATAGACTAAAATGGGGGGTGCACCTACCCCAAAAGGGTACCACTCCCTCAAACTTGTGGAAGCTGGCAGGAGGCTTCCATGTTGGCCCGAGGTCCCTGGACTTGTGGCTGTAATCATTATGAAGGATTGTACAGGCCTTTCCAAACTGAATCAAAAAAGGAAGAGACAAATACTCAATTGGGCGTGTCGCTTTTTTTGCAGCGTACCTGTTTTTGCTTCAGGGAAACAACAAAAAGAAACAACCCATTCTTTCACTTCGCAAGTGGACTGGCCAAAAAAGAGTCTAAACCCAAACAAATGCTAAAGTCCATGAACTCCCGGAGTGAGATTTTGGGGGATCCCCATTTGGAGACGCTACCCAACTCCGTTCGGGTCCTTATGCGGCGTGTAGGAGGGGAGCACCACCTCCTGCGAAGCGAGCGCGCGCATTCTGGTCGCTGGGGGAACAGCCGCCAATGCCAGTCATGATTCCAGCATCTCCTCAACAAAAACAAAAGAAGTAACAAACACATAATTTGTGGCGACTCAGGCCGACCAAGCAGAAACATGGGGCCGTGGGTCGGCCATTGCTGTTAAAGAGGCACTCCCCCCCCTCCCCCCAAATCTCCGGGTCAAAGGGAAAATACGGCAAAGGACCCTTGAGATTTGCGCTATGTACAAACTACTCTCTATATATATATATATATATATATATAAACACTGCAAGGCTGCAAGGACTGAAATATTCAGAAGCTGTGGGGTCCTAAAACCAATCACAGCACGATCGAGCATGTTAGTCATCATCAATTCAAGGGGCTAAATAACTTCACACATTCTATAAGAGAACCTCGGGCGAAGCAAGCGAGGTAAACACGGCTTGAACAATACTGACTGCCCTAGAACAAAGCTTGTTAGCAGAACAACTCCAAATAGACCAAATTCAAAGTGGGTGTAGTCCAAGCATCTTAGAACTTTTGGAATACGTGGCATCTATTGGTTCTAAGCTACCCCTGTCCGACTGATTGCCAGTATAAAAGGGAACAGCTAGGTGTGTTTAACCAATCTCTGGTTTTGGGTGACTCGATGACTCTGCCACCGGTTCCGAGCTGTTTTGTATGCTTCCATCAGCAAAAGCGTCCTCGTCCTGGTTCGCTTTGCTGCTTTGTGCTGACCGCCAACCTTGCCAGAATCATGGACCTAGGGCTGTGCGGGGGAGCGTCATCTATTTAAAGCCTTCCTCCGCTGGTAGGGGCTCATCCCAGGCTTAAATTAATTAATTGTCAGGGGTCACTGGATTTCCCCTCCAACAGTTGCAATTTACTGGTGGGTTCGAATAAACCGCCACTTTTGAAGGTTCAAAGAAAGAGGAAATGGCGCGATCCCTGATTTTGCCACAATCTCCAAGGGCCCCGAAGAGTGCCCCAGACAAAGGGCTCAGGCGCCCTGCATGGGTGCCTGCTGAGCTGTATTCCTTACTGTTGCGCAATGGTGCTACAAAAAACAACACACATACATAACATACTTACATGCATGCGTGAAATATGAATATGTACATAATATGTATATCTATCTATCTATATATGTATGTATATACACAAATAATCATTCATAGTTCAACGTACTCACATTCCGCTTCGGCCTCTTTCGCCTTTTTCCCCTCGCTCCTTGTAGGGATTCCAGAGCTCCGGCTCCGTCATCAGGAAGATGGCGTTGGGCACCCACTGGCGCCAGGAAGCGAAGGGGCCGTCCGCGCCCATCCCGGAGCCCCACACGAAGAGGTGGTTCCGTCCTCGGTGTTCGCTTCTTCGGTTCTTCGGTTCTGGAGCTCAGTCGGGGAAGGAGAAATTCAATGACCCCAGAAAGAAAAAAAACAGGAAACCACCCCCCTGGGGGTGAACCAAATCCATAGAAGCCTTGGGAATCGCTTTTGTTCACTGCTTCCAAAGCTGGACAAAGGGATCGCGAACTCACTTCCGGAGTGGATTAGCCTTAAAACAGTCCCACATTCATGATGCTTGCCACTTTTAGTGGCCCAACCAACCAAAACATGGCTAATGTCCAGGAACACAGGGAGTGATCACAGGACCATAGGTGTCCTTTTAGGCGAAATAGATGGCCCTGGTAGATGATTAAACCACCAGGTAAACCAGGACTCGCCATCGATTTTTCTACCAAAACAACGAAAAAGGACACCTCTGCGCAGGACCTTCACGGCCACTCGCCTTGTTTGACGTCCGTGGCCTCGTTTCTCAACTCGACACGGCGAGGCGCCCCCGTCCACGCGGCGGTAGTAGGGCGACTCTCGGAGCACCTGACGCAGATGCTCGGTTTCGGGAGCAGCGAAACCACCAAAAGAAAACGATATGGCTATGGGTCAAAATCCAAATCGGACCCCCCAGTGAACATCCCAATCACTAAAATAGGTTCGAAAATGGGTAACCCCAAAATGGGATCCCATTGGTGTTGACCCACGGCCAATATGGGTATGGGTCAAAACTCGTCCACCAGGATATGGACCGCAGGTTTTAGTCTTTGGTTCCATTTACCAGGGTTCCATTTAAAACAATATGCCTGAACCCTCAAAATTTCCTTAAAAATTGGTTACAGCCCCGAAGTTATGGGCAAAATCCAATTTTTAAGGGCAGTTTGAGGGTTCAGGTGGGTGTGCCTATGAATGGCAGACCCGCAAAAAATCCTCTGGGTTTGCCTTCAAACCCGCAAAAAAGGGTACCCTCAAGAGAAGCACACCCACATTGGGAACCCTGCCAAATCAAGCATTAGTGGCCTAGAAATCAAAGGTTCAGCTTTTGAGAACTTGACTTGACATCTTGACATGGATCAGAAATTCCACAAAGTCGGCTTTGGGCAACTGAGTGGAGTGATGCTGACCGTAGCTTGTTTGGCTTTTGCTTAAAGCAGCCAAGGGTGGAAAATCCGAACTTCCGACAGCCTCCTCAAAGAGCTCCGTGGTGGGCATGCACAGCTGCTTCGTGTCGCAACCTGCAATTGGGTCACGGCATCTTGGTTTGTCTCATAGCGGAACCCCCAACTGACTTGGCTTCCCTTTGGTTTCCAAAAAGAAAACACGCAATGTGGGAGAACACACATCCTAAACGTACACATTCTCCTGTAACCCAACTTGGATTGGCGTCGTTTCTGCTGGTGCGCACACAAACTGCACAAGCCTTCAAGGGAAACATGCGGCTTGCATACTGTGGAAACCCGCAAGAACGGCTCATGGCATCGCTCGGAATGCCATGCATCATGGCAATGAACCAATTCCCTTCTTCCAAGGTTCTGATCTAAGGGTTCTGATCGAAAGGTTCTGATCCAAGGGCTCTGGAAACCTTTCTAGGGGGTGTTTCTCCTTATGATTTGTGTACAGAAGGTGTGGCGTGATACGCGCTTAACGGGCCAAGGCAAATGCACCAGACCATCCCTCCACTACATGTTGGGTTGCTTGCGACCAAGAATGTGTCAAGTTATTGCTATGCAGTGGCGGCTTCGCAAATAAGCAGTCGGCTTCCTAACAGTCCATGTGCAAAATGAAACAGTCACAAAGAGCAGGCCAGGCCGTTTTGTTCCCGAAAAGGTAAAAAACAACACTTTTTTGTTCAGTGCAAGGCAGGCAAGCAAGCTCCCTTCCCAAAATTAGTCCTGGTCTCTAACGCGTAATCAAATCAACTCCGTCCTGCGAACGTGTCCGCGTGGTTGATGAGGCAGGAGGTGTAGTGAGGCACGAAAAAGAAGTCCGCTTCCTCAGAGCGCATGCAGCGTCTAAGATGGTGACGTCTACCCCCAAACCACCACACAACGGAACCTGGCCGGTATATGCCTCTAGTGCCGTGATGTGCTCATGATTTTCCTCAACCGAGGTAATCTGTTGTTTTGTGTCGTTGTGGTCATTTGCACAATCAAATTAGCGGGAAAGCGGGGATGGAGATTTCTGGAACCTGCAAACTGTGTTTGATTTGATCCCATATCGCTTCCTTGGTTCCCCTCATTCGTTTCTCCGAGTATACTCCGTGTCTGGGGATACAGGTTGCAGAAAACACCTCAGAGTTTGAAGACAAAACAATTTGTCAGAGCCCGACCCATACAGCTGACTTGAAACCAACCAATAAACAAGCAAAAGTGAACCTTTGGATCGTCGGAAAGCCGAGTTGCTCGAGTTGCAACAAAAGGACAACTCCGAAACCGAAAGCGGGGTAGTCCAAAATGGGGAGATCCAAAGCAAAGGCAACCACTGGAACAATATGGATTTTGGTGACTGATATGGAAACGAGCAAACAGGGGAAACCTACTAGTACCCAACAACGCCTGCCTTTTCCCATGTCCAAAAAGTCCCAGCTTCTGTCCAAGCTTCCATTTGCGTAAGCCCCCTGGAAAAATAAAAGTCTTTCCAACAGTGATAGATTCCCTTTAAAGCCATCAAACACATTCTTAAGCAAATGGAAGAAAAGCAGCGGTGGGATGTACCAGGGTGCTGGTAAGGACGCCACTCCATGCCCCATCGATCGCCACATTCGAACACTGGCCCCTCGATGTTCTACCCTTGATTCAGCATCGTGTTCCAAATGGGTATGTCTCAAACATAGGGGGACCCTAAAAGTTAACTGTGTGTTTCCGTTTGGCTCTTTAAACCAACCCGCCAAAACGGTACCAAGCCAACAAAAGCACCCAACAATTCTTGGACGGTTGCCCTTTCGTTTGCTTTGTCTTTCCTTCAGGGGCCGTTTTTCGGCCCATTCGCGGAAAAACAAAAAGGCCTGCGCGTATTTTCAGCGGAACCCCCCCGGTAGGCTTCCAGAACGAAAGCCGCTCCGGAGCACCTGGGAGCCTATCTGGGCAGAGACCCCGAAGCTTTCAGTTGTTGGGACAGGCTGGACGAAATCCGATTCGCACCTAAAATACCCTGGAATGATACGATTCCCCTGCAAAAACCAACAAACAATGGTTTCAACCATGGTTTCAAAGTGGTGCAATATTTTGTCCATCCACAGTTTAGCCTACTCTGGAAAAAAAGCCGGAGGAACCCCCCCGCTTGATGCCTTTCAGAGCTTCCTCGGGGTTGTCGGTCCGGCAAGGGCAAGCCAAGAACCAGTCGTGAAGCGCCACCTGCGGCGGTGGAAAACAGCTACAGGATTCACAGGAAACAAGTCGAACACCCAGAAACAAGGATTTTCTGCATAATTTCCTGTAACCGGTTTGGTAAACAGGCAGGAGTCGCTTGTTCACTGAATTTGGTCGACCCGGGCTTCCCTTTCAACCTTTACGAAAGAGTCCATAGTCCCTGCTCTCCGGCAAGGATTCCCTTCTGAGAACCTTCTGGGGCACCTGAGGTTTCGGATGGTTCCCCCGTAGCCCCCTTGAAAATGATTCAAGCACACGCCTCCATGCCCCACTGATTGGGCTTGCAGAAGGATCCCCCACGCGCCAGTTTCCTGCAGCGCAGGCGCTGTATCGGAGTTTCCTGGGGGTGGGGTGTGGGGGTGTGGGGGGTGCACTTCCGTTCAGGTGGTTCTTGCCACCTTCTTGGCATACGTCTGTCATTTCTCCAAGAAACTCACATACTCATAGGGCCGACATGTTGTTTCGGACAAAGCAAACGCATTGCTTAGGTTTACTCAATATAAACCTCGGATAAACTACTCCCTGTTGATGAAGGTGCGCGCTAACAAATCCAACTGTTTATCGACGAGCTCATATCAAGTTGAAACCCGTCTGCCTGGGCCCACTGAAGAGGCGCCGTGCAAATGACATGTCACTGCAAATGAGAAACGAACTATGGTGTGTCTCCTTTTGCTGGTAATACTGCTTGGAATTACTCTTTATAAGGGAAACCGAAGGTAAGCCACGATTCAAGCCACGATTTGCCAGTTGAAACCGGTCCTCAGCGCTGGGATGGTGTCGGGGTCATAGACCTCAAGGCCGAAAACCGACCCCACCCAGACATCCGCCTAGGGCAACTCACATCATGAGTGGATTAATCAAGTTCTCCCTTTTTTGGCGATGCCGTTGGCTAACCAGATTGGTCTTCCCAAGAAACTGAAACGCCCAGCAACATTGGGCAACTAGGTCTGCTCCGCGACATGGTTTCCCTTTGAGCCACTGGGGCTCTTATGGCTCCCCATCACAACCTTTCTGGCAAAATTGTCTTGCCAAGTGATTCAAGTCTCGGATCTGGGGAAGTAAGTCCCGGGGTTAAGTAAGTCCCGCAACTCTTCACCCCCGAAACCCACCCAGAAACCCAGCCGTCCCAACCCCCCAACCCCCTGAGTCTTATCTGGGGGAGTTGGCGCTAAGGCTTGCGAACCCCTCAACCCTTCATTGGGCCTAGGTGGATGTTGGCATGCGTAGCGGGGGTTCTTGTTTTTGCTGATGAGCGTAGGAGTTTCATTTAAACCACCAGAATTTCGAAAATCTGTTGAGTTGAGGGGTCCAAAGGGGTTGGTTTGTACATCCGGACTTTAATGCCCCAAAACCCCCACTCCTCGCCAAACACACCGGGCCTTGTCTCTTATGAAAGTAATTCCCCTTAGGGACACCATTCAACCCTCACTTGAGTGGATTGCCAAAATGAGCCTAGGTATCCCCAACACCAACCCCCGCACCCTTCCGGACCCTCCCAGACCGAGCTCCGGATCACTCCGGGGCCAAACAGGTGTATCAGCGTGTCGTTATAATTCGTTAAACCAAAAAATGGGTTTGGATGTAATAGAACAACCACCTAACAAAAACAACATCTCAACTGTGTTGCTTAAGCAAAAAGCCTTTGGGTTTTATAGAAACAAAACACCTTGCTTGTTGTTGTTTAAACAACAACAGCAGCACAAATGCTCAGATGCCAGTGGCCATGGGGAAATAAGGCATCCTCTTTTGTTGGTTATCTTCAAAAGGAATCAGAACCCTTCCCCAACACAAGTTCCCAAAAAGAAGAAACCAAAAAAACAAAAACAAAAACACCAAACAAGGGCAACTGGGAATGGTGCAAGCCGGAAGAAGAAAAGGACAACCCAAACAAACAAACCAAACGCTTGGGCCACATGGCCCGCCCGCTCGCCGTATCCAGCTTACCCCCCCGAGCCTTCGTCGTTAGTCCCCCGCTCCGAGCGGCGAAGACCCGGAAGCCCGGCGTGGGCGCCGTGGGCCTCGCCGCCCCGAGGCCGCGAGGCCCCACCGGCGCCACCGGAGCACCCGTGGGGCGCCAGGCGGACCAGACCTCTCCGGTGGTGACCCGAGAACTGGGCGCCCGGAAGACTCAAACTAGCCTCAAAAATGGGAGTGCACCCCCTACAGCCCGTTTTCAAGGGAATTTGGAGGGTTCAGGTCTCAGCTTTCAAGATGGTCTTCCAGGACTCCCCTGTCAGGTTCCATGTTAATTGGCCCTCAAAAATGGGAGTTCACCAACCATCATTTTGGGGCTATAACCCATTTTGAAGGGAATTTTGAGGGTTCAGGTCTCCGTTTGCAGATCCGCTGAAAGCGAATAACTGGTGGGTGAAATTCGAAAACCCGGCCACTAGACCAGCTAACACCTATAGGGACCGGACGGCTGGGAACCGCCAAGTTAATTGGCTGGCTTGGATTGGTGGTTTGAAGTTGGATTTGAACCCCTGGTTCTTGTAGAGGGTAAATGGGAAACTACCCCTCAACTACGGGGGTAGCTGAAAAACTGGGGGAGGGGAACAGTAGCTTCCATGGTTTGGCCCAAAAACAGCTTTTGAAGTTGTTGTTTGCCACTGAAACTGCTTAAACACCATGAATCTGGTGAGTACCACAGTGGTGTCGCCTTTTGCCGGAAAATTGCATTGAATGGGGGGGGGGGTTCTCCAAAAAGAAAGGGACAAAGGAAGCGACTCGCTGGTCTGTAGCATGTGGAAGATCACACACAATCTGTGATACCAAAACATGATTCCCATGACTGCACTACAACGCCACGTTAAAACTGGGCTTTCTTGTTGGTACGACAGAAAAATGGCCCTCAAACTCAAAAAGGCCACAACCATGAGTGGCTTTTTTATAAGGAAAGCCCAGAGCAAAGTGAGCTCGATGTAATTAGCCAAATGATGACCACGACGACCAACAAAAGGTTTATTCACGTTTGCCAACTCAACCGGTGAAATGTCCCTGTTGTAATTTCCATAGCGTTCCAACTCTAATATTGAAGAACACCACAGAGACAACGAAGCAAGCATGAAGCAAGCGAATCATGCTTGTACGTACCCCTGTGCAAATGACCAGACAGGATGTAATGTACAGTTGCTCAGCAACTAGGGGACCAAGGGATATGAACAAGCATGTACTACCCCAACAAGCTGAGCTTTACGCAACATGGGCCTGCTTGTTATTTTAGGGGACTCCGCACAATGTCCTTTTGCTTTCCCTTTGAAGCCGCAAACAAAAGGTACCCCGGTTTTGCTCAAGGACTTCAAATGGAAGCTATACAACCAGCCTTGCTGTTTAAACTGCTTCGATCCCAGAATTGATGCAACATGTCTATATCAAGGGTCTGGGCAAAGTACGAGAATTCCCAAACTGGAAACAAGGGAAGTGACTGTAAAAGCCCTTCCATCATGAGCTAAATCGGTCAGCTTGACACCTTTTTTAGCCAAACGAATCAACGTTTGGAGAAGCAGGTGGGTCGTTGTCCTTGCGAAAGCTAAGCTTTGCGCTACTTGGTGGAGAAAGGCTTGCCAGAAGCAACCAAACTTGTGGTCCAAGCCACGAAAACGGCAACCAACCCAAAAGTGACGATCAAGTCGATTCGCTCAGGAAGTGAGTGGTGCGGATCCTTCTTGCGGGACCGAGTCTGTAAGGTTGGTTTGAAGGCGAAACAGCACGACACCGCCTAATAGCCATAATCCAACCAAATAGCGCAAATGGCCATGACTAAAGCTCCATGAGCTCAGGAACCCCCGTATGGACACACGAGGGTCTAGCTTGCACCTTCTTTTACGCTACTGGTGGGTGCCTTTAGGGTTCTTGACTGCAAAATCGACTCTACATGTCCATGGCACCCCCCCTCCCCCTCCACCCAAAGGAAGTGGAGAAAAGCGGCGCCAAATCCGCTTGAAGCGGCGCGCAATCCGCTTGGGTCCAAGGCTCCTGGTGCCAGTCCTCGTCATGGAGCCCGAAGGCGTTCTTGAAGCGCCGGCGCCGGTCTGGCCCCCCCGTGCCGCCCCCCGAGGACGCGCGCAGCAGCGCCCGCCTGCCCGCTTTGGCAAAATGATATATATTCTAAGGGTTGGGTTACAGCAAATTCTACGGAAAAATATATATCTTTTTTACGGTGGTTTGGGGAAGGGAGGGGAACAAATGGTGTAAAAAGACCTAGGCTCGAGGAATGGGTGGGCGAACAACTCACGAAGGAATGGTGGATGAACGGGAAATAGAAAGTAAATAGATTCTTAGATGGGAAATGACTTTAGGAATCCCATCACCTTCATCTTCAGTTCGCTTCTCTCATCCTTCTTAACCCACTCACCTGCCTACTGTGGATGGTTGCGAAATCCATTTCCCACCACTTTGCAACCATGGAATACCACAACGTTTGTTGGGTTTTTTACAGGGGGATCGAATCATTTGCAGGGCTTAGGTGGTGCAAGATTTCGGCCATCCACAGCATGTCAACCCCGGATTCACCGCTTGGTTGACTGTAGTCCCATGTAAGAGGGAGCCTTCACTTTGTAAGGAACGAACACCCTATTGGGACCCAACAATCAACGGTTGATTAATCCGGGGTCGACTTTGTTCTTTAAACATCTTCTGCTTGGCTTCTCTTTCAAGTGGCCCAAACCCTTGGTGGCGAACAAGCTGGAAGAGGAGACCTCCCGTTCTTGGACGTCTCCTTGTCACGTGGGGAAGCTGTAGTGGATTCTGCGGGCAATTTGGGGTCAGGCTTCTCGTCCTCTCCAAACTTAAGCTAGACCACCATTCATATGTCTAGGAGGTATTTTCCACCTTCCCCATTCCTTGCAGGGATGCTTCCTTTCTAGAAAACCTCCGGAAACCCAGGGAGAGCGGGTGGCTTTTGAAAAGAACGATGATTGACAAGAATGCTTGGAAGCAACCCCTAGAATAACGCCATTGCATCATATCACCGTTGATGTGGGCATTTCTCTTTTTTGTTGGGTCTTGTGGTTTCTTTAGGTTTCGGCTCCATTTCGAGACAAATCCATAGACAAAGCAATTTGGGTCTGCCTTAAAAATAGGGGCCACAAACAATGATTGAAATTCTGTCGGTTTCGTGTAAACTCGCTTCAGCTGCGAGGGAAAGGGTAGGCGGCAGATAAGGCATGGGAGTTAACCCGCTCACTCATAGACACACTGGAGATAGGGGTTCACTCTTCATCATGTTTGTACTTGGGATTTGGTGGTGTCATAAGCAATTTCAAGGTTTTCCAAGCTCAATAAGTATTGGAAGAGCTTGGACAGTTAAACTGCTCTGACATATAACTCCTCAATCCCTCACAATCCAAGGATTATTTCCCCGTCCCCACTGTTAGTCCTGGAAGCACTTCTCTGAGCTGGAAGGGTCTATTGGAAAGGTGAGGAAACCAATTCTTTTGGTCGCTTGAGTTGGGACACTTTGGAAAGCACACCAGCCACGTGGCAAAAGGGAGAAATGACCTTCCTAGTCGTACCTTGTCCCCAATGGCTTCTCCAGTCCCTTCCTGTTGATCGCCAAACATGGCATGCTCGGTGACAATGTTCTGCGCAAGATCACCAGAAACAGACGCATTTTACCTTAGGCAAACGGATATTGATGGGTCTTCAAACGGAAACCAACAGGAAACCATTCGATAGGTGTCTTAAAATAGGGGACACAACAAATAGTGGTTCCCCTTTGTTTGTTCCTTAAGGATAAACCCAAAAAGGGTAGCGTAATGACATATACGCATATACAAATACAACAATTAGCACAGTTGTATAGGTGTGTGTGTGTTAGTGGGACAAATTGGAAAAGGCAACCCCGCTAGTCTATTTTAGTAGGCCCAAAAAGGGTAAAAGGGCACTACTGGGGGACCGCTTTTGCGGAGAACATATTTCTGCCTTGCGCTGCCATAGCCCAGAACCGGAATGGCTTTGAAGGGGTTGAACATAGCTGGAACCAAGCTCTTGGAAGCTGTTCAGTCACACGGCACGACTCATGTCAAAGAAAGGCAAACGTAGAGACTGGCGGGTTTCGGACCCTCAGCCTCCGACCCGGGCAATACCCTGCGAGGCACGCTGCCATTGTGCCACAGCTCTACAGATCTAAGTGCCCCATTTTTTTGACACACTACCTGCGCTCCTTGCGCGCGCACAGCTGTTGACAACTTTTACTTCGCCCCGTCCGGCGGTATATAACAAGAAACGAAGGCTGGGACATACCCCATACAGCCCATACACTAAAAATCGGAACCCAAGAAAGGGAGAACAAGGGTCAGAGCCGGCCGATTCGTGCCTCAGGCTGTCCAAGGAATCCGCGGAGATGGGCCAAATCTCACCTTGAACGCAGGGGGATTCATCATAGAGAGCCCGAACAAAATGGTTGGACACCCAACATGTAGAAACCCTTTGAAACAGCTGGGAACTGTGACTTTCAATTCATGGCCACTGTGTATGCAAGGTCCAACCGTGAGTCCCTCAACAGGGCGCCTGATGTTTTTACCTGGGGAATGTGGGTTGTCCCCCCTTCGCGTCGCCAAACCCGCTCAAATGGAGACTATGGATTTCTATATCCAGCGTTCGAGCCACAGACTTAGACTTTTTGCACCTTGAAAGGGGAAATGAGGACAACCCAAATTCTAGAATTTGTAAGGGGGCTAGGTACAAGGTACAAGTAGTTGAGAGCCCTAGGGTTCGTCAGGGTTCCCTAGGTTTAGGCCCCTTAGAGTTTGCAGACCCAAACAGCAAAAGGATTATTCCAAGGATTAAGCCAAGTTCAGTCCGGTCTTTCTTGCTGGTGCGATAGGTAGGGAATGAGAAATGGAAGGAACCCAGGCTTTGGTCCCCTTAAAGGAAACCACCAGTTGGATGGTTTGTAAGGGTCAGTCCATGTCTCATTCCCTGCCTATCGCACCTGCCAGTTTTGGGCCAGGTCCTCCAGTAGAGACATTAGAATAAGGGTACCCTTTTTTGTCTATTTTTGCAGGGGAACCGAATTTCCTCCCAAAAAAGTGGGTGAGAAAGAACGGGCACCAATTGCTGGGGGACCTGGGTGTCCTTCTCCAAGCGGCCAGCGCCGGCGGCTTTGTCCAGCAGATCCGGGTGAAGGGCCCCCGAGTGCTCGTCCATCATGCGGAAGGCGTCCACTGCCGCCTCGACGCCTCGACGCGACCACTGGAAGGCTCTGTCTGACTATCCCCCCCCAAAAAAAGAAAAGTTATCTGAAAACCCTCATTTGGCTGGGATGTTCAACTGAACCTCTGGTGAACATCATTTGAGTTGGGATGTATGTCCACCAACCACTTGGCAGGGTGCTCTCCGTTGAAAAAACACATGGCCATTCTGACAAAAACCCTGCAAACATAAAGGGTCAAAGTGCTCTTGGAAACCGTCATGTTCAACCAACACCAACACAAGGTGAAAGGTCAACCATGGTCATTTCACGCATCGACATGTGAAGCTCTGCCAGCCTGGCAATACAAGCTTATATATATATAACATGGCAGTGTTGACCCCTCTGCAAAAAATGAATATTTCTTGTGGGTCCAATGGACAATCCGCTGCTTCCCAAAAAATTACATCGCTTCGAGCAATCCCCACCCTCCACACTCACGAGCTTAAATACCTCCGTGAACATGGTTGTGTGAATTCAAGCATGGTTTTCAAGTGGTTTGGGGCCTATGACTGCTCAACAAGCTTTGCATTGAGAGCCTTATCCACCTGTCTGTGTGTCAAACTCCACTTGTCTGCGAGCCGATCTCTAGAACTCAAACATCGGTTCCGTTAACAAAAGCCAAGCCCCCTCCAAAAACAAACGACGGGGGATTAAACGAAGTTGCTTATTCACAACCCAAAGCAAAACAAAAGCATCACCCTTTCCGAGCCTCAGGGTGCACTCAAAACACGAAGGCGCCAACATGAAATGTAAACCCAACTGTGCGCCGGGCGGGGCGTCAAGCAAAACCAGACTGGCGAGCTGCTGTGGCGGGATACTGGCGGGATCCACTGGCGAATGCTGGCGAGCCGGATACTCGGCAGGATCCACCGGCAAGGGATACGCAGCGGGATTACTTTGGGATACTCAGCAGGATGCTCGGCGGGATCCACTGGCGGGCTGCTCTGGTGGGATACTTGGCGGGATCCACTGGCGAGCTACTCTGGCGGGATACTTCGCGGGACCCACTGGTGAGCTACACTGGCGGGCTGCTGTGGTGGGATACTCGGCGGGATCCACTGGCGAGCCGCTCTGGCGGGATACTCGGCGGGATCCATTGGCGAGCCACTGGCGAGCAGCTCTGGGCGGGATCCACTGGCGAGCAGCTCTGGCGGATACTCGGCGGGATCCACTGGCGAGCTGCTCTGGCGGGATACTCGGCGGGATCCACTGGCGAGCTGCTCTTGCAGGATACTGGGTGGGGGCGTGGTGTAGAAGCATCGCAAACGCGGATTCCAACATAAAATCTAACAACCCCTTCCTGTCGGGTGGGGAATAAACCAAAAAAACACCAGCATAGACCCCAGATAGCACACCACGGCTACGAACCATGACGCAGCATTATCATGATGATGTAGACAGCACCATGATGATACCACAGCCACTGAGCATGGTGCGCTACAAACGCGCGTCCTAGTGAGTTCAGCAGCATAATGACGATGTTGAGAGCATCATGCTGATACAGTCCTGATGAGTTCGACAGCATCATGATGATGCGGACAGCATCATGGTGATGCAAACAGCATCATGCTGATGGTAAAGGCAGCATCATGATGATACCACAGCCACGAACCATCTTGCAACAGCATAATGAAATTCAGCATCAGCCTGATGTTGACAGCATCACGGCGCCACTACACCCACAAACCATAAAGCAGCAACGCAGTGACCCCAGTTGCATCATGACGTGGTTGGGAACATCATGACGATACACCAGCCACAGACCGTTACGCGCGAACAGCATCCACCAGCACCCCAAACTGCGTGCCCCTCCACCAGCACCACCCCAAACTGCATGCCCCCTAGCAAGCTCGCAAAACAGCATCCACCGGCAACCCAAACTGCATGCCCCCTAGCACCCGGCCGTCAAGCTCGCAAAACAACATCCACCAGCACCCCAAACCGCATGCCCCCTAGAACCGCTCGCAAAACAGCACCCACCTGCACCCAAACAGCTCGCAAAACAGCATCCACCAGCACCCCAAACCGCATGCCCTAGAACCGGCTGTCAAGCTCGCAAAGCAGCATCCACCAGCACCCCAAACTGCATGCCCCTTAGCACCCGGCCGTCAAGCTCGCAAAGCAGCATCCACCAGCACACCAAACTGCATGCCCCTTAGCACTCGGCCGTCAAGCTCGCAAAGCAGCATCCACCAGCACCCCAAACTGCATGCGCCCTAACACCCAGCCGTCAAGCTTGGAAAGCAGCATCCACCAGCACCCCAAACTGCATGCCCCCTAGCACCCGGCCCTCAATCTCGCAAATCACTTTCCACTCTTTATTAGAAGTTAGAACCCCTATAGCTTTCAGCTATCTGGGGAACAAAAGTCCAAAGATCCGACCAAATAGCCACAAAGACTATACACATAGTGATAAGAAGATACCACTTACTCAAATGACCCCTTTTGCGGTTTCGGGGCATTGGGCAAATCGGGACTGGCATCCACCCTTCCTTGCGAGGTGACGCTAACAGCCGCACGAACCCCCCCCCGACACATCAGACTGGCTTGTAGATGCGCAGTAGAGGAGCATGTGAAGAGCAGTAATGGATTTCTTTGAGGAGCGTTGGAGAAGCACGAGGTCAAAACGCAGCGCATACCCAATCCTAGGCCTTAACCGCAAAGGGGAGTAGCTGCAAGGAATGTGGTGACAAGGCTTTGCGGCCTGATGCGATCCATCATGGTCCACCACCCTTCGGCGCAGTGACGTGCTTTCGCCTGGAAGTCGTAAGCGCTTCGGCGAGGCGTTCCGTCCCGTGGTCCTTGAGAGGAAACGTGCTCCTGGAGGGGCTCACTTCGGCCCACTCAGCCAAAGAGATCACGCTCCCTGCCTGAATGAGGTGGAGCGCTTACGACTTTCAGGTGTAAGCACGTGAGCCCCTCCAGGAGCACGTTTCCGCTCAAGGACCACGGGACGGAGCGCCGCTATTGTCGCCGAAGCGCTTACGACTTCCAGGCGTAAGCACGTCACTGCAAAAAATGGTGGACCATGATGGATCGCATGAGGCCGCAAAGCTGCGGGCCTTAACCACTGGGCCTTCTCCTCTGGAAAACCATCTGAGATCGGAAGTGAAATTTCAGCGTGAAATTTCAATTGTAACCCCCCAACAAAAAATCTAAGGCTAAGGCGGGAGGGGATGGACTGTGCAAAAACACTGCTGAGGCCGGCACTGCCAACCTCGAATAAGAGCATGTGAGCGAAGTAGTACTGCATGGACACGAGGCCCAGCAAGCAAATCTTCGACTGCTCGTCAACCTTTGTGACGTTCTCCTGGCATGTCTCTTTTTCGTCGCGAAGGTAGCTTCTTTCTTGAGTGTGAATCAAGGGGTTCTCCTAAAATGAGCATGAATCTTTTGTGGAGAAGCTACCTGAACCCTCAAAATCCCTTATAGCCCCAAAATTATGGGGTGAAATCCCTTTTTTAAGGGTAGTTTGAGGGTTCAGCTACCTTTTATTGAGTCTCTATTTCAGGGAAGCCAAGCAAACACCACCCTTCATTGCGAGGGAAGCCCGAATCTCACTCACGCGATCTCACTCACGCGGGATTGCAAGGTGCCTTGATGAAAAGCAACGTAACAGAAACATGACGGCTCTGTCGGTTCTCGAAACAGAATTAGTGAGGGAGGCAGCCAAAGCAACCAACGCCACCCCCCACTTTTGTTCGAACCCCTCACTAGATTTTGCACGGATGGCAGGACCTCCTCTGCAACAAGACCTACAGTGGCCCAGCAAGTGCAGCCGTGGCTCGAGGCCCCACTCCTGAGCGAGTTGAAAGCCCGTCGGCTCGGCAACCGCGATTCTCTGATTTCTTGCTAAAAGTTGTCCGGACTTTTTGCATGTGCCTGAACCCTCAAACTACTCTTAAAAATGGGTTATAGCCCCAACATTGTGGGGTGAAGTCCCATTTTGTTTAAGGGTACTTTGAGGGTTCAGGTGGACTTGTAGGAAGTAGTTTCGAAGAGAAGGGTCAAAATAGTGAGGGTGCAATTCAAGAGAAGAGCTCGCTGCAAATAGGAAGCTTGCGGTCATGCTGGGATATGTCCTAAATCCCTCTAAGCTCGAAACATATGAAAGAAAAGGGTACCGTGCGGCAGGAACTATCAAGATACCATGATCTTAAACAGAGTTCTGAAATCTGGCACAAAGATGGAAACTTGAGTCCTGAGGAAAGAAGCCATCTCCCACAAGCCCCCGCTTCGGGACATCAGTTCAAAGACCCGATTCGGTCCAGAGTCCCGTGTTCAAAAAACTCGCGCGTCATAACTTGTTCTCAGCCGATAGAGAATTCCCCGGGAACTGCGACGTGCCCAATGCATGGAAAACAGGGACATGGAAGAAAGAGACGCAACACCCAAAAGGACCAGATCCGCAAGGGTTTGTGTCGAGAAAGCAACGCCTCACCCGTTGGGCAACTGGTCCTGCCCACGCTGGTGTTTGGCCAAAAGGTCTCAGCCATCAACCCACCCTGCCCCACCAGCCCTGAAACACACCTTTTTCACCAGGGGAAAGCTTCCTCCGGAAAAGAAGGACACGTAGCACGATTCGATTGCGAAACTTGGTCGCAGCACGACCTTTTCGGACGGTAATGAAGAGAACAAACAAAAGAAGCGCCTGAGTTGTTGTTCGGGCCCTGCGGTTTCAAGGCATCATCATCGTGTAGAAGCTTTTACCTGAACCCTCAAATTCCCTGAAAAATTGGCTATGGCCGCAAATTTATGGGGTGAAATCCCGTTTTTAAGGGCAGTTTGAGGGTTCAGGTAGACCTAGGCAGCCCAGGCTTGCTCGAGCCGACCCATTTTTGTTGGAGACTTGGCCGGAGACTCGACCAACGTGAGAGGCTCGTGGCGGACGCCGATTTTTAGATCTATCTGATCACCCGGCAACAGAGTGTAGCCTACACCCATCCAGAACCATAGAGACTTTGGAAGGAAAGGTACCTGGTGTTCCCTTGGCTTCCCTGAAATAGAGACTCAAGGTACCTTAACCCTCAACCTACCCGGAATGGGATTTCACCCAACATTTTGGGGCTATCACCAATTTTTATGGGAATTTTGAGGGTTCAGGTATAACGGTATACCCATCCAGAACCCAGGGTGGTATGCCGTGCCCGTGGAGAGGAGACACCCAAACAAAACCTTCAACCTTCATTTGCTTCAGCCCCCTAGAAAAACCACAACATATTCTTCCAGCTGTCGATTCTCTTTACAACCAGGGGCAACTCACAAATCTTCATTTCAGCCACTGGATTTTTACATCAACCAGGGCTTACGTCCCTTTTTCTCCGGGACCATTCGAAATGCGAACCCCGCCGCCCCACTCGGGACTCGGGTTCCCATGCCCCGCAAATTCGCCGAATTCGCCGAAGGCGCCATCATCTTCTCGTAGGCCAGCTCCACTCGCATCTCCTCCGCGGTCTGCAGCAGCTGGACGCGGAAGGGCCCCCACAGCGGGCTGCGGTTGCACTCCTCGAAACACCGATAGAACGAACCGCGGGGAACGAAACGAGGCGAAAAAAAAAACTAAAACCCCGGAGGAATTGGTGTGGGTCTGATTCTGTTTTAACAAGGGCGCCTAAATTTGGTGGACATCGGAATTCGGTGGGGAGAACATGTCCAACCACTTTGGAGGTGGTTCCCACTGGAATTTGGAGGGGCTAAATCACTGTGGGGATTTGCTGGGTACCAAGCTAAAACAAGTCGAAAACAAACGATAATTCGATGATAGAGTGAATCTAAGGGATTCGTACGTTTGGGGCATGCTTCCCCCCAAAGTAAAGCATCCCCTCACATATATGGAATATCCTTTGATTCATCAACCATAAGTTTGATCAATCCTGGGTTCGGATTCTGTGCTTGCTGGTTGACTAGGTCCTCCAGTAGAGAGGTTAGAATAAGGGCACCCTTTTTTTCTGTGGTCTATTTTAGTAGGGGAACCCTCCCCCAAAAAAAGAAACGGTAAAAGGGCACTGCTGATAAACCTCGTTGATTTTGCAGGAACCCCAGCCGGCCCATCATGTGACACCTGGGCCCATGATCAGCTCCAGGGAGCTGGATGGCGGTCATTTGGCCATGGGTCAAAATCCACATCGGTTACCCCCCAGTGAACATCCGATCCAATCCAACCACTATTCTCCCAATCCCGAAAGTCGTGGTGCACCTACCCTGAAACGGGATCCCATGGGTTTTGCGGACCAAACCTAACAACTTCAAGCAGATCGCCGGCCCTCCCATAAGGGCAACGAGGCCCTTTAACCTTGATCCGGGATCAAGTCACTCACCTGCCAAGACCTGGAAACAAACAGATCGCAGGTGCAACCTTGACTCAGATGTGGCTGTGGGTCAAAACCAATGGTATCGTGTTGGAGTAGGCCCATTTTAGTCTATTTTAGTGGGGATTGGGCTGTTCACTGGGGGTAGGCCATGTGCCGACATGATCAAATCAAAGTCTCAAGTTTAAAAGATTGCCCACGGGTCCCCAGTTGGGCAAAGAGAATAACCTGGGCCCGCCCGGTATCCCACTAGTCGTGGGTTACTCTGAAGGATGCCAGGCTTGGCCCATGGATCGATGCCTTTTCGGGAAGCAAAGGCCCTCATCTGAGACCCAGTTCTTACCTAGATTCTCTATGACCCTTAAAAAATGGGGCCATGACGCCTTAAAAAATGGGTCCATGACCCCTTAATGTTGGGTAATGACCCCATTTTTTAAGGGTCATGGAGACTCCAGGTACGGTTCTTGCCATTCTGGTCGGGGGGGATTCGCCTCTCTTCCATGTGATTCGCCTGTATTGCTGTTGGCCCTTTGGAAAAATATACAAGGGGATACATGTTTTTGACCCCCCTCCTTTTTTTTGCCCCACATTTCTTCAGTTTGACCCCCCCCCCCCCTTGCAGTTTGACCAAAATACAAACACGGCCCCAAATGCTTGGCGCGGCGGCCGGCGCGTCGTGTGGATTCGTGCTGCCAAAGCGCAGCATCCGTCTCGATGTTCTCCTGGTAGTTCTTTTTTTGGAAGACCTGGTCAGGCGCTCGATACGTACAACAAAACATGGGTGGGGAGGTTGATATCCAAATATTCCATTGGCCAAATAGCCATTGGCTGTTTTAGAAAGTGATCTGTTGGGTGATTCTCCCTAGTCATCCCAGAAAGGACCTTTTGATCAACCGTGTGCATTCAACAAATGGGTATGTGGTTGTTTGGCTTAAATGGAAACCGACAACAGCAAATCCATGCTTGGGCTTCCTCTGTTTTGACAGATTGACCCCCAAAACTTAAGGAGAACGCCAAGGAAGGTTCCCAACCCTTCACCGACTTGTCTTGCCCTTTGTGCCAATGCCAACTCAGCAAGACAAATACAGGTCCCAATGTCTTTCCCGAGCGCCGTGAAAGCCCGGTCAAACTTGCGGGTTCTCAGAAGGGAATGAGAGAATGACCCAGTTCGAAACCCGGTCAAACTTGCGGGTTCTCAGAAGGGAATGAGAGAATGACCCAGTTCGAAACCCGGTCAAACTTGCGGGTTCTCAGCAAATGAGGGAATGACCCCCTATAAACCACTCCTTATGGTGTCCTTTAAGGGAGTCCCCTTCCGGCTCAACACCCAGCAAGCAAAGCAAACTGAAAGGCCCCCACAGCAACTCGAGACTCATACTACTGCCGCCAAGGTGCAGGGTCATCTTGCAACGTCTTCCTGTGTGAAACATGCAAAGCGGCACCGGAGTTTCAGGCTGGGTATCTCCCCTTCGCTTTTCCTGTCTGCTGCACAAAGTACCCAATGCTGCATTTGCTGAAGTCCCTACACAAATTAACATGTTTCAGCAGTGATAGATGTTCTGCAAAACCAACCGCGTGAAATGAAGCATAATCGTCAACAAATGGAAGCAACAATAAGTTCAATAAGCCCTGGTAAATGGAACAGAAACCGGCGCCGTCCTGACAGTGCGGGCCTCATGGGGGCACCTCAACTGGCACCTTTCAGCTACTGACACTTTGATTTAGACGTCCCAACATCAAGATTTGAGGTAACTTCGCTTCTGCACCAAACTCCAACCGGCAACATCTGGGAAGCTTCGGCATCAACAAGGAGCCCGTGACAGCTCCAAGAGTAACGGTAAAAGATTTCGTCCAACGTAGGACTGATCAGAAAGAACAGATCCTGTTCTTCGTCTTTTTTTAGCCTCACTCATGTTAGATGGTGTTCAAACAACACCGACAGGAACACCGTTGCGCCATTTTTTGGGGACCTAGGCCAGTTGCTGATTGGAACGAACAGATCCTGGTTTTCCCCAGCTTGTGTAAAGCTGGCTGCAAGCATAGGTGTCCTTTTTGGTTGGCTTGGATGAAAATAGATAGCCCTGGTTTACCTGGTGGATCTTCATCTACCACGGCCATGTCAATTTGTTTCCAAGCAAACCAAAAAATGGCACAACATGGCACAACAGCTTTTCCCCTTCGGTTTCTCTTGAAAACCAACCAACATGGGTGAGGTCAAAGAAATGATGAGCCACCCTGTCTATGGAACCCTGAAAAACGGGCAAGGGTTGGTGCACGTTCAGGGCGAACCAAGGGCCCTTGCAAGGCCAGTTTCAGACAACTCCATGGTAATTCCCAAAGAAGATCCATCTAAACTGCGGGACCCCAAGTTGCCATTGGACCATCCCAGTGGATCCCAGAGCCCATACCAAACATTTCTCCCTTTGGCTCTTGAAGGGATGGCAAGCCCTGGATTAGCTGTACAGGTTTTTTTGTGATCCACTGGGCATGGGTGCTCTAGGTCCCCGCCCCCTTCCGTCTTTGGCGCCGCGAGGGCAGAGGTCAGCAAAGCTAGGCCTGGCAGTCTGGCAGTGCGGTCACAGGAGTCAGTCGCAATCAACATGATTGAAGAGGCCAGGGAAAAAAAGGGGTGCATCCTTGTCCGGTTGGTTGACTTTGAAGGGGAACCCAAAACCCAGAAAAACAAGTTGAAAAAAGGGCACTGGACAACATAGGGTAAGGGGAAGTCTCCCCAAATCTTTGCGAAACCACTTGACGACATCACAGGGCCGCCAGGCGGCATGGTTCAGGTCTATGGTCGTGTTCATCGTGGCTCAAATTGGAGGCCGCCCAATTCGACCAATCTGCCCGTTGCCCAGTCTCTTTCATTTGCTTCAAGTGACACAAAAAGTGGCAGTGCTTGAAGGGAGGGAGGATCCCTACATGGAAGGCTCACCTTGGAGCGCTTCTTTTGAAAGTGTTGAAAGCATAGGAGACCTTCATGGCCCTGGCAAATGGCATAAAGCCAATCGAAACCAGCGGAATCAATCTATTTCGACCTTAGCCAACCAATCCAAAGAACACCTATGCTTCAAAGGGTCTCACCGGAACCCTCAAAGTTGGGTCCATGACCTTAACTTCAAGATCTAAGACCCTGTTCATGATGAAACTTCATAATCCTTGGTATGGTTGCAAAGAGCTGACTGTTTGTTGCAGGCCCCCTACTAAAAATAAACAGAACCAACAACAAACAGATCCAAGAACAGTGAAGCAAAGAAAGGGCTGAGCACTTGCACCCGGGTTTGCCAAACACCCAGTCTTCTTAAACCAGTGGGCACAAAGTCCTCCATCACAATCCTATCGCTGGTCCGTCAGAATTGGTCCCGAACCAATACCCAAAGCTCCACCCGCGATGGACTCACCTTCCATGTTTCCTTCAAACAAAAAGAACACCGGAGTACCATAGTCACACATGTGGTTCCCATGATGCCCATGGAAACAACAACATCCCACCAGTGATGGATTCCCTTTAAATAACCAAGAGGGGAAGAAACAAATGAAGGCAACTCGCTTCCTAAGTGGATTGGCCCACAAAAGTAACCAAACTTTTCATTTACTACTAAAATGGTCTTCGCAAAAAGTGTAAAGTCCAGGAACTCAGGAAAGCAAACGAAACCACTTCAGGAATCCTCGGATTCTGGCCCCTTTTTCCCGAAGAGAGGCACTTGTTCGAGGCTCGGAGCACACCTGTCGGACATCCGCGGATCGCCTTTTGACCTTTCGAGGAGAAAGAAGGAACCCCCCTAAACGTGGAGGAATCCCCTTTTCAGCATGTTCCCAACCCACAAGTGCTGTCAAAAGCCAAATGAAAGCGCTTGATCTTCCCAAGTCTTCAAACCAAAACAAAGACCATGGCGAAACAGGGATCCTTACATTATACACCTGAACATTGCCTTGTAAATGGTGGTGTCCCTTTATTTTGGTGTTGAAAAGCCATGTTTCAAATGGGCAAAATGAAGTTATTTTAAGGAGCCCTGCGAAAAAAGAAAAAAAGGGCTCCGAATCCATCGCCCTGCCTGCCCCTGCGCGCCGCATGGCTCAGGTCGTCCATCGGATCTCAGGTCGCCCTTGTCGCTAAGAATTGTTCTCGGTGGTAAGTGGAGGGTCTGGAAAATGAAAAAGAACAAACATCTCCTTGTGGCTCATTTCAAGGGAAGCGGAAAAAAGAGAAAGAAACAAAACAAGTGCAATGACACATGTTTTGCTGTGAAGCAAAATGTCCCACGTATGACAGTCTCAATGAATACAAGCTCAACCCAAAAACAAACAAACAAAAAACAATACACACAAACAACCACGTGTAACAACAAACTCATGGGTGCGCTTCCAACTTGGACATCCTTTCTTGGCAGGTTTCACTTAAGGTTGTGGCCCGATGCCATCCACGGCCGCTGTCGATATGTTGCTTCTCTGGCTTGAACCAAAGAGCGTCCGCGTGAGCTCCCGAGATCCATAAGATCAGGTTAAAGGTCCCCAGGTGAAAAGTCATAATCAAAACCTGGTACAACAATGGTCGACCCAGAATCATGCTTCAAGAATTAAGAAGGCGGATATCCGCAGTTATGTATGGCTGGGATTCTCCCTTACTACCCTTCAATTACCCGGGTGTTGATTGTGAAACAGTCGTCAACCACTGACACAAGGTTCTGTGTCAGAATGGGTGGAACCAGGCCTGTTGCGATGGTGGAGAACGAGTTGGGTGGATTCGGAATCCCAAACGACGGGGGCATGCCTCAGGGCTCCCCGAAGCCGTGCTCTCTCCTAGGGCCTGTCGAGAGGTTCCAACAGGGGTACCAACTTTTTCTGTAGTCTATTTTAGCAGGGGAACCGCATCTCCCAACCAAAAAATAAAGGGGTTAAAAAGGTCGGGCACCAATTGCTGGGGGACCTAGGGGGGGACCCAGTCTCTCTCTCTCTCTCTCGCCCTTTTTTTCCGGCGGACCGGCTGTAAGCTCTGGCCAGGCCTTGAAGAGGCCTCTCAGCAGGCGCAAGGCGCGAGCGAGCGAGGGCATGGCGATCTCAAGCGGGCGGAAACGGAGTTGAGTGGCACACGTCTTAGGGAAACCGACCCCAGCATAGGTGTCCGTTTTGAAGGAGAATAGATGGGTCCAGATGGGTGAAACAAAAACTGGGTCAAACCAGGAATCGCCAGGTATCTTCTGCCAAGAAACCTATGAACCAGTTGCTGACTTCCAGAGACCCTCAATGAACCATGACCCCAGTTTCACCTCCCGGTAGTTAGCCCGATCGGTCCTGCGGGCAGCTGCCCATGTACTGGTTCAAATACAGAGAAGGGCTACTTTATGTATAAGCTCCACCTCAATCTGCAGAAAAAGAGTGGGGGCTCACAAAACAAGGGGAATCAGGGCATTCGGGGTGGACAAAGCCTTTTCTGAAGAAGTTCATATGTTAAAAGCCTTTGATGCCTTTTGAAAGACATTTAAAGACCCGTGAACAACTGCCTAAGCAAGGGGGCAAGGTCCTGAAATGTTTGGGTTAACATGGAACCCCCCAAACAGGCACTATGGGTGTGTCGTTTTTCAGGGGGCCCGGAAAGTTGCGGTTCTCCTTGTGATGCCTTCCATACTCAAAGGGTGCTAAATCTCTAACGTGAGTATTCATGGGGGAAAACAGCACAGTTTTGGTAGTAGTTACCCCCTCCGCAAAAAGGAGCAAACAAAAACGCAACCCTCTGGTGGATGGCTTTCAAGAACAAACCCTCTCCGACAAACCTGGCCTGTCATGGAAACCCACCACCAAGCCCACAAGCCTAGGGAAACGAAAGGCTGGGAACCACCTTAAAAAAAAAAAAAAGGGGGGTACCAGGGCATTGGGCATGGGGCCCCATGGCGCTTCTTCAATCCCAGCCTGGGCCGTCTGCATAGTGCCCTGCCAGCATCAGGTATCCCGAGCCGGGCTCGCACCTGACGCCGTGTGGTTTTTTGACAGGAGACCCCTTGGTGGACATCATGTGTATATAAATATGTATATATATATATATATATATCGCATGTGCACAACCACTTCTGAGACGGTTTTTGGGGAAAACCAACAGGGCCAACCAACAGATTCTCTTTAAACCAAGGGAACCGCTGGAAGAAGTTGGAACACCAAGAAGTCGAAAAGCTGGCAGGTCGCGAGACCATTCCAAAAACGCAGGGGAGGGCAATGCCCCTTGGAAACACGAGAAAGGGTTCCCATTTCTGGGCCGGAGGGGCGAACAAACCCGGGTTTATATAACATATATATATATATATATATTTAATATATGTGTGTGTGGATGCTGAAATCGAGGGGCAAACAAACAGATGCAAAGAGTTCATGGTTTTGCGGCTTTGGGTTTTAGGATGGGTTTCTCTTCATAAACCCTGGTGTGCTGCAAGATGGGGGAACCCAACAACTTGTGAGCTCCCTCGAATTTTCTTGAAACCATCCGCAAACAGGGACCCTCAAGAAAGGACAGCGAAAAACAACTCGGTCGGGCTAATGCGAGAGTGAGGAAAGGCCCCTGGAGCCTTCGGGTCAAAAAAGAAGTAAACTCCGCCCACCCCGGCGAACCACAACACCATTCTATCATCACACACCACCACACCCTGGCTAACGACAACACCACCCAGTAACCCCACACCACATCCCTAGCCACACAATCACGTGTTTCGGCCAGGCTGGGAGTTGCAACCATCTGATACCACTGGAAGGCTTCCTTCGCGAACCACAGTGGCAACTAGGTTGACGGTACATATTCCGCCGTGGGTCAAAGTCGACATCTCAATAACCCCGGGCACAACACACCCTGTTTTCCCTGTAAATAACGTGGTTTTCTCAACATGTTGCAACAACATTTGTTGCGTGGCAGTTACAGTGGGGAAGGAAGCTCGCATTGGTATTTGCAGGTTAAACTGCACGTTTGGCTCCTGTAAAACTACTTTAGCCTTTTGCAAAAAAGACTACCTGCTTACCTGTTGGGAGCCTTCAAGTAGCCCTTTCCGGTACTGCCTCTTTTTGGCTGAGCTACAGGACATAAGACCTGGGTCAAGCCTTGTTCGACTGAACTACACGACCTAAGACCTGGAGCAAGCCTTTTTTGATTTGAACGATTTGGGGCTCAGGGCTGAGGCTGCGCGTGAGCGGGGCGAGCTTACCGTTGGGCAGGTGTGTGAACATGCTGCGCGTGAGCGGAGGCTGCGCGTGAGCGGGTGTGCTTACCATTTGGCAGGCGCGTGTGCAGTGCGAACATGCTGCGCGTGAGCGGAGGCTGCGCGTGAGCGGGTATGCTTGCCATTTGGCAGGCGTGTGCGCAGTGCGAACATGCTGCGCGTGAGCGGAGGCTGCGCGTGAGTGCTTACCATTTGGCAGTCGTGTGTGCAGTGAGAACATGCTGCGCGTGAGCGGGTGTGCTTAGCGTTTGGCAGGCGTGTGTGTGCACTGCGAATGTGCTCCGCATGGCAAAATACAGGGCCATGTGCGTGCTGTTGTGTCACCGCCGAGCAAAACATGGCGTTTGACCCTCTGACCGTCTGAGGAAGTCCCAAGAATCTCCAAGACCAAAAGGATCCTTGGAACTCTATTGAATTTGGAGCTGAGAGTCATGGCAGGTTTCCCATTTGCCCTCTAGAACCAGGGCTCAAATCCCCTATCCACCAATCCAAACCCCAACGAATCAAGTGTCACCTAGATGTTAGTTGATCGCCTTCAGGTTACAGGGCTCTAGCCCTACACCCGAAGACATGTCAACTTGAGGCAAAGTATTTTAGGGATCCCCCATGAAGATACACAGACCTGGTGACCATGTTGCAAATGGGAGGTTGCAATGGGGCTCCACCAAACTCCGATTTGTTGGGAAACACACAAAAATCCACACCTACAATATAAATATATATATATATATATGTTCCAGTCCCCAAACACCCAACCCCCGCGGGTCCACGGCCTGGAACATGTATCACCCCCAATTTCCACACCCCAACCTTGTGGGATCCAACGAAATCGACTTGCGCGAAGGCTCGCGAAGTCGCCTACACATCGCGGTGGGCCGAAAGCTCGGCGAAAGGTCCGTGAAAGCCGCTCGCCAGCTCCTCGCGTTTTGGCATGGATGTCTTTTTTGAGGGTACCCGTTTGGTGGCTGTTTTATGAGGGTACCCCTTCGGTGGTTGTTTTTAATGGTTTTTTCTTTTTGAGGGTACCCGTTTGGTGGTTGTTTTAAACGGGAAACCAAAAGGAAACCACCCTTTCTTGGGGTTCCCCTATTTTCGGACAAACCCATGGCCACCCCAGGTACCCATGGAACCCTCTTTCGATTTCGGGGTTCCTTTATGTGAGGTCTCTGGACCTACGCCTGTTCGTTCAGGCGGAAATGTCTAAACAGGCTGGTGCAAGAGAAACCACTCCCACCACAGAACCCACTCCACCATCAGGCTATAGCTTTCTTTTTTCCAATCGGCACACCTGGATTGTTCGTCTCAACTTGCCGAGGTGCAATTCAACAGGGAAAAGCGTCTTTTTCAGGGTGCCTTGTGGCAAAGGGAAACCCAAAGGACAACCACCGTTTTGGAGGTCCGATTTACGAGGGGAAGGTGTGTTTTCTTCTCCGGCTTGTGGAAAGCACGGGGCTGGTCCTCAACTGCAAAAAAACATATGTCCGTCGCTGGGATACCGCTGCCAGAATACCAACATTAGTGTTTTTCTTTGGGGACCCCCCCCCCCCAAAAAAAAAAAAGGAAGAGGCAAATCATACAATAACGTCATCACAAATACCTTCCCTAACCCCCCATAAAAATAACAAAAAAATATCAAAAAAGTGTATCCCCTTTGGTTTGCCTCTGCAACCAACGCCCCCAAAACGGGTACCCTCCCAAAAAACCGACCGCGCCACCCATTTTTTGCCGTTGGAACTTCGCTCTTCACCGGTCCCGAGCCTTGGACGCCTTTTGCTGACATACGTAGGCAGCCTTTTGAGCTCAGAAGCCTAGTGGAGTTCCATGAGGAAAATAATTGGATGCATCTGATTTTTCGGGTTGGTTGCGCCTTGAATTGAAGTGGAACCCTGCCGGGAAAAAAACAAAACACTGGGCAACTGGGTTTGGCTTTGGAGGACGCTGGGGCAACGTTTGGGACCTGCCATTTTGGCCGGGGCTTGCTGTTTATTCTTTTTGGGGGGTGCAAGCCCAATCTGCGCAATGCATGAGCAAAGAGCAAACCTCTAGATTCACTATGATCAAAGCTCCCTTGCTGTTGCTTGTGCGTGTGCCTGTGTGTGCGCGTGTGGGTGTGCGTGCGCGTGTGGCTGTGTGTGCGTAAATGAGAAACCAGTTGGTTCTTTCCCTTCACCTACTTCCATTTTCTTAAGCTCCCTGAAAAATAATAATATATATGTTTAGTATACAAAAATCCAATAGTGATAGGTACCCTTTAGAACCAGCAAGGGAAAATAACACATATTACTCAGCAAATGGATGAACAAACCCCACTGACTTTGAGAGTTTTCTACGCGAAAGGCGAGTGGAAGCCCGGCGAAATGATGGCCGGCTGAGTCGCAAGCCTTCCACTTTTTCCCACAATGCATGGCTGTGCCACGTCAACCCTTTAAGCCTTTGAATGTTTCATCCTCGATTTTTGAATGTCACAAGCTGCAACCACAATCGTGACTCCAAATTTGCGGGCTGGGTCGAAGGAAGTTTGCCCAGTTCCCCAAAGTCCACCTGGGCCACTCATTCGACTCCGTACTCCACAGGGTGTTCGACTATCCGGGCTCGGCATCAGTTGGTCACCTATCACTCGGCCCAATGACCATGGAGAGAAAAAGAAACCACCTGGATCCCAGTCGTTTATATAGTAGCTAACCCTTCGATCCATATTCCCTTGGTTATATTTTCAGAAGAAGAAAGGGAAGTGGGCTCACTGGGTGATTTAACCACCATTTGGGAGGAGCGGTATAAAAGTTTTAAAGAGACACCAAAAGGAAAACCAGTCATTTTAGGCGGTCCCCTAAAGAATGACACAACCATTTAGCGGGTTCTCAAACCTTGCGGAAGCAACCCGGTTTCAGCTTCCCTTGGTGATTTGGATGGGTGCTGAGGTTATTAGGGGGCGGCTTCACAGTCTACAAAGACCGCTTCAAACTCAAATCCACATCCAGTTACCGCCTATCCAAACGACCAAAGGCTTACCCTGCAATTAACTTGCATTCAGCTGGTGGTTTGGTGGTTCAGGCCGGGTTTCCCATTTACCCTCCACAAGAACCAGGGCTTCAAAGCCAAATCCAAACATATCCGGCTCCAAACCGCCCTACTTGGGCTTACCTGATTTTGCGCCAAAGCGATGGCTCCTTCTGAGCCTGGGCTGCAGCAGGCGAATGTCCCAAACCTCCAAAAGCGGAGTCGGAACTCCGCTTCTGGTCAGCCAAAGGTCCCCACCTCGCACGGGGTGGATTTCTCCCCGTTTTTTCGGGGCGGTTCAGTGCCACCCAAGCCCCCCGCACGGGTTGCAAAGCGGCAAGTATGCGTGCTTTTGTGGCTATGTGGCTGCGAGCCATTTTTGCAAACACATCATCATCAAAGCATGCCTTTAAAGTTGGTTTTTCCCCCAACAGCTGAAAGCTATGGCGTCTCTGCCAGATTCGCTCTAGAGACAGGGGGTTGCAGTTCCAGGAAGAGGACGGTGTGTAGCGCTTGGAGTTCTTCCGATTTCCGGGTTCCAAGTGATTCGAAGCCGCGGATCGCCACGGGTCCCGAAGGGTTCTAAGTGCTTGCGGTTGAACGGATACCACCAGAGTTTTTTCGAAGCCCCCGATGAGGTTCTCGCAAAACACAACAAAAGGCAAGGTCTTATACACTCCTCCTTTTTTTGGGGGGGCTCTCAGAATCCATATCTGGCCCCATCCCACTCACATTTCGAAGCAGCTGATCCTACCTCAAGATGCTCAAAAGCCCCATCTTCATGTCCAGAGCCATCTCTGCTTTGATTGACAGAACCCAACAACAAATAGCTCTAAACTCACGGAAAGTTGTCATTGCGCCCCGGCACTTGCGGGCCACGGATTGCTTACTTGCGAAATGGTTCGTTACAAGCTGGAAGCATTACTTGCCTTTTGGAAGAAACCATGGTACAAGAAACTGCTGCTAAGAAATTCAGCCCCTGGATTTGTGCGACCAATTTATTAGCAATATTGGCGGATGAAACAAGTGGATGCAGCCAACACAAACTAGTTAACTGTGCTTGCAAAACACAAACGAAAACAAACATGCGCACAAGCGCCATCAAGCACCCATCTCTGTCCGTCTCCTTCTTGTTGAAAGGGAATCGCTTCAAGGAAAAACCCTGTGCCGCCTCACGTGCTTGTTCTCGCCCAAAGCGATACGCCAGAATGCCACAGGATTCTGATTCCCGACATGTGGATTTGTATCCAAGTGGGGATCCCCTGACAAAATGGTTTTCTTTTGGTCGCCTGCAAACAAAGGAAACAGGTCCGCCTGGAGCTCAGGTGGCAAACTTCGCTTCAGCAAAACGCATGATGCGCGGCTTGAGGGGCACATGATCCCAAGCGAGGCGGAAACTTGCAGCCTGCAAGGATCTCTCATTGTCACACTGCCACTGGGCGCCAAAAAACATGTGGCCATGGGTAAAAATCCCGTACCCCAAGTAAACATCCCAGTCCCCACTAAAATCGACTAAAATGGGTGGTGCACCTACCCCAAAATGGTACCATTGGTGTTGACCCACAGCCATGTATGACAACTCCCTCCCCAACGTCCGCGCCTGAAACGTGGAATGCTGCGAGGCCCAACGGCTTCACGATGCTTCGGAGGTCCACAGTGTGTGTCACCTCAGAGATCGACTGCGCGGGCACTTCCATGGTAAGGGGAGCCTGCCCATTCTGAAACCAGGAGTCGTGCCCCCCTATTAAAAAAAAGGCAGACCAACATGAAATCGAACCACCGGCGTTTGAAAGGAACTATGCTTGAACAGAAGTTGCCCGCAAGTAGGTGCAGAGACCCAACTTGTTGCAGTTGGTCCCAAGCAATCCTTACGGGATCCGCTGCTTGCTCGTGGGCAGGGAAAAAACGAATCATCATCCAGGTTCAAAAGGATGAAGATCGCACCAAAGAGCAAGCAAGCCAAACCAAACTGGCTGCCTAGCTTGTCTGCAGGTGCTCTCGCAACCAACCCAAAGCTCATTTCGGCCTTTCAAAGTCGAGAGTCCAGGGGGCTCTTCCACTTTCGCGGGACACATTTCTCCCGAACCTGGCGACACCCTTTTGCGCCTCGTGGAGCCCATGCCCCACAAAAACAGGGTAGCAAGACATATGTTCTGGCTCCCGTCTATACTTACCCTCCTGCCAACTAACATGGAAGTGCAAGAAGGCCAACTAACCAAGAGGCAAGTAGTCTTTCTACCGGGATCTGTGCACCAAACCATGCTCGCTGGTGGGAGGGCACACCCGCAAACAAAAAGCTCAACAAATGCTTGGAGACCCCGAGGGTCGCATCCTGGCCACTTGGAAGGGCCAGGAGGCTTTGAAGCAGAAGATGTTTGTCCTGGTTGAAACGAAGCGGTTGCATGAGATCCGGAAGGAACCAACCTCAGCCTGCGTTTTCTCCGGCTCTTCGTCCGGAAAGCTTGGAGCAGCTTGGAAAGCTCGGCTTGAAGCTCAACTGGGATACTCTGTTCCTGAAACCTCCGCAAAGCACATCGCCACAAAAGGAAGCTCCTACTCAAATGGCCCAAAAGGTGATGTGCAACACCAGCCAAAGGCCGACACTTTTTGTTGGAGCCCACAATTTTGTCCTTGAGGTGTCGGGGTGGTTTGATTGTTTTTGTTTTTGGCTTTTGTTTTTGTTTGTTGTAGTTGTTGTTGCTGTTTTTTCTCTTCGGGGGAAGTCCAAGGGAATCCAAGCCTTCTGGCATTCGACTCTGAGACCCAATCGATCGCTCTGAGACCGGCGCTTGAAGGGACCCAATTCCGCCCAGTCCTCAGAGGAAGGCATCTCCAATGAGGCATTGTGCGAAAGTGGCGTGTTTCTTGGGGGACCTCCCCCCAACAAATGGCAAAAAAACGGTCTCGTTGTTTTTTGGGACCCCCCCCCAAAAAAAAGGAGAAAGAAAAACGGCTGCTTTCTTTTTGGTTTCCCCTTGAAACCCCAAAGGGGTGAGGCTCAAAGAGACAGCCGAGTGGCTTTCTTTGGCTCCCACCTGATCACCTGCTGTGGCAAACCTGGATGTTTATTGAGCCTTCGAACACCAACGCTCAGTTGCCCAAAAGACCCGGAAATAAAAAAAAGTCAACCTTTTGGGACCTTTACTAAAAATGGACCAAAAGGAGGAAACCAAAAGGTTAAAAGGTTGGCTTTGGACAACTGAGAACAGGGAAAATGTGCAAATGGGAGCATTTCCCGGGGGTGTTGTGCTTTGCCCTTCAGATGCCGACCGGCTTGTGTCAAGAGGCTTGCACATGACCATGAGCCACGAAAAACAACCGAGCTTCCCAAGTGGAAGCATCTTCTTTTCGATCCAGTGGCTTTCCAGATGGAAGCAAGCCAAGTTTGATTGGTTCGTTGAAGTTGAAAACCCACCAGTTCGCAGAGTCCTTGAAAACCGACGGCTCTCCTTCTGCATGTTCTCTACTCGGAAGGTGAGGTCCGATCCAATTCTGATTTCTAGTGTTTTACAATAAGTCCACAACCTGTAATGGATCCCCCAGAAAAAGAACGACCTTCATCGTGACGTTTTGCCCGTCTTTAACTCTCCCTCCGCGGCGCTCGCCCAAGTAGCAGCCCCTCAACAGGGTATCCTCAAAAACTACAAACCACCCAAAACAGGGTTGTGGGACTACCCACTTCTGTGATACCAATGGGGGGCCTTCCAAATGACAAAGCTTATCCATTTAAAGATGGGAGGTTTCAAGTGGTATCACACAAGTGGGATGAACAAACTCTTGTTCCCAGAAACCACCCAAAAGGAGTTGGACCCTCAAAATACTCTTAAAATTGACGATAGCCCCCAAGTTATCGTTGGTGAATCCCCTTCTTTTGGGATAGTTTCAGGGTCCAGACTTGAACACTTGATAAACCAAAAAGGACAACCAACCAACCAACCAACCAGCCAGCCAGCCAGCCAGCCAGCCAGCCAGCCAGCCAACCACCCAACCACCCAACCACCCAACCAACCAACCAACCAACCAACCAACCAACCAACCAACCAACCAACCAACCAACCAACCACAGTCCCCTGGCCGGGGCTAAGCCCCGAGCCGGGGCTGGTAAAACCAAAAACGTCTCCATTCTTTTCAACCATCGTTCTTTTCAAAAACCAGCTGTTTCCCCAGGGTTTTGGTTTTTTTAGGAAAGAAGGATGCCTGGAAAGAATGGAATCGGAAGGTACCCCTAGAAAAACACCGGTGCCCCCTCCCAACAACAAAAACCACCCACACTAAACTAGGTCCTCCAGTAGAGAGGTCAGAATAAGGCTACCCTTTTCTCTGTAGCCTATTTTATTAGGGGAACCGAATCTCCAAACCAAAAAAGGGGTTAGCACCTATTGCAGGGGGACCTGGCTAAAATATTTTTGTAGGGGAACCCTCCCCCAAAAACGTGTAAAAGGGCACTACTGGGGGACCTAGCTAAAAACCAAGCCCAAAGCCCAAAGAACTCCAACTCCAGCTCGCTCCCCGCGTCGAATCAACGCCGCCGATTCCGAGCCGAGCCAGCGGCCAGGCAGCTCGGCATGCACTAGAGTCAGGTGCCCATTGTCACCTGTCAGTCCACAGAAAAAAGAAGAAACAAACGACACCTCCGATTTGCTTCTCGCTTTCTGGAAAGGGCTTAACATATGTTCAACAACACCTCGCTTTGCTTCACCTGGAAAGAATAAACATACTCTCAATGGTGATGGACTCTTAGACTAAAATAAAAAAGAGAAAAAACAACCAACACCTCCGATTTGCTGTTTCGCCCCCTGGAAAGGGCTTCAAGGGCTTAACAAATGTTCAATGGTGATAGACTCGATTTAAAACCAATGGACAAATAAACTCCATTCAGCAAATGAAAAAGCACATCAGTTCATCGTTCTGTGTGTGTTTGTTTATGTGTTGGGGAACCAACACATGTGTTGAATGTGCTTGTTTATGTGTTGGTCTGTTTCTTTGCGGCAGCTTGCGTTGGTTGTTTGTTTGCTTGTCTGTTGGTTGAATGGACTTGTGGATGGATGGCTGTGCCTGGCTGGCTGGCTGGCTGGCTGGCTGGCTGGCTGGCTGGCTGGCTAACTGGCTGGCTGGCTGGCTGGGTGGGTGGGTGGGTGGGTGGGTGGGTGGGCGGGTCAGTCGGACGGTCGACTAGTGGCTTGCTGGCTGGCTTGCTTGCCTGCCTGGCTGCTTGGCTTGGCTTTGCTTGGATGGCTGGCCAGCTGTCTGGCTGGCTGGCCGGCTGTTTGGTTGGTTGGTTGGTTGGTTGATTGGCTGGTTGGTTGGTTGATTGGCTGGTTGATTGATTGATTGATTGACTGACTGACTGATTGACAGACCGACTGATTGACCGACTGACTGAGGCGAGTGATCGCTTGGTTGCTTGGTTGCTTGGTTGCTTGGTTGCTTGCTTGGTTGCTTGGTTGCTTGGTTGCTTGGTTGCTTGCTTGCTTGCTTGGTTGCTTGGTTGCTTGCTTGCTTGCTTGCTTGCTTGCTTGCTTGCTTGCTTGGTTGGTCGGGTGGTTGGTTGGTTGGTTGGTGGGTGGGTGGGTGGGTTGGTTGGTTGGCTGGCGGTTGATTGAAGGGAAACGGATTGCCCTGTACATAGGAAGAAAACATAATGTCCCCCAAATTCCAGTAAAGTTCATAGCACGCAGGGTTCTTAGGAGGGTTCTGAGAACCATTCTGGAGGTTGGTGGGTCCTGCTGTCTCTCCTGGCTGCACAGCCAACGGGCAAAGCGCCCGCTTATGCTTTCACACCCCGTCAGCGCTAGCTCGTGGCAAGTGGGAAGGGCAGGCACGACGGATAAATGTCAGACACGCCGGAACGAAATATCAATCACCCATTATCATCGGCCAATGACGTGCGTGCCCTTGACAAAGGGTGCCCTTTTACCCAAAATTGAATGGACATGGAGCCACGGACTTTCCTCAGATCCCCTGCTAAAAGTTGAGCGGTTTAAACCGAAACCCGCACCAAACCCTAAAAAGCCAAAAAGCCAAGGAACCGGATGCCTGGGTGCCGCCAAGTATTCAACAGAACACCAAAGAAACCAAATTGAAAACTTCTCCCAACCGGCAAAGTCTGGTGGCCCTCACCGCTTCCGCAGCTTTGACTCAAAAGAAGGCCTTGAAAGAACCAACGCGGGTTGGTACCAGTGGGGTTCCCAGGTGAACCATCGCCAAGGGTTGGTACCAGTGGGGTTCCCATGTTCCTTGTTTGATCCAAAGCTCAGGGCAAGGAACATCAATGCAGGGCCCAGGTAGTCTCTCGGATTTCCACATTTGGGGGATGTGATGGGTTTCGGTTGTCGGCAAATACTGTTCCATGAACGGACATGCGGTCGATCCCACCGAAAACTGCGACGCTATGCTTTGGACTTTGGAGTCCTGGAGGGGTCTTGGTCCAACTGTCCAAACCACTCCTGCCGATCGATCAAGTCTAAAGATCAAACCAATCAACCAATCAATACGGCAGCCAAGCGTCGTCAGATGAGTTGGTCACTCCCAAACAAAAAACACTCCCATGAACATCAATCAGACGAGAGCATGATCGCCGACGGCTCTTGAAGGAGAAGGAGCGCAGGCAGGCAGGCACTCGTGCTTGGACGCAGCAGGGTTCTTGAGGCGAAAAGGCCCGGCAACCTCACTGGCAGGTTTCACATCTATTCGGCGTCATGTTTCTTCCGTCCACAGTAACCATGGAATCCCAGAGACAGCTATGCGAGGGAGGTCTATCCCTGAGCCCGGGAGAGTTGCAATTCAAAAGTCTGCCGGACGGGCCCTATTGGGGTGTGCATCCCCCTTCCTGCCGGCCTTCTACAACGACGACAAGGCAGATCGCGCCCTTCTTGGCAGGCGATATCCTCAGACCAAAAACACGCAACCGAGGGTAGTGTGTTGCTTCAGTGTGTCTTTTTGCACTTTGGTCTTGCAGAGAAATGCTGGTGGCTGGAAAACGTTGTTCAAATTGTGACACCTTCAGCTAATGGAAGGTTATTTTTACTAAGGGCCAAAATAAATAGAATGGCGTTGTGGGGCACTTTAAAGCCAATTCAGTCATACGTATATATTCGTTGGTACATAAGTACATATGTATAATATATTTTATATAGATATATATATATATGGCTAAACTTACTTGTCATGTTTATATGAGTAAAATCAGTTGGGATGAAACCCTGTACTGTGGATGAACAACAATCTGCACCAGTTGGGATAAATCAAGACGTATGAACACTGGAGAAAAAAGAAAGAAAAAACAACTACCAAGACCTGCTTGATGCGCAGATATGCATTGGCCCATTTGAGAGAGGAAACAAACCCAAAACCAACCCTTCCCAAGCTTTACACTGAATATGCCAGCTTGCCTCTAATTTGTGGTTTGGATTAAAGGTTTGGAGGTTGGGGATGGTTTCCCCTCTACGAGAACAGACCATCCCCGAATCACCAATCCAAGAAAACTAAGGGATACCAGAAAATGGGTTTGGTGATTCGCCATCCGGTGTTCACGAATCATTCGGGTGTGCCATCGACCCCCAGCCAGTAGGGCAATCACCACAGTTGAACTCTGACCGGCCTCGAGGCCGATTCAGGAAGCTGTCTCTACCAACTTCTCTGGGAACAACCTCAAACTTTGAGACCCCATTCAAAGTAGTCTTTTGCAGGGCCCACAAAGATGAATGGTCTGGATTTGGAGAAGTGAGCAAGTTAGAAATTTAATCCCTGAACCGGAGTGTCCAGCTGCAAGGGTAAAACAAATGGTGCCCAGCAAAGGGAAAGCAAAGGACATCGCCGACCTGTCGATCAAATAAATCACCTCAGCTTCTCCCGAATTGGTTCGGAGCCCGATGGTTTGGAGGTGTTCCAGGGTGGTTTCCCATTTACCCTCTACTTTCGAAGCACCAGTTCAACTCCCCAGTCCCGCAAATCCTAACCGCCAATTGAGGGTTGCCTGAGCCACCCGAAATCTGTGATACCAAAGTGGGGGTGTCCCATGCCATGACCATGTTATCGCCGTATTTACCCTTGGTATGGCATGGCCTTATAACCCTATATCCAAGATTAAATGTTTGAACTCATCTGTCAAGGGGTGTTTCCAAAAAACGGATTTGGGAACATTTTCTTTGATCGACTTTCCGAAAACAGGGCCTCCCTAAGTTTAGAAACACACTAAACAAGGATGACACGAGGTTGATTGTTGACCCTTAAGAAGTCGTACACTTTCTGCCGATTCGGCATTCCCTTCGTACATGATTCCCCTTGCCACCACAAACATTTTAACGAAGGGATAAAGGGTACCTGGACCCTCAACCTACCCTTAAAAAAGGAAACTCGCTCCATTATTCTGGGGCGATAACCCATCTTAAGGGTATGTTGAGTGTCTTGGGTCTAGGCGCCTCTTTTGAGGCTACGCTACTTTAAGACCCCAGAAAACGACACTGGCATCGCCGCGCGAGGCCCCAGCTGCTCCAATGCATCGCACTCATGCAGCGCCCCAGAGCGCACACTGCCTCCCGGGCCATTCGGGTGACTGCTGGTCCACCGCAAAAGGAGGCATCATATTTGTTTCCTCAGTGGGGAAATACACCAGTTACAACTTCTCCAAAATGCTTTCTACGATTTAGGTTGCAGTTCTATAAAAGACTTTCTACGATTTAGGTTGCAGTTCTATAAAACATTTTCTATGATTTAAATTGTAGTTCTACAAAGAAAGATTGCGTAGATTGAAATATATAGCCACCAAACAGCAGAAGTATTGAATCCTGAGTGGTTGATTCCATGTCTACGACCAAGGAGTCTCAGCTAACCAGCCCTCGTAAAGAACCAAAACACCATTGCAGTGGCTCGGGCTTCTCCCGCGACTGCGTACTTCTTGGGCAAGTCTCCTCCTCCCAACCAAATTGTACTTGAAACATCGTCTCGTAGAATCCTGACAACTGGTCGGACCCAAAAGGGGGGCGTCTTCTTCTAGTGGCGGGTTCAAAGGAAAACTGAAGGCAAACAACAAATTTGGGCCCCTTAAAAAACAACGGTAAAACAACTGATTTCATGTTGTCGTGAAACCGTGCTTCGGTGTTTTGTTACATGTATGACAGTTCTTTCTTAAGTTTGTGTGTTTCTACACCTTCGATGTCTTATGTTCATCATCCTTGCCATGCATGGTAAAAGCCTATGATTAGGTTTCAACCCGATGACTTTAGCAATGATTTGTCCATTCACTTCGTACTGTCGAATTCGTTTCGTCACAGCACGGATGAATTTCAGGATGATCGCTAAAGTCCATGTGTTGCTTCATCTCTTGGAAATTCCTTATAATCATAATTACAGTCCCTGACTATGCACAAGAAGGCACCGCCTTTTTTAACGCTTACAAAACTGGGCTGTCCGTTTTCGGAATCCCCTGCTAAAAGTTCAACTTTCAGTTGGTGAACTGGAACCCCCCCCCCCCCACGAATTAAACCCACAACAACCCGAAAAGCCCAAGGAGACGGCTCGGAAACGCCAAAAGGAAAACCTACTAGGTCCTCCAGTAGTTTGAGGTTAGAATAAGTTGGCACCCGATTTCTTTTCTGTTTCGCCTATTTTAGTAGGGGAACCCTCCCTCTCCCAACCAAAAAAGGGGTAAAAGAACGGGCACCAATTGCTGGGGGGCCTAGACCTACTTCAACCGCATCCTTCTCCATCTACCGCCCGTTTCGGCCTGCGCTCATTGGCCCCAAAACACCCGCCTGCGCCACTGAGCCGGGGCAGTGTTAGCCTCGCGCGGATGCCACCCTCGGAAAACCCGCGGAACTGGAGAAAACGTGAAGACTGTGGTCCAAACTTCCTTCCTTCAGATTCTTGCCCAGGGAAAAACCGCGGAGCTTGGTGGCTGATCATTGAAAGACAGAAATGGAGTTCTCTCGCTGCAACAGGCCAAAGATTATCATATCCACGCGCATATCCCGCACAAGCTCAACTATTCTACGTATCCACATGCCATGCTGAGCTGAACCCTAAGACCACCACAACCAAAACACACACACACACACATGTTTAAAACCAGGCAACACAGTGAGGTGCATCATGTTCCCTACCAGCATCCATAGGTACAAGACTGCTACAACTCAAGCCCTCTGGTTCGTGTTGCGGTTTGCGTCCTTTGCCTTCTATTTGGGCCCCTCTTTTTGTTGAGCCTATGTTGGTTTTAAAGGAAAGCCAAGAGGAAAAGACGCTCCGCTTTCCTCTACGTCCTCGGGACAACGGGCAAGTTGATCCTTCAAACACTTCCAACTCGCTGCAGTTGCCAGAACGAAGCCGCTCGCCCGGTTTTTGGAAAGAACGATGGTTGACAAGAATGCTTGGAATCAACCCCTAGAAAACTGCCATTCAATATGGCCTCATTGCCCCTGCGGGTCAAGCTTTTGCTTTTGCCGAAGCATCTGGACAACTTTGAGTTTGAGCGGAACCCGCGACTTTCTCTTCTTCTTCTTTTTTTTTTGGGGGGGGGGAGGGGATTGAAATCACAAAGTCTCAGAAACACTGAGGGGCCTATTTTAGTAGGGGGGGGCTAAAAAGGGGTAGAAGGGCACTGGGGGGCCTTGACTCAGATGTCCAAAGGCCATCAAAGGCATCAGGAGGCCCACCGAAACAAAGCCGCAGAGCCGGGGCTCCCGGCTCGCTGGCAGGAAGGCAGCGCCCATGGCCACAGAACCTCGGGGATCTCGGGGCTCGGGGCGCGCGGAATTTCCGGTTTTGGGGTTCGGAAACCGGAAGGAAGCAACGGTTGGGGTTTGCCAGTTTGAGAAAAGACCGTTTCTTGCTTGCTGTTTCTGGTGTGTCACTTTGTTTTTGTCGCCTGCCCCTCCCCACCCCCCCCCCCCCCGCCCCCGCGGGACATCTGCCAAAGTTTCTGACCGCCGCAATTTGCAGCCAGTGCCAATGCTGGCCGAAAGCTTCCAGCTAGATTGACACGGAGCTGACTTCCATCATGGCTTGGCCATCTCCCCGCAAAAAGGCCGAGCAGACACAACAAACGTCAAGTCGGTCCAACCTCTTTGTATGGTTTGCGCCGCTGGATGTCAACTTTGGATTCAAGAAGCAAAACCCATACAAACCTGAGGAGCCTCTCTTATGGTTCTATGCTTGTCCCCTTTCTTGTTTGTTCTCGGGGCGTGGTTCTGTGAAACAATAAATTAGCTTAAAGGGTCCGGCGAATTCCGAAGCCAGCACAGCCCGTCGCGGACGCAACTGGCCTGAACCTGCCGATGTTTTGGCCCAACATCAGGTTCCACACCGGTTTAATTGAGAAAAGCTAAGAATGGGCAAACAGTTGCAGAAGGACTTCTCCAACTAAACAACGGTTGTAGGAAGATGTCTTGGAGCAACTTACCCCTTCTTTTTCGGGGATCCTTCTGTCCAGAGAACCAGTGAACAAAGCAGGTTATTGAAGGGAATGATGGCTGGCACAAAGGGGGGACTCTTAGGCTCACTTTCCAAAGGTTCGAAAGCTAAAGGGTCGACCCAGAAAGCAGCTAAGTGAAGAGGATGACTACAACGTTGCGAAAATTGGACAGGCCCAAAGACTAACCCCCAATATGGCCACGGGTCAAAATCCCGTACCCCCAGTGAACATCCCAATCCCCACTAAAATAGACTAAAATGGGTGGTGCACCTACCCCAAAATGGTATCATTGGCTTTGACCCACAGCCATATAAAGGAGAGATTTCCTTGTATCACGCTGGTTGGATAAACCCCGCGTGATCCACCACACCCCTGATGTTACTCCCTGGGGTTCAAGCCCCCATTCAAACCAGCGGGGGTTCATATAACCTTTGTTGACCTTCGCATTGTCATCATCCAATTTGGGACAACTCTGAAATTGGACATGGCCATGGGTCAAAAGCCCGTAGCCCCAGTGAACATCCCAATCCCCACACAAATAGACTAAAATGGGTTAGACTAAAATGGGTGGTGCACCTACCCCAAAATGGTATCATTGGCTTTGACCAACAGCCACATTGAGCAAAGGGCCCAAGCTCGGCCTGAGCTGCTCGAGCTCGAGCTAGGCCCCGGACTCGGCGTCGCCCTTCGGCACTTCCAGCAAGGCGCCGGTGTTCAGCGCGTAGCTCGCCTCGGCCGCGGGTTGTTTGTTTGTTGGTATGTATCGTTTGTTTTGTTTCTTCTTTTTTGTTTAAGGGGCGTTTGGAGTGCCAAAGTGACCACCTCTTGGTTGGTGTACGGGAGGACCTGCGAAACATAACTTGCTCATCGTTCAAAGAGAAACACCATGAACACCAAAAAGGCCTTCCAATGCCAGGCTCAGTTACTTGTCCCAAGCCGTTGGTTTTCCAATGCAAGGAAGGCATTGCCACTTTGAGAACGCACAGCTCTGGACTTGTTGGTCTGAATTGGGCGGAGTTTTTACATGGGGCCCTCAGCACTGGCTTCACCAACAAATACGAGTCCACAAGTTTAGACATGTTGGTTGTTGGTTTTTGGACAAGTCAATAGACGCTCCAAAAAAGCCCTTGTTATTGCAATGCGCCCCTCACAATAGCGATCCAAGTGGAAGCCGCTACCTTGGACAAAGTCGGTGATTGGCATACGAAAACAAATGGGTCTGTGGATTTTTGAGGGTACCCTGTTTTTTCTGGGGTGCAGCGGAAAACCACCGACTACTAAGATAACGACACGCCCGTATTCTGAGGAGTGCCTCTCAAGACCCAGAAACATTAGTTGGAACACGCAGTTCCTGAAAAGAAGCCAAAAGAAACCTCGGGGAGTTTCCTACGGGCCCCAGCAACCCAGCAGCAATTTTGTCTAATTAAACCTCCATTCTTCGTTGGGGTGTGTCTTTTTTCAGGAATCGGAGCCCCGACCAGAAGAACCTTTTACTTCAGCTTGGCCAGGGTTTCCCGAACGCAATACTAAGGCTTTTGCTGTGACCATATTCTCACTTGCCCAAATAACATGGACATAAAAGGTTAATCCTTGGCCATGGCCAAATATGGACCGAAAAGGGAAAACTAAAAGGTCAAGAGGTGGGGTAGCTGAGAGAAAACACTGCGGCACTCCTCTTGGGTGTACTCAAGGTAAGTTGGCATCGACGTGTTTGCTGTTCGGTTCTCATGGGCGTCCTTTCATTCTTTGTCCTTTTTATATGACCACCAAAAAGAACACATGATCAAGCCATGAGCAATACTGGGATAGACCACCTACCGAAGCAGTGCGAAGCGGCTTGCACAGGTTGAATGGACCTCAGGGCTCAATAGGTCTCCAAGGGCAGTTTGTCGAGCGATTCTCATGGGGGACCGATTGACCAAGTGAATTCATGTTGACCCCTGATTAACAGATTCCCCACTAATCAGGGGCATCCTGGAAGAAAAGGAAACCAACCACTTAAAGGGACTTTGATTACTGGCCCTTCTATCCCCTGCTAACAGTCGAAAAAACTCTTAGTGGTTTAGTCTGGAAACCCACCACTAAACCCGCTAAAAACAACTGAACACCTACGCAACGGGATAAAACCTGAAAAAACACCTGTGCGGGGCTGCGGGACATGACCCCTTCTGTGATACAACAAAAAGGGCCTCCCAAACACCAACCCCCCCCAAAAAAAAAAAGAAGAAGAAGAGGGGATTCCCATGTCATCTCAGAAGTGGTTGGGTACACCCCTTGTGATCAAGCACCCCTGTGGAACCGGACGCATGGGGGGGACCCCCCCCTGCGGCCCGGGAGCCTCGGACTTTTCCGGGCCTGGAAGCCCTGGGGCCCCGGGCGAATCTGGTGCTGACCTCGCCAGGGGGTGGTTCCCCCAGTTTGGGGTGGGGTTCCCCCATGGGCTGAAGCCCCATGAAACAAAATACACATGTTTCCAGCAGGCTCCCGTGAAAAATCAACTGAGGAAACAACACATAGTCCTAAACAGATGGACGGGTTTTTCCAACTTTGGGTTTGCCTTCACCACACAATGGGTGTGTCTTTGTCAATTTGTGTGTTGCATCAACCGCAAATTGGTCTTCTCATGGGCCTGCAAAAAGGACACACCCAAGTGATACCCAAATCATTGTTTGGACATCTGTACTCCAAATACCTTGTCGGTTTCGGACGGGTTGCCTCATAGCTCGTCTTTCCTCTACCCCAGAGTATGTTTCATAGGAAGAGAGCCAGTTGGGCCCCAAGGCGTGCAATCAACAGTCGCCTTTCAAGTTGGAGCCCCCAGAGGGTTTGTCCTTTGTTTCAGGAATCGGAACTTTAGGCTTTCCCCTCTTTTGCGAAGTGGCTGTGAAAACCGAGACCCAAGATCCCCCAACTGGGTGCAAATTTTCGCATGTTTCCTTTTTGCCAAGAGAGGGTAGATGTCTTCCCAAGTCTTGGGGGGCGCAAGCTTGCACCTTCAAAAGGGATCCTGAAACGGTGTCACTGGAGAAGCCTGTGGCTTATCCCTCTTCCCTCAAAAACAAATGGCTTATCCCTATCCCTCTTCTTCTTATCCCTCTTCTTTTATCCCTTCCCTAGCTTGGAAGGGTCACTTTGAGGTGCACCCAAACCAAACTTGTCCTTTGGCCCTCAGACAATACTAATAAGTGCCTTGGGGAAGTGCTGTTGTTGGGGCGCAGCACGTCGGGGTCTGGGTCGGTGAGCTGGTCCCACGCAGAGCCCTGTAAAAACCACGCAAAGCGTGAGATTAACACCTGAAATTGAATGTGTCGGATGTATTCATGCCCCATCGAAGTATACGGCTGTAAAGGATGCTTACACCCACCCCATTTCCCCTGGGAGCAGAGGTTGGGGAGATAACCCAGAATGGAGACAATGAGGTGACTTTAGCTCCAAGACCGATTTTTTATCGGTTTGCCTTACCCCATCCAACGGAAACTCGCTTTAAAATGACACCAAACTATGATATTTGACACCACCAAAGAGCTATGTTTAAGCAAACACCCTTGTTGGTTGGCTTTTAGAGGGAAACTAAAAGGAAACCTTTGCCATCTTCGGCGGTCCCCTAAGAAGAGACACACCCAAAGGCTGTGGGTCAAAAGTAGATACCCAAATGGAACCCTGGTAAGTGGAAACATGGTCCCCGAGAATGAAGAAATTCCGAAAAGGCGAATCTTTTTCCCCGTCATGAGCTAACCCCTCTGTCCGGTTTCCTGGACAATCCGTCGCATGGGAATGTGCCAATATGAAGCCTTGGCGTTATCCCGCCCAAAAGAAAACAACGTGTGTGATCCTGATCTATATTTGCTGAACCTTGAAATGTAAATTCAATTCACTCGAAATCCCAGAGCAGGGCTTCTCACATAAGGATGAAGGGTGCACAAAAAGAGTACAACTAATCAAACAATGCCGGCACTGTCTGCACCAGTTAGCCGCTAAAAGTTGTTCTACTTCCAAATGTTGCGTGAGCCACCCCCGATCAGGCAGCCCTGCCTTTTCCGTATCCCAAGCATCAAAATGGGATTCAGCCATGGTCACGTGGCAGCAAGAACACACACCGGGAAAGGATGTAGACCTTTTCCGGATCAAAACCAACCAGGGCTTAACAACCAGCAAGTCAGCAAGTCCCTTGGGGATCTCCGGCACTGTTTGGGTGGTTCAAAATGACGGGATTCCGTAGCTCCGTACCGTAGGATTCGGAATCGGTCCCATTAGCCAACCTGAAAACCCGGGTCATGACCGGACCCTCCAATGCACACCGGGACCCAATGGAGAACCCCGACCCCGACCCCATGCCCTTGAAAACAACCAGTGTTGAGGGCCCAAAAACCATCGAGACCCTTAGGGAAGGGGGTACCCCTACTCCGTAATGACACCAAAAGGCTTGGGACACACCACAAAATCTTCAGCTTCTGTTCCATATGTTGCCAATCTTGAACGTTTATATATTTTCAGATTCTGTTCCATATTCAGCCAACCTTAGAAGTCGATATCCCCAGGACTCCCCAGTTTTTAAACGTTTTGTGAGCAGTCCCCAGACGCGGAGTGTAACTCTGACCCACCCAACCGGTTTGATTGCCGAGGCCACCGCCAGGGGACTTGTGCCGTTGGTCGAATTCGCACAATGGAGGGCCTGAAGCCGGGACCACGTTTCTCTCTCGAAAAAAGAAAAAACACTTTGCTTCTCTCTCAAAAAAAAACTTTCTCTCGCTGAAAAAAAAAAGAACGGTTTCTCTCAAAAAAACCTTGCGGACCTCAACAAAGTGTAGAACCGGAGTCTCCGAGACCCCTTGCAGCAATCATAAATTACCCAACAACAAACAACCCAATTGCCACTGAAGTAGGTTTCCCTTGGGTACCAATTAAGCAGGTGAATGGAAGCTCTTGGCCCCAATGTGCGTACATGACTCCATTTTACAAGGAGCACGGCGTGCCCCTGCTCCAAAGGCCTGCTCTTCTTAGGGCACATGTTGGAAAACGTGCCCCCTGCTCCAAAGAGCAAGTTGAAAAGCAGGGGTTCCATGGTAAATCTCGGCTGCCTGACCTCTTGCATTCAAACCAATAGGTACTTAAGCAGTGTGTATCAGCTTATGTTGAGTATTTCGTTTCAGAGGCCAACAGGTGTCTTTTTTGCTTCTGCTGGTTTTTCCTGGGAATTCATTGGACAAGCATACTCGCAATGTCAACCAAGGTTGCTTTCATCCAACACTGGGGTAGAAACCTCCCTGGAGAAGGAAAGCAATTCGGACGCCTAACCACCCCTCTGAAATGGATGGGAAGTCAACATGACCCTTGTGGTGTGGACATTTTGAGGTTTGGAGCACCTTTAGCAGGGATCCTTACATTACACACCTGAACATTGCCCTTGGTGGTTTCCCTTTACCTTGGTGGAAAAAGCAGCATGTTTCAAATGGTTGCAACATAATTTTATTTTAAGGAGCCCTGTTTAGTGTTACGTAAAAAGGTCGGGCTACTCGGTTGGCAGACTTCAACCCCAGGGTGGTTGATGTGGGAACGGGCAGCCCGGGCCTCGATGCGGAAAAATGAGCCATAAGGCCATTGCATCGCCAGCTCCTGCGTGGCTGAATCTGTGTATACATGTACTTATTGGCATACATATACATGCATATATATATATATATGCATATTGTGAACATATACACTGCCAGGACAAAAGTTGCGCCTGTCAGGCCTTCTCAGAGAACACATCCCTTTACCCGTAGAATCCTGCAAGGTGATGCTGGGTCATTCGCGGTCGAAATTTCACACTCCAAAACTTTTAAAGTATCTCTAAATTCAAAAGAGGGAGACAATTGACTGTCCCACTCCTGCGACACAAAACCGAATTGGAAACTTGACCCGCGGGCGATCCATACGGCTCGCAGAAACCAGCAAGAGGCATAAACGTTCGTCCTCCTGATGTATTATATATATATATTCATATTATAGATGTATATATTGTACGTATACATCATACTAGGCAGCGGGCCATGACCAAAGGATTAGCTCCAATGCGCATTCTACAATAGTCTACGGGCCACGACCAAGGCTTGAACGCCTCCCAGAAGCCAGACCAAGTTCGGTAGATCGACCAGTGGTGTCCTCAACTATCAAGTGCCATCATAAACTCGGCTGCCATGGCTCCGCATGAGCCTCGGAATGAACTCTTTCCCCAAGAGGACACGGGAAAATTAGGGCCCCTGGGTTTTTTGGGACAGTTTGGCGGGCCCCCCATGTTTGGTCAACGTTCAACCCTAAATTGATCACTTCCTGAATGGATTCGATGGACAGGCCACAAAGTGTCCTAAGTTGTTTGCCCTCAAACAATCTTCCTGTACAGAAGTCTCAAGTAAAGGAGCTCAGGGAGGGCTGATTGAAAAGAACGAAGATACTCAGCAACTCGGGGTTCTCCATTTGCAGATAGTGGCAAAACATGGGGCGACTGGAGTTTGCCTGGGGGCCTCCTGTTAAACCAAGGCAAAAAGGATATCCATATCAGGACCCCAGCCCAAGAAGCCATCCAGCCAACGCAGCGACGACGCGCACCACGTCCCAAGCGTTCCACAACGCAGCTGGTTGCGTCCTCAAAGGCCAAGTCATCCTCCGCCCGCAATCTGCGCTCTTCCACGATGTAGGACACCTGTTGGCTGGGCAAAATCCCGATCCCTACCAACCTAAAGGGGAGTCTTTTGACCATGGCGCGTATAGCTACCAAATTATCAAGTCAACCACGCCAATAAAGCAGCTACATACACAAAACAGGAATAACGCAAAGAGTTGTCCCGGTGTTGGTTGGAACACAGCTCACCAACCCAAAAAAACACTAGAAAACACAATGAAACACAGAGTCACATGCACACAACAAAACCCAAACAGCACACTTCCTGAGGGGATCCAACAAAAAGTTCAAACTTTCTGTGAAGCATCCCTCTATTCCTCCCGTAAAGACCGCACTTGAAGGAGACCTAATTGGCCAACCTTCAAGGGCACATTGTAAGACCAATTCACGTCTATGTATCCCCTCGTAAACACCCCGCTTCGTGTTTAAGCCAACTCTCCTTTCACCTGGCAACCTCGGGATGGCGCCAAAAACAAACTTTCTGCTTAAGGGGGGCTTCACCAATTTTGCGACACACCCCAGATCTGACAGGTGTCCGAATGAGGAAGGCATCACTTTCAGGGAGCAACCCACCTGTGCATAGGTTCCCCCAAAATGGCGATTCAGGTTTTCGCTTGAGTTCCCTCTTCAAGCCTCAAGATGGTACCAACTCAAATCAAGAAAAGAAGAACCTACGGCCATACAAATGTTTCATGGGGGACCCGATTTGGTGGACATCAGAATGTTAGGTGGGGATTCATGTCCAAGCACTGTTGAGGTGGTTCCGACTCTTAAGATTCATAGCCATACGCATAGTGCATCTCAAAAGGGCTGGTATCACCGAAAATTACCCATTCCTTGTTGGTTTGATCCAAAGTTCCACGAACAGACGAGTCCACGTGGGTGGCTCGTCTCTGTTGAGGGCACCCCTTTTTGGTTTTGGTTTTAAAAAGGGAAGCCAACACCGGAAAACCCCCGGTGCCCGCCTTTTTTTTGTTGGGGGGGGGAGGAGGGGGCGGTGTCGGACCCCTTCCCAAGGCACAGACCCATGCGACGGTTTTTTGATCCGAGGCTCCGCGCCTGAAAGTCTACTCGGCTCATGCCGGACTCCCGCATGGCTGCGGTGACTCCCACGCCTCAACGAATCCATTGGCGCCACCCCCAACCCCCATCCCCCCCCCCCCCCGGATCCGGAGTCGGAGGGCCAGGGAAACCAACACCTAGCAAAGCGCTCAAGTCCCCCGGACTTGAATTTGAACATGTGTCTAGTAGTGATAAATTTGTCCGTTCAACATTGAAAGGGGGAAATGAAACAAGTATTCTTAAGCAAAGGGTCCTCCAGTAGAGAGGACAGAATAAGGGTACCCTTTTTCTGTAGTCTATTTTAGTAGGGGAACCCTCCCCCAAAAAAGGGCAAAAGGGCACTAGCTGGGGGGCCTAGAGCAAATGGAAGAGAAGGAGCCCCAAGTGATGTGCCCTTCTGAACTCCCAACACCTCGGAGTTCATCGAGACCCAGGCTGAAGGAACTGCCGCGAAAGTGCGGTGCCCGTGTTCGAAACGACCAATGGTTTGGCCAGCAAAACCGGGCATCAAGGGGTTGGGTCTCAGGACATTTTACAGGAAAACAGCTGATTTAGGGTGTTTTGGGGCCATATTTATGTAGATGTTCCTGTAACCCAGTGTTTTGGGGCCATTTTCTATGCAGATTTTCCTGTAACCCAACCCTTTGAGGGCTGTTCCCCGTTCAGATCCCTGCTAATAGTTGCTAACTTTCAGTGGTTTGGTGGAAACGACCACTAAACCCTAACAACCTAGACACCTAAGGGGATGGCTGGGAACCACCAAGGTATGTAATAGAGCAATGATGGAAATGAAGGTCAAATACCTCGTGGGGCTGTTGTGAGAATGTGGGTCCCTTCTTGGCATCCCCCTTCAAACGTCGTCAAACACCGGTCATATCTTTGACAACTCAGCTGGGGGGCCCTTTTCTTTGGCTGCTTTATATCGCCCGGTGTGTGCTAGTCCCCTTTTAACTGGTTTCACCCAAACAAAAGCAAGGCATCAGACGCTTTCACAGCTTCCCTTTTTAGACAAAGCCGGGCACATTTGGAGGCCCGGCACCATGCTCCACCCGCCAACAACCGAACGTTTCCCTATCAAACTCCTAAACCAACGTCGACCCCCCGATCAAACTCTGGGTGCTTTCGTTGAACTTCCCCCCATCGAACAATCCAAAAAAACACAAGTGTACCATCGACTAGGTCCTCCAGCAGAGAGTGTACAATAAGCGTGCCCTTTTTTTCTGTAGTCCATTTTAGTAGGGGAACCGAAACTCACATAAACTGAAACGGTGAGAGGTCGGGCACCAATTGCTAGGGGACCTAGTCAAAGACAGACCTTCCCAGGCGCCGGCGTTTTCTTTTTTTGGACCCCGGGGGCGCCTGACCACTGACCCGGCTGCTCCAAGAAATCCCTTCACAACGTGCCATGCATTGAGGGCCGATTGAGGGGGAGACCCAACGTTCGGGGTAACATCCCACAAGCTGGTCGACTCCACAGGCGCCCTCAATGACTCAAGATTCCCCCCCCCCCAACTAAAAAAAAACAGTACTGGGCTGTCCTCAAATCCCCAGCTTAAACTTTAAACTAACTTTTAGTGGGTTACGTTGAAATCCCAACTAAAAAGGCTCAGAATATCAAACCCTAAGGGGATGGCTGGAATGCCAGCACCTGTTACGTGGCAAAGTGGTCCACGTAAAGGCAGCAGGCGGCAAAACAGCTCGCTGCACCAGCCGCCCATACTGGAAATGCGTATGCTGAGCTTCAGCAACCAGAAGGTCAACTGTAAGTGGATGGTCACAGCCGAACTACCGCAGCAGGTGGCCGCCGCAGGTGGTCCGCAAGAGGACGAATGGACTAGCCCGGCGTGGCCGCCCAAGATGCAAAAAAGCTGACCCTGGTCATATGGCTGTGGGTCAAAACTAGGGTAACCCCAAAATGAAACCCTAAAAAATGGAACCAAGGACTAAAACCTGCGGTCCCCTGGTGGTTTCATTTTGACCCATACCCATATCGTGCAGACCACATTTCCAGCAATTGCCCCAAAGTTCGGCTGACGTAGCGATAGGGGCATCAGCCGCACGCGCGCGCTGGCACCAAGAGGACACTCCTTTTGGGGGTCGGGTTCCCGGACCTCGGGTTCTTTCCAGTGATTTGTAGGGTGCAAGTACAAACCTGATCATTCCTTTTACGCCTTTGGGAAGAAAGCTGGCTGGTTTCCACCAGCCCAAGCTGGCGCCCGGATGTTCAACATCGAACAAGGAGCAACATGTGAGTGGACATCGGAAACCCGACGAAACCCGGGGAAATGAGTGGCACAAACTTAAGGACATCAAAAGGACTGCATTTTGTCTTCCAACCCCTCTTTCGTATCTGTCTGCTTCCATGAGAGGAAAAAGGATAGCAGGAAAAAACAACTTTTGCCAACCAGCCTGCTAAGCAATTAAAGGGAGCCAAAAGGAAACCCACTCATGTCTTTTGGAAAGAGGCATGCCGGTTGAAGTTGAAGGGGCACCATCCCAAAAAGCAGACTGACATTGACCACAGCAGAATAAACCTCGCGCCAGTCGACGTTTGGAGCAACCAAATACGGGCGTGTTTTCGGAAAATACCATCGGGGCACCTCCCCTTCTTTGGTGCAGCCACACCCATCAAGTTCCCGCCTCACCGGCCTCACCCTCCGCCATCCCCCCCACCCCCGCCCCCTCCCAGCGTTCCGCGCCTAGCCAAAGGATCTGCACGGTGCGCGTGAGGCAACTCACCGCGCGCCAGGGCAGGCGCACCGGCTTGTAGAGCTCCTGGTGACACGCTTCGACAAGCAGCGGGCCTGAGAAATGGAATGGGGGTTGATCAATGTTCCTGCAATTTTTAGTGGGTGTTTCCTGAATGTTCCTGCAACCCAGGACCGGGTTGATAGCGCCCCAACTCCTGCGAGTCGCGCCAGCGAGCGGGGGAGAAAGAGAAAGGAAAACCGGGGGATGCGCAGGAGGGCGAGAAAGAGAACAAAACCCGGGGAGGGGGGAGGGGGGGGCAATTCGCTTGTTGGGTGTCCGGTTTCTTCGGGAATCCCCAAAGGAGTCTGGACCATATGTTGGTAACTCGATCCTCAAAAAATATGGGGGGGGGGTTGATCAATATTCCTTTTGGGGGCCCCGATTTTGAGAATGGCCAACTTTTCCCAGGTGGTTGAAATATCAAATCTTCCTAGTGGTTTCCCCACATGACTCCGAGACAAACCGGGATTCGATTCGGATTCCATTTTTCGGGAATCCCGGACCCGGTTCATTCCCAACACCCGAAAGGTCGTTCCCTACGGAGCTCCAGCAAGAAGAGCTCGGGCAAAGGGTGGGGGGTCACGGGATTTTCCTCTAGAAGCTTGGCTCTTGGTGAGCGCTGGGTGAGTCAAAGCGATTGCTGGTGAATTTGAAAAGGGACGGATGGGTTTAGTTTCATGCTTGGCTAGTTGGCAAAGCGCTACTCATACCCGATTGGGGAACCCTCCAAACATGCCCCCGAGAAGACTCAAATAGACCAAAACCTGTGTTTGGGGAGCGCTCATAAACCTACTCGAAAATAAAAGCGAGGCTTTGAAGGGCGAGTGGGTGGGTGGGTGGGTGGGTGGGTGGGTGGGTGGGTGGGTGGGGGGGTGGGTGGGTGGGTGGGTGGGTGGGTGGGTGGGTGGGTGGGTGGGTGGGTGGGTGGGTGGGTGGGTCAAAAACGTTGTGCAAGGAGTTGGTGCCATGTTGTTGGTTCTTCCTTTTAGATGCAAAACACGAATTGTTGTTTGAGTTGCTGCTCGTCCCGCCGTCAGATTAAAAGGAGGTGTTCGTGGGTGATCCCGCGAAAACCACACCCTGATCCAAGGGCTGCGGCGAGCTCAGAAGGGGCGAATGGGATCCAAGCTGAGTACTGGACAACCCCACCAAACTTTAAGTGCCTGGCGCGGATTTTCTCGATCAACGTGACTCAGGACTTCCTGAACCCTGAAAATTCTCGGAAAAATGGGTTATAGCCCCAAAATGATGGGGTGAAATCCCATGTCTAAGGGTAGTTTGAGGGTCCAAGTTCCTCTAAATAGCACTACTGCATTGGCGTGCAATACCAAGCGCTGCAGCTTGACCCAAGAAAATGTGTGCGTTGAGCAACTGGACAGTAGCAAATGGACAGTAGCTTGGAAAGTCATTGGAATCTGGCACTAAACAACTTTGATTGAATTGTTTCGGAGTGATTCTAGTTTAAGAGAAGTGCCTAATTCGACTGGGTCATAATCAAAACCTGGTACTCAAATGGTCTACCCAGAATGTAAAGAATTAACAGGGCGGCGAAGGCACCCATGGTCGGGATTCTCCCTTGCTAACCTTCATCCACCCGGGCTTTGATTGTGGCTCATCCGGCTTCAACCTGGGTCGACATTCTTTGCTTGCATCACCGTCAGCCTGTGAAGAAGTCGCCCAACTCCCCCCCCCCTTTCCCTAATACCGCGATGCGTTGGATACGTGGGGGGCGGGGATCTCATAAGCACAAAGGAACTGGGAGACGTTCCCAAAGCCCGGGATCCAGGCAAGGGCAACTGCATGATACTTCGATGCAGCGCCATCCTTTGTGGCTGGCTGAGCCTACCTGAGCGGGAAGAAGCTGTCTAGTGGCAGAACACCTGCTTGCGGATACGTCAGGACGCCCAAGTCGAGCCACCTGGACTGAGCCGTCAGCAGGCAGGTCGGCTGCCTGCAGTCTCGTTCCTGTTCGTCAGGCCGCGGGAACTCGCCAGGTGACCTCTTGGTTCATGATTCGATGAGGGGGCTTCTTGGAATTCGAACGTTTCAAGCTGCTTCTCAGTGAAAAAGGAAACAACCCTTAACCTTCAAACGCTGGGAAATTTATGGGTGTTTCAGGAGTTTTGGGTTTTTGCCTCAAAAAGTGCCACCATTTCCCGAATATCCAGTCACAGGCGGAGCCCTGGGCGCAGCGCCTTCTCTTCCTTGGAGGTGAAGGCCCCGTTCACCGCGGCCGCCCGGGGGGTGATGTCCTTGCCTCGAGCGCGCTTATCTTGGTTGATGTTGGCAGGGGAGCAAAAAAAAACACAAATTTTAGCAGTTCAGTGGTTGGATTTCAACCACTAAACCATAATAAGCAAAAATGTAAAATGTCTCCCAACAACAACCGTGGCTTCCCTCTTCGAAGGGTTCGGAAGCCTCGAGATTTTTCTCGGCGCGCCCGCGGTGGTCTCCTCTGCCAGCTCCCCAAACACAGGGTCGGTCGGTTTTTTTCTGGCGAGCACCCCTTTTGGGGGCCTCAACAGCGAACAAAAAAAGGAAAACCTCCGTTTTGCCCCTATTGAAACTAACGCGCACCTTAAAGGCTCTCTAGATTCTCTATGTAGGGGCCCGCGACTGTCTTAACCTTGTGGGAAAGGGTGCGTTGACCAAGGCCCTGTTTGGGGCTCATGTGAACGGAAAACCAAAGGCAAACCAAATTTGGGGGGGGTCCCCGGTTCTAAGACAGGCCGCACCCTTTCTCATGGTTGGCTCCGTACCCACTCTGGAACACACACCCACACACACCATGTTGGCCCCGGTTTTAAGATTTCTCCAAATGGGCAACCCTTGGGGCGTGTGCCGAGAACGGTTCCCTGTAAACTCCCAACGACGCCAGCTCCACAAAGCTCACCTTTGAGGGCAACCCATTTGAGTTCCGAAAGATCGCCTTAGAGACTCCTGGTTTCTCTGTTGAAAGGGGATTCCGTGAGGTGACCCTAAAGGTTCCGTGACCCTCACAAAAGGGGGCAGTCAAACGCCTGACCAGCTCTAAGACTGTCTCACTTTTTGAAGGGACACAAACAGCCACACACACACACACCACAAACATTGTCCCAAAAAATAATAGCCGTAGAGGCTAAAGATCCAACCCAAGAAAAGCCAAGACAAGGGTCTTGCAAGTTGGCCGATAGAAAAAAAAAATCAAAGGGCCCCAAATATCACATCTCTACCCTGGTGGCAAGGTCATCTTGGGCTTTTGAGCAACTCCGAACCCATTTGCCGCGCACTCCAAACAGAAAGGACCAAGAACCGCAACCAACTGGCAACCCTCCCGTGGCCGTGGGTCAGAAATTGACCCCGAAATGGAGCCCTGGCCAACGGAAGCAAGGACTAGCACCTGCGGCTGTCGGTCCCCTGGTGGTTTCAATTCTGACCCACATATAGGGAATCCAAGAAATGTCCCAAAAAGCGAATCATCAAAAGGTAAAGCTGGGCAATGGGCTAGCCCCTCTGCTACCCTGGTATCTTTCTGCGAACTTCCCAAAACAACCCGGACGGTGTTTGAGGGCCGGGAAAATCCCGAGGAACGGTCCAAACGGTCCCGGGTTTGGAGGGCCCGGAAAAAAAGAGGGACATTTCCGCCGGCTAAAACGGGAATGAGTTGGAACGACCTGAATCCAGCTGAATCGAGCCCGAAATTCCATCAAACAGGAAGTAAGCAAGGCGGGCAGGCAAGCAGTCAGGCAGGCAAGCTAGCTAGCAAAAACAAGCAAAAAACAAACAACTGCGCCTAGATCGTGAAGACTGTTTTCTGAGATTCCAGTCAAGGCGCCCTCCACTTCCTTTGCCTCGTGCTGCGGATGCCCGCACATCCTCAGGTTTTTCCAGAACTGGGTTCTGTATACGGGTGTTGATGAGTATTCCATGGGCCCCAAATGACCATGTAAAACTATAGTCCCTTAAACATGTGTTCAAAACTTTGGGGTGGGTTGAGCTCCCGATTTTCTTGAGTAGAAGGATAGACTAAATATGGGGTTCGATCAATATTCCATTTAGGGCCCCAAATGACCATTGGTAACTTTTCCCATGTTGAAACAGCATCTTTTTGGTGGTGTCCCAACCAATAGTCATCCCAGGTAAAAGCTGGACCTTTTGATCAACCCCCGTTCCCCAACCCCCAACCGCCCCAACCCGGAGGCCTTAAGCGAGAGATTTGCCAGGGACTTGCCCGATGAATCTCAGTCCCTTGCTAAAAGAACAGCCTTTAGCGCGATGTGCGTGCGTCTTTTCTTTAGGGGACCCCCCCCAAAAAAATATGGTTTTCCCTTTTGGCTCCCTTCAAAACCACCAAAAAGTGGCACCAACTCAGAAAACACAGACCCACTTAGTCCCTTGCTAAAAGATCATGGCGATGTCATACGTCCCTCAAGCTTGGCCGAAACCCAAAAGGGTCGGCCTTTCGGGCTAACAGATTGATTCGCTCTAGCCATGCAAGGGTCGTATAAGGACCTCAAACGAGAAATCATGGGGGTTGTGGGGTACCTTAAAACCGAGTTTCGTCAAGTAAGATCATAATGTGTCTGTAATTGTGCCCTCTTGTTCATGGAAACTAGCTGCACAAATTTCTACACGAAATGGGCCAAACACCACAAACAGGTTGATTCCTGTAGAATGTCCTGCCATGTTGACCCTGATTTGTAAACATATCCTGCTAATAGGGAGGTGTTCCCCTCAAGTGATGAATCCCCACTAAGCCCAGGAGTATTCCCAATGGACAGGTTATCAATATGGGGTCGACACTATCTGGCCTCTATGACTTGTGCTTCCCCTCCAAAAGTCGATCCCACTTTCCGGCGGTGTCCATGCTTGGCTGTCAGATCCCCTGCTAGTTTAACTGTTGGGTTAAATGAAAACCCCCAGAACACCAACTAAAAAGAGCTAAGAAGCTAAGTTGAACCGGATGCTGGGAGCCAAGCATGGGACACGAATCGCTTTCGGAGGTAGGAGACGAAAAATGCCGCCGCCAAGCCGCCTGTGGCACTCCTCCATGTGCGCCTTGAACTCCTTCACAGATCTGATGGTCTCATCCAGCGTCAGCACGCTCTGCGGGCCTTTCGCATTCGCGCCGGTTTTTCACAACACGGGCAGTCCAACGCCTACTCCAAGGCTCCGCAGACGTCATTGCTTAGCAATGGCACAACAAATGTGATGAGCCGAAATATGGGTAGTGTCAAAATAAGGGCACCCCCAAACAAATGGCGGGCATTCCTTCAGGTTTTCCATTAAACCAGAGCAAAAAAAATAGCCATTCCGCGTTGTTTTTTGGGGTTGTCAAAACGGGGAGGGCCTTTATCGTATCCTCAGGGCGGCACAAGACGGCAACCGGGCCCGGAATTGAACCTCCCTTTTGTTTGAATCGGAGATCCTGGGAGTGCATTTTGTACACTTTGTGTCTGCCTTCGTGTCAGGCTGTTATATCTCCGCGGGGCCTGTGTCGGATGACTGCCTTGGTAATTACTCGCTTTGGGTACTCGGTGTCAGGGAAAGCAAGAGAAAGCCGCGCAGTTTGTCTCGGGCCGGCTCTCCTGGCTGGGCAAACTACAACTCATTGTTTTGGGGTCTCTGTTTCTCTGGAGGCTAAGGGAACCAAGGGAAACCCATTTTAGGAGGTCCGCCTTCTTGACACATTTCCCAAATAGGGGAAAAACCCACGCAAGTCATGGGGCCCGGATTCGCTCATTTTTCAGGGCCAGTTTCGTCGCAGGGTTAGAACCCCCCCCCACGGGTTCATGTCGCAAGGGACAGCCTTTGTGCGCCGTGATAACACGACACTTGAAATTTGGACAGCTTTTCAAACGAGGTCTGTTAGACCCCCCCCCCGTCCCCCGCCCAGGGTCCCCAAATCAAAGAAGTGGGCGGGGCCACCATCCCTTGCATCTTTCGGGTATGCTGCATGCTCCATGCAAAGGGTGTTTAACAAACAAAACAGCCCTATGTTAGGGGTATTCGATCCCGGGCAAAAGACAGTGTCTTGTTCGAGGGCACCTTTTGGGAGGCTCAAAGGGAAACCAAAGGGAAACCCCTCACGTTGGGAGCCCACCAATGCCCATCCCCATCCGTCCCAAGGCAAAGGGGTGTTTTCAGCTTCCCTCCAATTGGTGGTGATTTGGTGCCCATTCATCCTCTACATCCCCAGTTCCCACATCCAAACCAAGCAGACCTGATGTGTTGGAGCCGGCAGGCATGTGGACAACGCCATACCCCTTCTGAGCCTGGCGGTTTCTGTACGAACCGGAACTCGTCCGTGGACCGCTCCTTGCCAAAGAGGAATTTTTGAAGCCTCCAAAGTAATGTCGACCCCGGATGAATAAATCCATCAAACAAAATAGGGGGTGGCCCTCCAACAGTGGTCTGATTCCAGGGAACCCCCTTACTAATAAACCGGGGTTGACAAAATCTACAAAACAGCTTTGGCTGAGCCTACGCAGACCATTGTTCCTCAGAGCATGGAAGATAAACAAGCCGCTAAATCAAGCTGCAGAGGTGGAACATATCAAAGCAACAAGTTGGCTGTTGGCAAATCGACGTGCAGCAATGCCAAATATCCGATTTCTCGAGTGATAAGGGCGCTGGTGATTCTATCATATTTTTCCACAGCAAAAAAAAGCTTCTCCCAGCCACACTTACCCATACCTCCCAGGCCTGTAGGGATCATGGGTTCCAATCCCCACTTACTTTATCACTTTCGGGCCCCCTTGGCATATTGGCCTTGGAATCGGGAATACTTCAAACGATAACGGCATTGCAGCTTCAGGAAACCGGCAAAACATCGAGTTCTTAAAACTGGGCTGCCCTCAGATCGGAGCCCCCCACGAAACCAACTAAACATCTACCCAAGGAACTGGATGGGGCACCAAGAAACTTGGGATCGGTCCATTCCCTGCAAGCGCTGCAAGGCTTCCCATCCAGGTCCGAAATCTCACATTTTGAGAGCCCGAGTGTGGTTTCGAGGAACTGTCCGTGGGTCTCTTGATCCGGCCCGAAACAAAACAACTTTGCGGCCTATGGGGCGTGGACCTATTCCAAGTGACGAGAAGTTTTTCGGTTGGCCTAGCTGACCCCAAAGCGAACAGCATGGTTTTGCATGTTGGTTGAAGTGGACATGATTCTGCACAACTCTCACCCGACCCTTGCGGGGGGGGGGGGGTAGAAGGGACACCTTCCTGTTTTGTTTCAAAGGGGTCACATCCCACAGTACAAATCAAAATGACCAACCGGGTGAAATGAGAACACAGGAGTCATACATGCTTGATAAATAGGGAGTGCCACATTGAGGAAGTTAACACTTTTCGCGAAAAAAAAATAACATGTGTGATTTGCGTCCACCAAGCTGATGTGTTCAGGGTCGACATTAAGGATACTAAAAGTTGCAGCCAGGCGAATGCCAAGAAAACAGCCATCTCCAGTCAGGCGAAAAGCAGAAGGGCCATGCTACTGGAATGAAGGGTAATACAACTTGTCTTGGTCATTGTTTTAAGGTCTGCGGCGTCTGCGGCAACCCTGACAACGCTTGCTGCGCCACCGGCAGTGCGACCCCAATTTTAGGCAACGTCGAAAATACGTGGTTCCCGTTTAGTGAGTCGTCCTGGACTTTGCGGGAAATTTGGTGTCCCCAGCAACCCTCCCAAGTTGACCATAGAAAAAGGGCATTTTGACTGATATGCAGGGGGAAAATTCATTGTTCCAAAAAAAAGGACATAGGGCAATTGGGTGAGGCACCTGGTTTGGGAGCTTTTTGCGGGGCCCAAAATTTCCTCCTCCCCAACTCAATCAAACTCACCCCACTGCTCTGATCATTCCAATCCCGCACTGCGGGGCTCGCATCACGGTGCCAGCATGCAATCGGTGGGTCGAGCAAGATTGGGGCGCTTGGCAGACATCACCCAACCTATACTGCATCGTATATCGGATATCGCACCCAGAGTCGCTTTCAAAGTGGCCCTGCAAGATGACGTTTGAAAACAAAGCATACAACCCTGCCAGTGAAATGATTTCGGGGCCCTTCGCAAGGCTAGGTCCAAAACATTCCAAAACCTGGCTGGCCGGTACCGACAGCTGAAAAAAAGCATACCTATGGCCAGTGGAAACAAAGGCGTGTGACTTCTGTCCGGGCCGCAATGTCCCAGAAGTGGGTCTGGCACCTGTCGTCCTTCCAGAACTCGAAAGGGCCCAGCACCGTGCCTGAGGAATCGATTCGACGGACTCGACAGGTGCTGAGAATGCCACGCCATGTTTTTTGGGGTGGCATCGAAAATAGGGATTTGGAACCCACCATCTGTGGCTGCCTGTTGGTTTCCCGTTCCGTCGGCCTTAAAACGGGGAACCTCAGAACAACACACAAAGGGAAGTGGCTTGTTGTCCAGGGTACTCTGTTTGCGGTTTGAAAGGAAACGGAACGATGGCCACCCATTTCGAGGGTTACTTAAGACAAACCCAAACGGGAATGAAGTTTAGGGCAGGTTGGAGCTGGTTGACAGACCCCAAGAATGAAAGGGTACCTTTAAGCTCACTTGCCCAAGGACCTGGAAAATAAAGGGTAATCGCCTTTTGGGATGAGTGAAACCAAGCTCGGTGGCAAACCAAAAACAAACAAAACACAACTCTCAGGAAAAGTGTTGGTTTTGCCAGGAGCATTCTCCCCGGGCCGAAGCTTTTGGCAAATTCCGTGTAAAGGTAGTCCTCGGGTTGTTATGTTGATTATTCTTGTTGACATGTTTCTTTCCTGGTGACTTCAATAGGGTAAGCCCTTTATGGTTGAATCCGCCGACATGTGCATTGCTTCCCTCGTAGACACCAGACCGGTGACTTCGGTAAGACGGAGTCAGTGCTCTTCAAGAGGGTCATTTCCCGGTACCTGCCAAGGCCCATACACAAATCTCTGCAATCTACGGGTTGTTCAGGTGCGAATTCCCCCTGTGGCTGCTGGGGGTTCAGTTATTGGTTTCGCCGCGCAAAGACACGGCGCAGACATGGAGTCCCTTGCGCAAAGGGGTTACCCCAAGTCAATGGGCACGGCGACTGGCTGGACAGCGACACCATGCCCTTCTATATATATATATATATACCAATCTTCTTGGGTGGGGATGTCGTGTTTAAAATATGATAACTGTTGTTTGAACAAGCTCTTTTTGGTGTCCCGTTGCAGGAATTGGCCTTCTTGGTTGTTTGAACAGAATTTGCAATTAAACCCTCCACCCCCAACAACTAGTCCCTTCTGTTGGGTCTGAAGGCTTTCTTCCCGCCCTCCCAAAAAAAAACAACTGGAGGTCTGGGTGGTCAAACCCCCCCTCCCATGCCATCGTCCGCCTGCGCAATGCTCTTGGCTGCGCTCTACCTCTTCCAGTTGGTCCCAACTTCGCGCGTCCACCTGCGGTCGGGGAGTTGGGTGCCGCAGAACCTGATACCGGCCCCAAATGGGGGTCTAGAATATTATATCCAAGAAATCTCCAGCAAATTTGCCAAATTGCCAAGCCACAAAAACCAATTCAGGCCAACGTCCTGGAGAATTTCTTGGGGATGGTTTCGTAGAAATTTGCCTATCTCTTTTTTACCAATCTCATTTGGTTGGTTTCCTTCTCAGAAAACAAACACTGCGCTATTTACAGTAGCATCCAGTGGGTGCCTTTAGCACGGCACCCTGCAAAAAGTCCTGGAGAGTTGGTCTGGAAAGGGCGAAACAACCAGAACTTGAGTTCAACTGTTGTTTTCCAGCGGCACCCTTTGCCTACCCTTGAAGGGCCCAAAGCTAGCTGTCTGCAAACTTTTGCAAAGCTTGGGCGCAGCATCACTAAACAAATCCAGGATCAAAGCAAGAATATCGTGCGCCAACATCCAAAATCAGATCTTTTGAGGATCAAAACCAACGCATCATTTTCCGGCAACAACGCGCATCTCTGCAGCTTCAGCTCACAAACGAAGGTCACTTTGGCAGCGCCAGCTCCAAACATCTCATCTTTTCAGTAGAAGCGCAGAACTCTCAACCCGCATCGCCAAAGAGCTGTTGGTTTTGGGCTTTTGGTTGGGCTGAGTAGGTTTCGGGAAGGTTTTGCTCAAGGGTGATACACAATCAGTTTGGGATTCTTTCGCGGCGTCTAGGCGATAGATTTGGGCTGAGTGTGTGGTTGGCTTCGGGTTGGTTCAGGTTGGGTTCGAGGCTTGCTTAGTGCTGGAATACAATGGGCTTAGGATGGGTTTAGGGTTGGTTGAAGGTTGGGTTACGGTCGGTTTAGGGTTGGTGTTGGATTGGCTTCAGGGTTGGCTTGATTGGTCAAGGTTTGCCTAGGGTTCAGGTTATGGTGGGCTCTGGGACTTTATTAGGATTGGCGCTGATGTGTTGCGGGTTTAGGGTTTAGGCTGGAGTTAAGGTTGGCAGAGGGTTGGCTCAGTGACTGTTCAGGGTGGGTTTAGGGCGGGGGGTTGCGGCGGGCTTGTTGCGTCCGTGCCTTCTCTCCCTGCACAGCTGCCTTCCTAAGGTCAGCTTTTTTTTCTTTAGAGCCTTGTTCTCTTTCTTCTTGTCGTGCCTGGCCGGTCAGGCTGAGGTTCGGACAAGAGAAGCAGATGCCCCCTGGACGGGGTAGTGTTTGTAGGTCTCATCACCTGCAACACCAGTCTCATTTTTTGAAAAGCTGGCAAGAGAACATGAGCCACCCGAGCAGTGCGGCAATGGCATCACCTGCTCATTTTTCGAGCAGCTGGCACGAGAAAATGAGCCACTCCACCGCCGCCGGAACGTGGGCGCTTGCAAACAGGCGCCTCCTCTACTTCAACTTCTTCAAGATCACCCCCAACCTCTTCACCCATGATGCAATGCTGCCCACTGCTAAGCCAAACACATCAGAGATCTCACACAACGCTCTCAGCCCTGATAGGCAACAAGCCTGGACCAAAAGCGCACGACTCCCACACTTCAAACTGCACTCTACAAGCAGCTGAAAATGCCTGTCACATGACTTCTGAACCCTACATGACCTCATGAAATGCGCTGGTGAAGTGACTCCATGCACAGGTTGGCCTCCCAGCCGCTCGCAAAGCAAAGGTCAAGGCATTTCTGATAAGCTGGAAAACCCAGCGGCAACATCCTTAGCATCACCTGCAACACCCTCAGCCTCACCAGGCTTATTTTTCGATCAGCTGGCAGGAGAAAATGCCTTCTCTGGGCAAAGCGCGGATGTCGGCAAGGAGGCGGCTCCGTGCAGTCCTGTGGCTGAACGCTTTGCTCAAGCTAGAAACTACTGCAAATGGCAGGGTCTGTTGCTGTTCCTTATCCATTGAGACCAAGAAAGGCCTGAGGCAGGGTGGGGCAAGACATGGAGCTGATCCTGATCCTGGATGAGTCCTACCAAGACAAACCTGAAAATTGCTACGCTGCTATGCCACTAAGTCTTTTAACTTACCCGTAGGACACCAAAAGCTGAGCCGATGCACAATCAAAGCGAGCCTGAGGAGAAATCAGCAGCCTAGGCGTTTTCGCAAGATGACCAACCCAGGCTGGGATCCCACCCGCTTGGATTTCGAAGGAGGCAGACGCGCTTCGTCACGCAATGCCGCAAGGCCACCGTTGAAAGCAGACGGAGCGCTGGGCCAGGTAGCTGCAGTTGAGCGCTTGTTCGGCCGGCTAACGGATGCGCGACACCCCATGAAATCAGCCTGCAATCCATGGAGGCAGCTATACATAAGCCAAGTTGCCAGGCGAACCGCTGCATTGCCGCAGAGTGGCCACGCATTCCTTGTTGTTGGCAGAATAGCTCTCCGAAGTTAAATCTTTAGCTAAAATCGGCCGTCTCCCCGACATTCCCTGTTCTCTGCCTAGCAAAAATAGCTTTCCGAAGATATATCTGCAGCTAGTCTCGCCGCCAGTCCCTGCTTGTTAGCTAGCAAAAATAGCTTTCCGAGGCTTGAGCCAAAAATGGCCGTCTCGCCGGTGGCAAACAAAATAGGGTTTGTTTGTGGTTGGTTTAGGACTGGTTTCGGCTCAACTTAGTAGGGTGGGCTTTGGATTGATTAGGGGTGCGTTTAGGATTGGTTTAGGGTTGGTTTAGGGTGGGTGTAGAATTGGCTTAGGGTCGGCTTAAGGTTGGTTTAAGGTTGGCTTAGGGTTGGTTTGGGGTTGGTTTAAGGTTGGTTTACGGGGGTTTAGGATGGGTTTAGGGTTGGTTTAGAGTCCGTTTAGCAGGTTTCTGGGGGGGTTAGGGTTGATTCAGGGGGCGGTTTAGGGTTAGTTTAAGGCTCAGTGGAACTTTATTGTGATTTGAGTCAAAAAATGTGATGTTGTCTTTGGAAGGAATGCACATACACCACATCCACCGATCTTAGCCCAAAGATGTGAAAAGCAGCAAGCCAATGAGCAAACAACTGGTCATAGAGGCCAAAACCACTATTGGGACATCATCGGATTCTCTGGAAATAGATCCACGGACCTTCACGAGACCGTATCCACAATTGGTGCTCCCCCCCGGTTTGGGACTCCCCCCCCCCCCGGCCACCCCGCGCCGATCTTGGTCCTGACGCATACCATAATTTAGGTGAGTTTAGGTTGGTTAACGGTGCGTCTAGGGTTGGTTTAGAGTTGAAGACCAGGAGATCAGGGACCAAGAGACTTGACACCAAGGGAAACCAAGAGACTGGAAGGAGTCTAAATGCTCATCCCATGCCACAATGGATCAACCATACAAAGAGTTCCGAAAGAGGCATCAGGCTCATAGAACA